GGGCAATGGGACCCATAGGAGATCTGCATTAGCAAAAGGCCTGGAGCTGCTTTCCATGTAGTCACAAGGTGCTCAAGTCCGGCTTCTCCAGCATCCCATGATGCAGAGGATGGGAGAGGGGACTGAAGACTCACCCGGGATGAATCCCAGTTCTGCTGCTCCTAAGAATCCGAGGAATGCTCTTCCTGGGCTGCCCACGGGAGATGCCCTGGGCACAGCTCCAGCCTGGAGGTGGCTGTGGGGGGAATCACCGCCCTTTGCAGCCTCTGCTGCAGAGGAGGAGATCCGGGTCCTGGGAATATCCAGGTCAGCCATGGCAGTGCCAGGAGAAGGGGCTGGGAATGCAATGGATAGAAGGGAAAAACCCCCGAATTCTAAGCCCAGGTTTTGTTAGGGAGGCAAAAGCTTCCATGTGCAGCGGATCCATCGGCTTTATGGCTGTCTGGAGACGGGCTGCTCATCCCTGAGGAAGGGCTGGAGCTCCTGGAGGCAAGGAAACCCAGTCAGAACGTTTCGTATCCACCCTAATTCAGCAAAGCAAGACCCAAGTGAGGGCCAGAAGTTGTCCAGGCCCTGGAGGACCCCTCTGCATCACCGGAGGAGGTTGTTTTCCAAACCCCTGGCCTGGGAAGTGCCAAGAGCCTGGGATCTGTGGGGGTCAGAAAGGTCTGAGCAGAGGGAAGGGGAACTCCTGAGTTCCTCCTTAAAAGAGCAGGGCAAGAGCTGTTTACATCCCTCTGGGCTTCAGCACATAGAGCATGGCCAAGGGGTCATGGGAGGCCTGCGTGTCCCAGTGATGGAAGCCAAGAGCCTTCCCCCCCTTTGCTTCATGCCAGCGGGACCCGACCGTGCCAAGAAACTCTTTGCTGCCTGGGAATGGTGCTAGCATGGAGCCCATGGAGCACTGTGGGGTGGGCAGTGGGGTGAGCAGGGTGCCTTGGGGCCAGCAGAAGCCTCATGGACACAGCGTTTGTGCCAGGAATGTCCTTGGCCCTGAGTTGGCCCTGAGTTACCCCAAAGTGGCCAAGGAATGGAGGGAAGGAGCAGCTTGGCTCCAGCAGCCCTCTCACAGGGTAATGACCACAGATACCCAACCATCCCTATCCCTTCTCCATGCAGTGGGACATCCCTGTCCCTGGCAGCTTGTGCCCAGCCTCCTCAGCCCCTTCACCCATGGTCACCGCGAGGGCTGGTGGGATGCTGGTGCCTCACTTCACAGTGTCCAGCTGGGAACTGGGCAGCTTGGAGGGGACATGGGGGTCCCTTTAGAGCAGAGGATGCAGAGGATGATGCACATCCCGTGGTTGGAGTCTTGTGGTGGCTCTGGAGACCTTTGCAGGACGTGTAGGACACACTGCATCCCCTCAGGCACTGATACTGGCTTGGCTTGTGGTTATGGATCCGTAATCATGCCTAAACCTGCTGCTTCAACAACCAGACCCAGCTTCCTCCCCTTGCCAGGCTGCTCTGGGACACAGGTTCTGCTGTCTCAGGTGCCCCCTTGTCCCTGGGGCTGTCCCACCTCCAAAAGCCCTTCCATTATGCAACATCTTCTGGGTACCCATTGCCTAAGCCAGGCCCTGCCAAGAGATGAACTGGAAAACACCCTGATGGCTGCAGGAGGACTTCATTATCCCAGCAGAGGCTGAGAGGAAAGGGCAGTGGCTTGGCCTGGCCTTTATCCTACAGCTCTGGGGGGATTCTGGTTGCTCTGCAGGGAGAATGGCTCTGGGTGAAGAGTCTCTGCTGGTGGCAAAGCCGAGGATGCAGAGGATGCTCTGAGGATGCAGATGTTGGAGAGGAGAGAGGCAGAGGAAGGCTCGTGGGCTTCGCTGGGCTCCGGTGCACGCTGAGATCATTCCTGGATTGAGTAAATTCAGGCTTTACCCTGCCAGAGGGGAGACTGAGATGAGCTCTTAGGCAGAAGCTCTTCCCTGTGAGGGTGCTGAGGCGCTGGCACAGGGTGCCCAGAGAAGCTGTGGCTGCCCCATCCCTGGCAGTGTTCAAGGCCAGGTTGGACACAGGGGCTTGGAGCAAGCTGCTCTATGGAAGGGGTCCCTGCCCGTGGCAGGGGTTGGAGCTGGAGGAGCTTTAAGTCCCTTCCAACCCAGTTCCATGGTTCCTATCAGCTGGGGGTGCCAAGCAGCATCAACCCCCCCAGGGCTCCCCTCCTCACGTCTTGTTCTTTGGCTGCTCTGAGCCCGTGGCCGGTGTGGTGGGGCAGCACGTTCAGCCCTGTCGTGGCCATGAGGGGCAATTCCCAGGCCATACCTCTGGAAATAGCTGGTGAAGGCTGCCCCTTGCCATTGCCTGTACACATGCATTTCCATCTGCTCCCTGCCTGCCAGGGACGGACACAACAGCAGCAGCCAGGCCACGACGTGCCCCTTCCCTCCAGGTGGATGCAGGTCCCACATCTTTCCCTCTCCTCTCCATCGTGCTCCCGTTTCACTTAGAAGTGGAAAGGGAACAGGGTGACCTGCTCTAATGCAATCTAATTCTGATCCATCCCTCTCCCCTAAACAGCTCTTTTCTACCCCAAAATGAGCTTGTGGAGCTTTCAGAGCGAGAACCTCTCTCCCACCATCACATCCCCACCACCCGCAGCAAACCTCAGCATCCCCTGTGCTCCGCTCCGCTCCCACTCATCCCTGCCTGCTCCGTCCCCTGCCCCATCCCTTGCTCAGCGCGTCGGGAGCTCGGATTCCAGGCAAGAAGTTCCCAGTCTCCTTTGCCTTTTAAGGAAGCATCGGAGTGGGTTTGAGGGTTACAAATGCTAACAAGCGATGGCAACGCTCATTTTAGTCTATTTAGAGGAAGAGGGAAGGCATTTGAGTCCATCAAAACACGGGTGATTAATCAGGCAGGGACCAGGCTGTTTGCATTAGGCTTATTTTTAAAGGTCTGACACGCTGTGTAAAAATATTCCCTAATAACTGCGCTGGCAGCAGAGGGAATGGCACGGGAAGGGGGGGGAAGCATCCATGGTAAATCTGCCAGCAGAGCTCCGGGTGGCAATGGAGAGGCTGTCTGCGGATGGAGATGGTGACTGGGGGCTGTGGGGTCAGCCAGGCCTTCAAGACCCAGGGGAGGATGCATCCCTCCCTTCTCCCCTGCATCTTCTTGCTGCGCAGCCGAGCTCCAGGAGCTGGAGCAATGTCCTGCTTCATTCCCAGCCCTGAGGTGAGGACTCCTGCACCATCACCTGTATCACCACGGGGATGCTGCTCCTGCGGTGGAGATGGGTGGTGGCACAGAGTAAGTGTGCAAAGGCAGGAGGGGATGAAGGCCGTGCTCCCCCCTGGGCACACCCACATGGTCCCACTGATGTGACCCCCTCTTTGATGGGATCCATGCAGCGCATCCCAAGTTTGCTGGATGCACATGATCCCGCAAGTGCTGCCCATGGTGGCACTACTGCCCGTGGCACATCCATTGCCTTCCCTTTTCCCTCTGGCCAGGGCACAGTCAGCTCCTCTTCCCCAAGTCCTTTTCCATGTCCCATTCCCTGGCTCCAGTCCCCAAATTCCCCAGACCTGCCCCACACCGCAGCACCTCCAATGTGGCAACACATCCATGGATGGAGCCTCAATGAGCAGAGCACTAAGGACGTGATCCCAGGACATTCCCTTTGCTAAGCAGGGATTTGCTCTGCATCCTATTTTCCACTGCTTTCATCTTGTTTGGAGAAATCCATTGCCCCCTCTGAGCATGGGAGACGTTCAGGTCCTTCCCCCCAAGGTTTTGATCCCTTCCTTCAAGATGTGCTCATTCCTGGCCTAAGCCTCTGCTCTGCTTGGTCTTGGATGGGCCCAGGATGCTTAGGGGAGACTGAGGGCTCCCCATTGTCAAGTTGTGGGCGCTCAGGCCTGGGAGGAGAAGGCTTTTAGGGGCAGTTGGTGTGGAGATGCTGCTGCTGGCTCTGACTCGAAGCACACTCAGCTTTTCCTGCCCACCAAGACCATGGGTGCAACTGCAGGAACCTGTATGGAGCCTCCAACCTGGGACATCCAGGGATAATGCTGGGATACCTGAGGGTGGTGGAGCACTCAGAGAAGCTGTGGCTGCCCCATCCCTGGCAGTGTTCAAGGCCAGGTTGGACACAGGGGCTTGGAGCAAGCTGCTCTATGGAAGGGGTCCCTGCCCGTGGCAGGGGTTGGAGCTGGAGGAGCTTTAAGGTCCCTTCAACACAAAGCATTCCATGATTCTGTGATCCCCAAAGACCTTAGAAAGGCACATCTGGGAGCCCCATCCCTGGTGCTTGGGGCCTGCGGCAGCGCGGGGCTGTGTGGACACGGACGGGCTCCGGCATCTCCCTTCGTGTCGCCTGTTTGGGTCTGTGCAGAGGAGCCAAGAAACCTCTTGCCTAAATAAAGCGCTGAGCTCTGTCCTCCCCGATGGCATCTGATTGTGCGCCAGGTACAAACAGTCCCAACTCAGGCCAGGCCAGTTCTTTCCACGAGGAACCAGTCCCTGAGGAGCAGCGGTGCCAGCACTGGGACCTGCGCTGGGGCAGGCACTGCGGCCAGGGCAGCCCTGCCTGCAGACCTGGCTGCGTAGGAAAGCCAAGAGGCTGAGTGCATCCAGCTGCTGCTGTTCTGCAAAGAAAGCTCTTGATGGGGTGGGATGGGGCTTGGAGCAAGCTGCTCCAGTGGAAGGGGTCCTTCCCCATGGCGGGGGTTGGAATGGGATGAGCTTTAAGGTCCCTACACCCTCCTGAGGAGTCACAGCACGCTGCCCCATGGCATCTCCTTGCTGCTCCTGGGGACCCTTCCTGATGCTCTCCCCACGTTTCTATCACAAATGCCTGTTTTAGAGCAGCTCACCCATAGCAGGCACAGTCTGAGACCTTCCCAAGTGTCCTGCATCCCCCTGGCTCCGGTGCTGTGGTTACTCCTGTGGGACAGAGGCGCAGGTTTGGTGGTGATGAGCTTGGGGTGATGAGGCTGGAGGTTAGAGGCGTCTGTCCCTGTAACACCTTGGTGGTTTTCTCTTGTTAGGAAACCAGATTGAGCGAGAAGAACAAGGGAGCCAAGAATGAAGAAGAGAAGGGAAAGGAAATGCCTTCCAAAGAGCCGGCCCGGAAACGAGACACAAAGGTGGGGAAAGACTCTAAAAAGGAAGAAAGTGATCAAAAACCAGACCCCAAAGTTAAAGCTGAAGCTGACACGAAGACCAAAGAGGAGAAGACTATCAACGATAAAGTCCAGGCCATGGAGAAAAAGAAGGTGGGGAAGGACCAAAAGGAAGAAGAGAAGGATTCAGTGCTGAAGAAGGACGCAGGGAAGGACACAAAGGAGGAAGAGAAGGGCTCCGTGTCGAAGGAGGATGAGGGGAAGGATAAAAAGGAGGAAGCGAAGGGCTCAGCAGCGAAGAAGGAGATGGACAAAAAGGAAGAAGAAAAGGCTTCAGCACTGAAGAGCACAGGGAAGGACAAGAAGGAGGAAGAGAAGAGTTCCGGAGCAAAGAAACAGGCAGGAAAAGACGCGGAAGGAGAAGATAAGAGAGAAAAAGATAAAAAAGAAGAGGAAAAAAGTTCGGCTTTGAAGAAATCCAAGGAGGACACGAAGGAGAAACCGCAGCTGGAGGCAGGGAAGGCGGCGGAGGAGAAGGCAGGCAAGGCAGCGGCCGAGGGCAGCGCCTCCAAGCCCCCCAGCTCTTCGGAGCAGGGCAAGGACGATGAAGCCTCGAGCATTTTCGACGAGCTCATCGAGAAGGTGAAGAACAACGACGCCGCGGTGACCGAGGTGAACGTCAACAACTCGGACTGCATCAACACCGAGACCCTGGTGCGCTTCACCGAGGCGCTGGAGTTCAACACCGTGGTGAAGCTCTTCGCCTTGGCCAACACCCGCGCCGACGACCACGTGGCCTTCGCCATCGCCATCATGCTCAAGTCCAACAAGGTGTTGACCAGCATCAACCTGGACTCCAACCACATCACGGGGAAGGGCATCCTGGCCATTTTCCGGGCGCTGCTGCAGAACACCACGCTGACGGAGCTGCGCTTCCACAACCAGCGGCACATCTGCGGCGGGAAGACGGAGATGGAGATCGCCAAGCTCCTGAAGGAGAACACCACGCTCCTGAAGCTGGGCTACCACTTCGAGCTGGCCGGGCCGCGCATGACGGTCACCAACCTGCTGAGCCGAAACATGGACAAACAGAGGCAGAAACGCCTCCAGGAGCAGAAGCTCGCCCAGGAGCGTGGCGAGAAGAAAGACCTCCTGGAGGTGCCCAAGCCTGGGGCTCTGCCCAAGGGGTCCCCCAAGCCATCCCCGCAGCCATCCCCTAAGGCGTCCCCCAAAAGCTCTCCCAAGAAAGGGGGGGCACCGGCTGCGCCTCCACCGCCACCTCCGCCGCTCGCCCCACCGCTGATCACTGAGAACCTGAGGAACTCCCTCTCCCCAGCCACGCAGAGGAAGCTGGGAGAGCGGGCGCTGCCGGGCCAGGAGAAGAACTCCCGGGACCAGCTCCTGGCTGCCATCCGCTCCAGCAACCTCAAACAGCTCAGGAAGGCAAGTGCAGGGCCACAGAGGGGTTGGTCCGTGGGCTGAGACCTGAGGTCGCTTGGGGGGTGGAGAGGTGAGGGACGTCCTTCTCCGGTGTGAGCATGGAGCGGGGCACCCGTGGTCCCAACCCCTGTGCAGAGCACGTGGCAAGGGGTGGATCCATGCTTCTGCACCATCCCTTGCAGAGCAGATGGGGTCAGCAGGTCCATCCCTTCGTAGAGCTTCCAACAGGGGCAACAGATCCATCCCCTGGGAGAGCAGCCAACAGGGACAGGCCCACCCCTTGGGAGAGGATCCAGCAGGAGCAGATCCATCCCTTGGGCAAGCATCCAACAGGGACAGGTCCATCCCTTGGGAGAGGATCCAACAGGGTGAGGTCCATCCCTTGGGAGAGCATCCAACAGGGACAGGTCCACCCCTTGGGAGAGGATCCAACAGGGTCAGGTCCATCCCTTGGGAGAGCATCCAACAGGGACAGGTCCATCCCTTGGGAGAGGATCCAACAGGGTCAGGTCCATCCCTTGGGACAGGATCCAACAGGGTGAGGTCCATCCCTTGGGAGAGCATCCAACAGGGTCAGGTCCATCCCTTGGGAGAGCATCCAACAAGGTCAGGTCCATCCCTTGGGAGAGCATCTAACAGATCCATCCCTTGGGAGAGGATCCAACAGGATCAGGTCCATCCTTTGGGAGAGGATCCAACAGGGTCAGGTCCATCCCTTGGGAGAGGATCCAACAGGATCAGGTCCATCCTTTGGGAGAGGATCCAGCAGGATCAGGTCCATCCCTTGGGAGAGGATCCAGCAGGGGCAGATCCATCCCTTGGGCAAGCATCCAACAAGGTCAGGTCCATCCCTTGGGAGAGCATCCAACAAGGTCAGGTCCATCCCTTGGCAGAGCATCCAACAGGGTCAGGTCCATCCCTTGGGAGAGCATCCAACAACGTTAGGTCCATCCCTTGGCAGAGCATCTAACAGATCCATCCCTTGGGAGAGCATCCAACAGGGGCAACAGATCCATCCCCTGGGGGAGCAGCCAACAGGGACAGGTCCATCCCTTGGGGGAGGATCCAGCAGGGGCAGATCCATCCCTTGGGAGAGGATCCAACAAGGTCAGGTCCATCCCTTGGGAGAGCATCCAACAAGGTCAGGTCCATCCCTTGGGAGAGGATCCAACAGGATCAGGTCCATCCTTTGGGAGAGGATCCAACAGGGACAGGTCCATCCCTTGGGAGAGGATCCAACAGGGACAGGTCCATCCCTTGGGAGAGGATCCAACAGGGTGAGGTCCATCCCTTGGGAGAGCATCCAACAGGGTCAGGTCCATCCCTTGGGCGAGGATCCAGAAGGGGCAGATCCATCCCTTGGGCAAGCATCCAACAAGGTCAGGTCCATCCCTTGGCAGAGCATCCAACAGGGTCAGGTCCATCCCTTGGCAGAGCATCCAACAGGGTCAGGTCCATCCCTTGGCAGAGCATCTAACAGATCCATCCCTTGGGAGAGCATCCAACAGGGGCAACAGATCCATCCCCTGAGGGAGCAGCCAACAGGGACAGGTCCATCCCTTGGGGGAGGATCCAGCAGGGACAGGTCCATCCCTTGGGAGAGGATCCAGCAGGGTCAGGTCCATTCTTTGGGAGAGGATCCAACAAGGTCAGGTCCATCCCTTGGGAGAGCATCCAACAGGGTCAGGTCCATCCTTTGGGAGAGGATCCAACAAGGTCAGGTCCATCCTTTGGGAGAGGATCCAACAGGGTCAGGTCCATCCCTTGGCAGAGCCCCTGGGCTGTGGCAGGTCCCCCTCATTCCAGCAGTCAGGTTGGGCTCCCGGGTTTGGGCCACATGGAAGAAGCCAGCTTTAACCCGGGCGATGGAAAGCCGGGATGCAGACAAGGCTCCCCCAAGCCATTCCAGCATCCTCTCCCAGTGCTCCCCCAGTAACGGGGTGTCTTCTCCGGCAGGTGGAGGTGCCGAAGCTGCTGCAGTAGGGACGGGATGGCATTCCCCCCGCAGCGCGGCGTGCCCAGGACACTCACCTTTCCCGGGACTGTTTCCATGGCAAACCCTTTGGGACCCTGCAGTGACCAAGCCGAGGAGCAGCGTTCCCTCTGGGATGGACACGGAAGGGCCACCGCGGCCGAGGGATGTGGCGCGGGTGAAAGACCTTCTATTTATTGGCCTTAACGGTTGTGAAGCCTTCAAGCTCTTCCCTTTGCCAGCACCGTGTCCCGCTCCGTGCCGGCGACACGGGAGGGATCTGCAGGGCTGGTCCTGATGGGAAGCTCCTCTCGGAGCACCCCAAAGGGGGTGATCCAGCCTGGGTGAGTGGAGGTGTCCCCCCTCCCCTTTCTGGAGGAGTAGGTGACAACCAGACCACTTGTGTCCCTGTGGTGGCTCTGGGTGGCCGGGGTGCAGGCACCGTGGTGGGTGCTGGCTTGTGGGGCGCTGGGTGAAGCCCAGGAGGGAGCAGGAGGAGGAGGTTTAGGTTTGAGGGGGTCTCCCCCCCCTTTTCTTCCCTATGAAGGGAGCAGTTCTCCACCATGAGGGTTTTGGGATGCTGGAATGGGTTGAGCGGAGGAGCCGTGGCTGCCCCATCGCTGGCAGTGCTCAAGGCCAGGTTGGACACAGGGGCTTGGAGTGGGACGTGGCCCTGCCCCGGGGTTGGATCTTGATGGTCCCTTCCATCCCAAACCATTCCATGATTCCAGGACCTTCTCCACACCACACCTGCCCCACAGGACGCTGCCGGTCCCCAAAGCACCCCCCGAGGATGGGCAGCTCCAGCTTGGGGGGGGGGCAATGGGGTTTTGGGGTCCCGGTGTGAAGCTTCGCTGCGCTCTGTACCACGGCACCAGCAATAAAGCTCACCCAACGCTACCCCCACCCCAGCACCCACAGCGCCAGCGGGGCACCCCAGAGCACCCGAACCTGGGGTCACCCATAACGGGGTGCCCTGGAGCCACATGGATATGGGGTCACCCATAACGGGGTGCCCTGGAGCCACGTGGACCTGGGGTCACCCATAACTGGGTGCCCTGGAGCCACATGGATATGGGGTCACCCATAACGGGGTGCCCTGGAGCCATGTGGGCACCCCAAAACCCGGGTCACCCAAAGTGGGGTACCCTGGGGCCACATGGACCTGGGGTCACCCATAACGGGGTACCCTGGAGCCATGTGAGCACCCCAAAACCCGGTCACCCTCAACCGGGTCCTGGGGACCACCCTGGGGTCACCCCCGTTTGGATTCGGGGTGCATGGAGGAGGGGGGTCCCCCCACTTCTCTTCGACACCCCCCCCTCCCCACAGGTGACCCCCAACTCGAGGGCACCCCCAAACCGGGTACCGGGGAGGGAGGGGGTCGCCGGAGTCCGGTATGGGGCGCTATGGGGGGCGAGCCGGAGCCGAATGTGTGCGGGGCGGAGCCGGTATGGGGCGCTATAGGAACCGTACCGGAGCCCCATGTGTGTGCGGCGGGGCCGGTATGGGGCGCTATAGGAACCGTACCGGAGCCCCATGTGTGTGCGGCGGGGCCGGTATGGGGCGCTATAGGAACCGTACCGGAGCCCCATGTGTGTGCGGCGGGGCCGGTATGGGGCGCTATAGGAACCGTACCGGAGCCCCGTGTGTGTGCGGCGGGGCCGGTATGGGGCGCTATAGGAACCGTACCGGAGCCCCGTGTGTGTGCGGCGGGGCCAGAAGGGGGCGCTATAGGAACCGTACCGGAGCCCCGTGTGTGTGCGGCGGGGCCAGGAGGGGGCGCTATAGGAACCGTACCGGAGCCCCGTGTGTGCGCGGCGGGGCCAGGAGGGGGCGCTATAGGAACCGTACCGGAGCCCCGTGTGTGCGCGGCGGGGCCAGGAGGGGGCGCTATAGGAACCGTACCGGAGCCCCGTGTGTGTGCGGCGGGGCCGGTATGGGGCGCTATAGGAACCGTACCGGAGCCCCGTGTGTCCGCGGCGGGGCCAGGAGGGGGCGCTATAGGAACCGTACCGGAGCCCCGTGTGTGTGCGGCGGGGCCAGGAGGGGGCGCTATAGGAACCGTACCGGAGCCCCGTGTGTGTGCGGCGGGGCCAGGAGGGGGCGCTATAGGAGCCGTACCGGAGCCCCGTGTGTGTGCGGCGGGGCCGGTATGGGGCGCTATAGGAACCGTACCGGAGCCCCGTGTGTTCGCGGCGGGGCCGGTATGGGGCGCTATAGGAACCGTACCGGAGCCCCGTGTGTGTGCGGCGGGGCCAGGAGGGGGCGCTATAGGAACCGTACCGGAGCCCCGTGTGTGCGCGGCGGGGCCAGGAGGGGGCGCTATAGGAACCGTACCGGAGCGCGGGGCCGGCAGGGGGCCCGCAGGCACCGGCCCCGCTCCTCCCCGGCCCCGCTCCTCTCGGTGGGGCTCGGTCCGGCGGGGACGACGCAGGACAAAAGGCTTGGAGGGGCGATGGGCGTCGGGGCGGCGCCATGAAGAGGAGGAGGAGGAGGAGGAGGCGGCGGCGAGCATGGCGGCGGGCGGCGGCGGGGCGCGGCGGGGGCTGCTGAAGCGGAAGCCGAACTTCACGCTGCAGGAGATCGACATCCTCATGAGCGAGGTGCTCAAGTACGAGCAGCTCCTGTTCGGCGCCGCCGCCAGCACCGTGAACGCCTACGAGAAGCAGAAGATCTGGTGGCGCATCACGAACAAGATCAACGCCGCCGGCCGCAACCAGCGCGACATCGGCGAGGTCAAGAACCGCTGGCGAGGGCTGCGCCGCCGCGCCAATGACAAGATCACCCGGCACCGGCAGGAGCGGCAGGGACCGGCCCCCAGGGCCCCCCCCAGGCCTGGCACCGGCACCGGGTCTGGGCCAGGGCCCCCGGAACTCGGCCCCGGCCCCGCGTCCGCTTGGGGACAGAGAGGAGGCACCGGCATCGAGGCGCCGGTCCTGAGCGCAGAGGTGGTACCGCACGGTGGGTGCGGGGGGACCGGGGCACGGGGCAGCAAGAGGGGGATGAGGGGGCTGGAGCATGGGTGCAGGGGAGCAGGATTGGGACAGGGACAGGGATGGGAGGAACAGGGACAGGGATGGGGGGGACCAAGAGAGGGATGTGGGGGGCTGGAGCATGGATGCAGGGGAGCAGGACTGGGACAGGGACAGGGATGGGAGGAACAGGGACAGGGATGTGGGGGACCAAGAGAGGGGTGTGGGGGGCTGGAGCATGGATACAGGGGAGCAGGACTGGGACAGGGACAGGGATGGGAGGAACAGGGATGTGGGGGACCAAGAGAGGGATGGGGAGGGCTGGAGCATGGATACAGGGGAGCAGGATTGGGACAGGGACAGGGATGGGAGGAACAGGGATGTGGGGGACCAAGAGAGGGATGGGGGGGGCTGGAGCATGGATACAGGGGAGCAGGATTGGGACAGGGACAGGGATGGGAGGAACAGGGACAGGGATGTGAGGGACCAAGAGAGGGGTGTGGGGGGCTGGAGCATGGATGCAGGGGAGCAGGATTGGGACAGGGACAGGGACAGGGATGGGAGGAACAGGGATGTGGGGGACCAAGAGAGGGATGTGGGGGTCTGGAGCATGGATGCAGGGGAGCAGGATTAGGACAGGGACAGGGATGGGAGGAACAGGGATGTGGGGGACCAAGAGAGGGATGTGGGGGTCTGGAGCATGGATGCAGGGGAGCAGGATTGGGACAGGGATGGGAGAGACAGGGACAGGGATGTGGGGGGACTGAGGCATGGAGGCAGGACACGGGCGCTGGGAGCAGGATGGGCACAGGGAGGGACAGCAGCAGGGACACAGGGACCGGGATAAGTTCGTGGGGGGACCAGGACAGGGATACGGGGGCGTTAGGTGGGAGGAGAGGTTGGGATAGGGCACAGGAGATCGGGACCAGGACAGGGACACTGGGACCACGATGTGGGAGACCAGGACATGGATACAGGGGACTGAGACAGGGACACGGGGGCACTAGGGCAGGTCTGTGCAGGGACAGGGACATGGGGGACAAAGACCAGGATGTGGGGGGACCAGGACACGGATACAGGAGAGGGACATGGGGGACTGGACCAGGACAGGAGCATGGAGAGACAGGAACGCAGGAGAAGATCAGGACCAGGGCATGGAGGGGCATGGACCAGGATGCAGGGGGATCAGGAGCACCTCAAGTGCGCTGGGACCAGGACATGGGGGCCCAGGGCAGGGATGTGCAGGGACTGGGACCAGGATGCTGGGACCAGGGCAGGTGGATGGAGGGACCGGGGCAAGGACAGGGAGGATCAGGACATGGAGGGGACAGGGACATGGAGGACTGGGATAGGGATGCGGAGGGGAAGAGGGATGCGAGGGGATCATAGTAGGGACAGGGGTGACAGGGGCATGGGAGGACTGGGACAGGGACATAGGACATAGGGAGAGCAACAGGAGGACTGAGACCAGGACAGGAGGATGCCAGGATCCAGCCAAGGACATGGGGCCCCTGAAACCAGGACAGGGCCAGGTGCACGGAGACAGGGCCAGGGACATGGGGGGACCTGGGCCAGGGCAGGGGACTGAGAACAGGGTGACAGCAGGAAGGGCCTGGGACCAGGACAGGGATGGGGATACCAGGGCTGGGATAGGGGCAGGGGGGGACATGGACCAGGATGGGGACAAGGGACCGCAGCACTGGGAGCAGAACAGGAGGATACTGGGAGAGGACAGGGGTGTGGGTGGCTAGGATTAGGAGAAGGACAGGGGTCAGGGGGTACCAGGACCTGGACAGGTGTAAGAGGGGTCTGGGAAGAGGACAAGGACATGGGGTTACTGCGATTTGGACAGGGACAAGGGACCTGAGATGTGGGAGAACAGGACAGCGACATGGGATTACTGGGATTAGGAAGGGATGTGTGGGGACCAAGACAGGGACAAGGGGGTACTGGGAGCATGCAGGGACACAGGGCACCACATTCAGGACAGGGATATGGGAGTCCCGGGACCAGGAGAGGGACAAGGTACCTGGGATGGGGCTGGACCACCGGGAAGGATGCGGAGCTGTGGGGAGATGTGTGTGTGGGTGACCAGGACCGCGCGCAGGAGAGGGGATGCGGGACACGGGGGGAAGGGGGGCGGAAGCAGAGGCAGGAAGGGGGCCGGGGGGTCCCACCAGCTGCCCCGCGTCCATCCCGCAGGCCTCAAGGAGGAGGCGGTGAAGGAGGAGCCGGTGGAGGTGAAGCCTGAGCCCTTCCAGAGCCCGGCTCCCGACGGCGCTCCCGGCCCTGGGGTGGGCACGGAGCAGAGCGAGGGCTGGAACCGGACCCCCCCGCGGCCCGCGGCTCCCGAACTGTGCCTGGGGGAGCTGGGGGGGCCGCAGGAGCCGCTGGGCTCCGCTTTCCCGGGGGTCCTCTTCCAGCAAGAGACGGAGCCGCTCCCGGAGTGCGGAGCCGGCCCCGGCGCCGCCACCGCGGGGCTGCCGCCGGACGGGACCCCCGGCTGCGCGCAGCCTTGCGCGGGCGATGCGCGGGCGGTGCAGGCGCAGGAGCGGTTGGTGCAGGAGGTGCGCGCTTTCCGCAGGGAGTTCGCCGAGAGCTGCCGGGAAACCACGGCCCTGATGCGAGCCATGGCCCAGGCGCTGGGCGCGCTCAGCCGCAGCCTGGCCGAGATCCGGGATCTCTACCTCCGGGAGCAGGGACCCCAGGGCTGATTCCCATCCTCCCCCCCTTCACACCCCCCCCCCCCCCCAGCTGGCTGTGGGGTCCGGACTCCCCCTTCCCCTCCTCTTGTTGCTTCGAGGCTTTATTTTTATGGGGCTTTCCCAGCCTTTCAATAAATCCCGAGGTGCCCCCCGGGCTCGCTTGAGGGGGTCCCGGGGAGCGATGGAGATGGGCGGCGCTTGAGGGATTGGGTTTGGTGGGGGTGAATGGAGGGGGTGGATGGACACCCCCCCACACACACACCCCCCTTCCTCAGCTCACAGTGATGGTGTAGGAGGGGGTGAATCGCACCCACACGCACACACACCCCCCAGAGGTGGGTCCCAGGACCAGGGGAGATGGAGGAATCATCCCCGCACCCACAGCCCCATCCCGGGGTTCGATCTGCTGCTTCCTGACCCAATGGAACCCCAGCGTGGTTTGGGTTGGAGGGGACCTTAAAGCTCCTCCAGCTCCAACCCCTGCCACGGGCAGGGACCCCTTCCATAGAGCAGCTTGCTCCAAGCCCCTGTGTCCAACCTGGCCTTGAACACTGCCAGGGATGGGGCAGCCACAGCTTCTCTGGGCACCCTGTGCCAGCGCCTCAGCACCCTCACAGGGAAGAGCTGTGGGGCTGGGGGGGGGCAGCAGCATTCCCAGCCTGTCTCATCCCAGCGGCCGCTTTGGTGGGAATTGCCCATCCCAATGCAATGTGGGGATGGAGGAGCTCCAGGAGCAGAAGGGGATGGGGAGAAAGTCGCTATCCCCATGTTAGAGCTCCCCGGGTTGGGCTGTGGGGCTCTGCCCCCCTCCCCGCTACGGACCCATGGAGGCGACACCAGGCTGTGGGGCACAAGAAGTGGTTTAATTCCAACCCCAGGGCCGCATCCGGGCGCGCAGGGTGCAGCAGCGCACGGCCCTCGGGGGGCCCCCGGGCACCCCCCCCTACCATGGAGCTGTTGGCACCCAGGGCCGGGTGGGGGCACCCACAAAGGACCCAGTGTGCGGGACAAGAGCTGCCCTGTGCTGCCGGCTCCGGGTCACCACCACGATGGGCCTCATGCAGCCATGGCCCGGCACCCTCCCGAGGCCCCCCAACCCTGCTGCAGGAGGGTGCTGGGGTGCCCATGGGTGCTCAGGCTCCGGGGTAGCTGGGCTGTGCTGGCACATAGGGCGGAGGCGCTGTGGGGGGGAGCAGGATGGGTGTCACCCCCCGGAGGCCACCGGGACCCCGTGGGGAATAGGGGGGTGCAGGGGGTTATAAAGGGGTGTCCCCGGTGCTCACCTGTGGGGTTGTAGATGGGGGGTCCAGAGGGGTACAGCGGGTACTGGGCAGCAGGGCCGGTCGGCGGGTACACGGGCATGGGGGTGAAGCCGGGCGGGGGGGGCGCGGGGCCGGCTTTGGGGTCCATAGGGAACGGTGCTGGGGCCACTGGGGGGGGGTAGCTGGACAGCGGGATCTCTGGGCCTGCGGGAGACATGGGGCGGGGGGGGGTGGGGCTGCAACATCCCGGGATGGGGGCAGGGATGTGGCCCCACAGCGCCCATATCCCACCCCCTGCATCCCCCTGCTCCCCCCTGCACCCCGCATCCCACCCCCTGCATCCCGCATCCCACCCCCTGCATCCCTCTGCTCCCCCCCTGCACCCCGCATCCCACCCCCTGCATCCCTCTGCTCCCCCCTGCACCCCGCATCCCACCCCCTGCACCCCGCATCCCACCCCCTGCATCCCTCTGCTCCCCCCTGCACCCCCATCCCACCCCCCACAACCCCCTCACCTCGCACCTACAGGATTCCCCCCATCCCATCACCCCCATCCCATTACCCCGCACCCCCCTTGCCCCCCTGTCCCGCACCCTGCAGGGGGGTGCGCAGCCGCTGCCGCCTCTGGTGCAGGTAGCAGCAGGAGCAGAGGAAGCAGCACACGATGGTCGTGACTATCGCGATGAACAGAACCACGGCCGAGGCGATGCCCGCGATCGTCTTGGGGCTGCGGGGAGCGGGGGGAGAGGCGCTGGGAGCGGGCACCCGGAGCGGGACTCCCCGGCACCCAGGGTGCCCTCCCACACACACAGGGTGCCTCCCCCCCGGTCACAGCGGTGCCCGCAGCAACTGGGACCAGTGCAGGGTCCTGCTCCGTCCTTGGAGCACCCGGGGATGGAGGGACAGGGACGGCCAGAGTGGGACCAGTGACCAGCGCCAGTGACCAGCACCAGTGACCAGTGTCAGTGCCCAGCACCCAGAGTCAGTGCCCAGCACCCAATGCCAGTGCCCAGCACCCAATGCCAGTGCCCAGCGCCCAGTGTCAGTGCCCAGCGCCCAGTGCCAGTGCCCAGCGCCCAGTGCCCAGCACCCAATGCCAGTGCCCAGCGCCCAATGCCAGTGCCCAGCACCCGGTGTCAGTGCTCAGCACCCAGTGCCCAGCACCGAGATTCAGTGCCCAGCACCCAATGCCAGTGCCCAGCGCCCAGTGTCAGTGCCCAGCACCCAATGCCAGTGCCCAGCACCCGGTGTCAGTGCTCAGCACCCAGTGCCCAGCACCCAGATTCAGTGCCCAGCACCCAATGCCAGTGCCCAGCGCCCAGTGCCAGTGCCCAGCGCCCAGTGCCCAGCACCCAATGCCAGTGCCCAGCGCCCAGTGTCAGTGCCCAGTGTCAGTGCTCAGCACCCAGTGACCAGCACCTAGGGTCAGTGCCCAGCACCCACACTCCAGTGCCCAATGCCCAGCACCCAGTGTCAGTGCTCAGCACTAGTGCCCAGCACCCAGTATCACTGCCCAGTGCCCAGCATGCCAGCATCCAATGCACCAGCTCCTGGAACCCAAAGGCAAGCACCCAGCACCCATTGTTGAAGCCCAGCACCCATCGCTGAAGCCCAGCACCCACCCATGAAGCCCAGCACCCATCGCTGAAGCCCAGCACCCATTGCTGGAGCCCAGCACCCATTGCTGAAGCCCAGCACCCATCCCTGAAGCCCAGCACCCATCGCTGAAGCCCAGCACCCATCGCTGAAGCCCAGCACCCATCCCTGAAGCCCAGCACCCATCGCTGGAGCCCAGCACCCATTGCTGAAGCCCAGCACCCATCCCTGAAGCCCAGCACCCATTGTTGGAGCCCAGCACCCATTGCTGAAGCCCAGCACCCATCGCTGGAGCCCAGCACCCATCCCTGAAGCCCAGCACCCATCCCTGAAGCCCAGCACCCATTGTTGGAGCCCAGCACCCATTGCTGAAGCCCAGCACCCATCCCTGAAGCCCAGCACCCATCCCTGAAGCCCAGCACCCATTGCTGAAGCCCAGCACCCATCGCTGGAGCCCAGCACCCATCCCTGAAGCCCAGCACCCATCCCTGAAGCCCAGCACCCATTGTTGGAGCCCAGCACCCATCGCTGAAGCCCAGCACCCATCGCTGAAGCCCAGCACCCATCCCTGAAGCCCAGCACCCATTGCTGGAGCCCAGCACCCATTGCTGAAGCCCAGCACCCATCCCTGAAGCCCAGCACCCATTGCTGGAGCCCAGCACCCATCGCTGAAGCCCAGCACCCATCCCTGAAGCCCAGCACCCATCGCTGGAGCCCAGCACCCATCGTTGGAGCCCAGCACCCATCCCTGAAGCCCAGCACCCATCCCTGAAGCCCAGCACCCATCCCTGAAGCCCAGCACCCATCCCTGAAGCCCAGCACCCATTGTTGGAGCCCAGCACCCATTGCTGAAGCCCAGCACCCATCCCTGAAGCCCAGCACCCATTGCTGAAGCCCAGCACCCATCGCTGGAGCCCAGCACCCATCCCTGAAGCCCAGCACCCATCCCTGAAGCCCAGCACCCATTGTTGGAGCCCAGCACCCATCCCTGAAGCCCAGCACCCATTGCTGGAGCCCAGCACCCATCCCTGAAGCCCAGCACCCATCGCTGGAGCCCAGCACCCATTGTTGGAGCCCAGCACCCATTGCTGAAGCCCAGCACCCATCGCTGGAGCCCAGCACCCATTGCTGAAGCCCAGCACCCATTGCTGAAGCCCAGCACCCATCGCTGGAGCCCAGCACCCATTGTTGGAGCCCAGCACCCATCGCTGAAGCCCAGCACCCATCCCTGAAGCCCAGCACCCATCCCTGAAGCCCAGCACCCATTGTTGGAGCCCAGCACCCATCGCTGAAGCCCAGCACCCATCGCTGAAGCCCAGCACCCATCCCTGAAGCCCAGCACCCATTGCTGGAGCCCAGCACCCATCCCTGAAGCCCAGCACCCATCGCTGGAGCCCAGCACCCATCGTTGGAGCCCAGCACCCATCCCTGAAGCCCAGCACCCATCCCTGAAGCCCAGCACCCATTGCTGAAGCCCAGCACCCATCGCTGGAGCCCAGCACCCATCCCTGAAGCCCAGCACCCATCCCTGAAGCCCAGCACCCATTGTTGGAGCCCAGCACCCATCGCTGAAGCCCAGCACCCATCGCTGAAGCCCAGCACCCATCCCTGAAGCCCAGCACCCATTGCTGGAGCCCAGCACCCATCCCTGAAGCCCAGCACCCATCGCTGGAGCCCAGCACCCATCGTTGGAGCCCAGCACCCATCCCTGAAGCCCAGCACCCATTGCTGGAGCCCAGCACCCATCCCTGAAGCCCAGCACCCATCCCTGAAGCCCAGCACCCATCGCTGGAGCCCAGCACCCATTGTTGGAGCCCAGCACCCATTGCTGAAGCCCAGCACCCATTGCTGAAGCCCAGCACCCATCGCTGAAGCCCAGCACCCATCCCTGAAGCCCAGCACCCATCGCTGAAGCCCAGCACCCATCCCTGAAGCCCAGCACCCATTGCTGAAGCCCAGCACCCATCCCTGAAGCCCAGCACCCATTGCTGAAGCCCAGCACCCATCCCTGAAGCCCAGCACCCATGGTTGAAGCCCAGCACCCATCGCTGAAGCCCAGCACCCATCCCTGAAGCCCAACACCCATCCCTGAAGCCCAGCACCCATCCCTGAAGCCCAGCACCCATCCCTGAAGCCCAGCACCCATTGCTGGAGCCCAGCACCCATCCCTGAAGCCCAGCACCCATCCCTGAAGCCCAGCACCCATCGCTGGAGCCCAGCACCCATTGTTGGAGCCCAGCACCCATTGCTGAAGCCCAGCACCCATTGCTGAAGCCCAGCACCCATCGCTGAAGCCCAGCACCCATCCCTGAAGCCCAGCACCCATCGCTGAAGCCCAGCACCCATCCCTGAAGCCCAGCACCCATCCCTGAAGCCCAGCACCCATCCCTGAAGCCCAGCACCCATCGCTGAAGCCGGCTGGCACCTGAAGGCAAGGCAGTGGCGCTGCTGCCGCTCGGTGATGAGGCGCAGGGGGTCTCGGCAGCAGAACCGCTGGTGGCAGGACCCGCAGCAGAAGCTCAGGAACTGGCACTCGAAGCCGGGGTGCCAGGACCCGTTCTTGTCCAAGTACCACAGGCAGTCCTCATCCGCCGCCGCTGAGCACAGCACCGTCACCGGGGCCCCGGCACCCCCAGCCCGGCCACAGCCACCCCAGGGACGCCCATAGCCTGCTCCATCCATCCCCATGGCCACACATATCCTGCTGCTATGTAACCCCCCATAGCCTGCTCCATCCCACCCCACATCCTCCTGGATCCTGCCCCATCCCGGCCCACATCTTCCCGTGTTCCCTTCTCCATCCTGCCCCGTTGGTCCTGGTACCCCCCTGCAGCCTGCCCCATATCCCCCCATACCCTGCCCCTGTGTTTTCCCCCCCTAAGCCGCTCCATCCCACCCCACATCCTCCTGGATCCTGCCCCATCCCGGCCCACATCTTCCCGTGTTCCCTTCTCCATCCTGCCCCGTTGGTCCTGGTACCCCCCTGCAGCCTGCCCCATATCCCCCCATACCCTGCCCCTGTGTTTTCCCCCCCTAAGCCGCTCCATCCCACCCCACATCCTCCTGGATCCTGCCCCATCCCGGCCCACATCTTCCCGTGTTCCCTTCTCCATCCTGCCCCGTTGGTCCTGGTACCCCCCTGCAGCCTGCCCTGTATCTCCCCATACCTTGCCCCTGTGTTTTCCCCCCCTAAGCCGCTCCATCCCACCCCACATCCTCCTGGATCCTGCCCCATCCCGGCCCACATCTTCCCGTGTTCCCTTCTCCATCCTGCCCCGTTGGTACTGGTACCCCCCTGCAGCCCGCCCCATATCCCCCCATACCTTGCCCCTGTTCCCCCCATAGCCTGCTCCATCCCACCCCACATCCTCCTGGATCCTGCCCCATATCGGCCCACATCTTCCCGTGTTCCCTTCTCCATCCTGCCCCGTTGGTCCTGGTACCCCCCTGCAGCCTGCCCTGTATCTCCCCATACCTTGCCCCTGTGTTCCTCCCCCATAGCCTGCTCCATCCCACCCCACATCCTCCTGGATCCTGCCCCATATCGGCCCACATCTTCCCGTGTTCCCTTCTCCATCCTGCCCCGTTGGTCCTGGTACCCCCCTGCAGCCTGCCCTGTATCTCCCCATACCTTGCCCCTGTGCTCCCCCCATAGCCTGCTCCATCCCACCCCACATCCTCCTGGATCCTGCCCCATCCCGGCCCACATCTTCCCGTGTTCCCTTCTCCATCCTGCCCCGTTGGTCCTGGTACCCCCCTGCAGCCCGCCCCATATCCCCCCATACCTTGCCCCTGTTCCCCCCATAGCCTGCTCCATCTTGCCCCGCTCCCTTGCGGACCCCGCTGCCAGCCCCCCCCAGCTCCAGCTCTATTTGTGGCCGCAGCCATCTGCGCTCCCAGAAATAGCCCCGGGACGAGGCCCGGAGGCGCCGGGAAGCGCTCAGGAAACCACGGGGCTGGGGCTGAGCCCCTCGGGATCGCGCTCGCTCCCCCCCCACCCCCGGCCCCACGCGGCTCCTGGGCGGCCTCCTCCGGCCTTCACCGAACGCACAACGGGACCACGGTGGGGAAACTGAGGCACGGCCCGGGAGGACCCGGATCCCCCCGGGGGTCACTGCGGATCCCGGCCCCGTGCTCCCGGGGACACCCCGAGGGGCGCGGGGGACATCGCGCGTTGGTGCGGGCCCCCCCCCCCCCCCGCATGCGAACCCCGCTCAGAGCCGGTGACACCGGGTCCCGTCCCCCGGTGCTCTCTTACCCAGCGAGGCGGCCACGGCCACGAGCACGGTCCCGGCCAGGGGCCACGCGGTGCCGGGACCACCGGGACCCATCCCGGGGGCCGCCGCTCGGCGCTGCCCGCGGGGCGGGGGGAGCCGGGGCCGCGCAGGCCCGCAGTGACGCCGCAGCCCCGAGCTCGGTCGCTGCCCGGTGCCCCCCCGCGGCAGCGCCTCCCGCAGCAGCCACCGGCACCGGCCCCCGCCGTGGAGGGGAGAAACGAGACCCACGGGCACGGCCGAGCAGCCCCATGCCTGCAGCACCCCCATCACAGCACCCCCCATCACAGCACCCCCATCACAGCACCCCCATCACAGCACCCCCCATCACAGCACCCCCATCACAGCACCCCCATCACAGCACCCCCATCACAGCACCCCCCATCACAGCACCCCCCATCACAGCACCCCCATCACAGCACCCCCATCATAGCACCCCCCATCACAGCACCCCCATCACAGCACCCCCCATCACAGCACCCCCATCATAGCACCCCCCATCACAGCACCCCCCATCACAGCACCCCCATCACAGCACCCCCATCACAGCACCCTTATCACAGCACCCCCCATCACAGCACCCCCATCACAGCACCCCTATCACAGCACCCCCCATCACAGCACCCCCATCACAGCACCCCCATGCCTGCACCCCCCATCACAGCACCCCCATCACAGCACCCCCATCACAGCACCCCCCATCACAGCACCCCCATCACAGCACCCCCATCACAGCACCCCCATCATAGCACCCCCATCACAGCACCCCTATCACAGCACCCCCCATCACAGCACCCCCCATCATAGCACCCCCATCACAGCACCCCTATCACAGCACCCCCCATCATAGCACCCCCCATCACAGCACCCCCATCACAGCACCCCCATCACAGCACCCCCCATCACAGCACCCCCCATCATAGCACCCCCATCACAGCACCCCCATCACAGCACCCCTATCCCCACAACCCCCTCCCCGCACACCCTTCCCAGCACTGTCGTTCCATTATCCCCATCCTAGCATCCCCATCCCAGCACCCCCATCCCTGTACCCCGCATTCCATTACCCCCATCTGCACACTCCCATCCTCGCATCCCCTACCCCTGCATCCCCATCCCATACTCACCATCCCGCACCCCTGTCCCAGCACTGTCATCCCATTGCCCCCATCCCAGCATCCCCATCCCCACACTCCCATCCCTGTACCCCCATCCCCACTCTCATCTTCACATCCCCTAGCCCCACATCCCCATCCCAGCACCCCTCATCCCGCACCCCCCTCCCAGCACTGTCATCCCATTTACCCCCATCCCAGCCTGCCAAAGCCTTACTGGGTGCCGGAGGGCACGGCCAGACTTGGGGACCCCCTTGTCGTGGGAATCACCCCATCACTACCCCAGAACACAGCCAGACCCCAAACCTGCACACACACACACACCCCATACCCCCCCACCCTGTCAATGCCACTGCAGGGACAGGGCCCCCCCAGGGGCCAGTGCTGGGGACCCACCAGAGCACCCCAACATGCACCTTTATTAGAGACCAGAGCCCCAAATCCAGCACCGCGGTGACACTGGGGGCACGGTGACAATGAAGGAACGGGGGGGGGGGGGTAGGGGACCAGCCCCAGCCCCATGCACCCCAGAGGTGCCCATGTCCCATGTCACCGTCCCCATTGTCCCTGGGCCAGCCAGGCTGGGGGTGTCCCAGGGTTGGGGTGTCCCGGGTCGGGGTGTCCCAGGGTTGGGGTGTCCCGGGTCGGGGTGTCCCAGGGTTGGGGTGTCCCGGGTTGGGGTGTCCCGGGTTGGGGTGTCCCAGGGTTGGGGTGTCCCAGGGTTGGGGTGTCCTGGGTTGGGGTGTCCTGGGTTGGGGTGTCCTGGGTTGGGGTGTCCCAGGGTTGGGGTGTCCTGGGTTGGGGTGTCCCGGGTTGGGGTGTCCTGGGTTGGGGTGTCCTGGGTTGGGGTGTCCCGGGTTGGGGTGTCCTGGGTTGGGGTGTCCCAGGGTTGGGGTGTCCCAGGGTTGGGGTGTCCTGGGTTGGGGTGTCCTGGGTTGGGGTGTCCCAGGGTTGGGGTGTCCTGGGTTGGGGTGTCCTGGGTTGGGGTGTCCCAGGGTTGGGGTGTCCTGGGTTGGGGTGTCCCCATCACACTTGTGTCACGATCTCGCCGCTCTCAGGCACGTACACCTGCACGGACACACCATCCGGGGAGCGCCGCAGGATGGGGACTGGGGGGGGACCCTGTGTGGGAGAAGGCACCCATGGGTGCTGGCACCCATCCTGCGCCACGGCAGCACGCCGGGGTGCTGGGGTTGGGGCCTGCATGCACCCATCCTGGTGGGACCCCTGGGTGCTGCTGGGGAGGGAGACAGCACCCCAAGTGTCAGCAGGGACACCCCCCCCCCCCCGGCTAGGGGTACCTCAAGTGGACCCACATGGGAACCTGGGTCCTGCTCGTGGGGCCTTGGTGTGACCAGAGGGACCCCTGTGGGACCCCAGTTCCTCCCCTGTGATCTCCTCAGGACCCCAATCCTCCCCCAGGGTCCCCTTTCGGGCCCGATCCTGTCCCAGGGAACCTGAGGGGTCCCCGATCCTGCCCCAAGGACCCTGTGGGACCCCAGAGCCAACCTGTGGGACCCTGGACTTGCCCGGAGGGGCCATCAGAGGGACCCATCCTGCCCGAAGGAGCTTGAAGAACCTTGGTCCCGTCCCCAAAACTCTCCCAAGACCCAAGCACCTTGGCTCTGCCCCAAGGACCTTAACGGGCCCCTATGCACCCCCTCAGGACCCCACCGGTGCCCGACCCCCCCCCATGGTGACGGCTCCATCAGGGCAGCACCCGCGGGGGTCCCCGTGCCCGTGCCCTACCTGAGCCCGCGGCAGCAGCCCCCGGCTCACGGGCACGTCCCTGGCGATGCCGGCGCGGGGACCCCGGATCGCTCCCTGCCGGTCGAGGGAATGGGGCCGGGCCCCCCGCAGCCGGGCCCGTTGGTGCCACGATTTGAGCTCCTCGGTGACCGTGGCCTTGGAGAGCCCGCGGGGGGCCGCGTAGTCCTTGAGCGATGGGGTGCGCACGATGCGGCTGTGCGAGGGCACCAGGCGCTGGTAGCGCAACGGGGCCAGGTCCTGCTCGTACAGCACCAGCGGCGGCAGCAGCCGCTGGGGTCCCCGCGGGAAGTAAGCGGGGTCGGGAAGGGGCGGTGGGACCGGGGGATGCGGGACCGGGACCTCGGGGCTGCTGCTGCCCGGGGATGTGGCGTGCGAGACGCTGGACAGGTCCGAGATGCTGTCGTCGGAGCCGGAGCGGTGCGCGGGGCCCGGAGGGGGCAGGCAGGATGCGGGCACCGTCACCGTGTAGTACGTGGGGCGCCGGCGGGGGACGGAGCTGCGGCCCCGAGGCTCCTGCGGCCGGGAGCCCTCGACCCTGCGGGCAGCGGAGTGAGGGGGGGGACCCGACCCGTCCGGGAGGCTCCAACCTCCTCCCCATGGGGTTATCCCCAATAACACCTCTCTATGGGTTCAGCTCCATCATCCCCCTAGGGTTATCCCCAACCTCCTCCCCATGGGGTTATCCCCAATAACACCTCTCTATGGGTTCAGCTCCATCATCCCCCTAGGGTTATCCCCAACCTCCTCCCCATGGGGTTATCCCCAATAACTCCTCTCTATGGGTTCAGCTCCATCATCCCCCTAGGGTTATCCCCAACCTCCTCCCCATGGGGTTATCCCCAATAACTCCTCTCTATGGGTTCAGCTCCATCATCCCCCTAGGGTTATCCCCAACCTCCTCCCCATGGGGTTATCCCCAACCTACTCCCTATGCATTCAGCTCCATCATCCCCCTAGGGTTATCCCCAACCTCCTCCCCATGGGGTTATCCCCAATAACTCTTCCCTATGTGTTCAGCTCCATCATCTCCCTAGAGTTATCTCCAGCCTCCTCCCCATGGGGTTATCGCATTCTCTTCCCCATCTCTATGATGTTATCCCCATCCCTCCCTGTTTCCAGCTCCATCACCTCTATAAAGTCATCTTCATTCTCCTCCCCATAGGGTTATCTCCAACCTCCTCCCCATGGGGTTATCCCCAATAACTCCTCCCTATGTGTGCAGCTCCGTCATCTCCCTAGGGTTATCTCCAGCCTCCTCCCCATGGGGTTATCCCATTCTCTTCCCCATCCCTATGATGTTATCCCCACCCCTCCCTGTTTCTAGCTCCATCACCTCTATAAAGTTATCTCCAACCTCCTCCCCATGGAGTTAACTCCATCCTCCCCCTGTTATCTCATCCTCCTCCTGCTGGATTTAGCTCCATCATCTCTAAAGGGTGTCTTCAACCTCCTCCCTATAGGATCAGCAATCTTCCCTTTGGCATTATTTCTAAGTTCCTCCCAATGGGGTTGAATCTATCGTCTCCATAGGGTTAGCTCCATCATCCTCCCCACTGATTTATCTCCATCCTCCCCTTGGAATTATCTCCAATCTCCTCCCCATGGGTTTATATCCATCTCCCTATAAGGGTTATCTCCAACCTCCTCCCCATGGGTTTACATCCATCTCCCTATAAGGGTTATCTCCAACCTCCTCCCCATGGCTTTACATCCATCTCCCTATCAGGGTTATCTTCAACCTCCTCTCCATGGCGTTGTCCCCATCCTCCCCATGGCTTCATCTTCATCATTCCATGGGGTTATCCCATCCTCCATCCCCCCGTTGCAGAGCCCCTTGGCCCCCTCCCCACGCACAGACCATACCTCAGGGACTGGGACTGTCCCCGGCGTCCCGCTGGCTCCGGGCTGCTGGGAGCACTGGATCCCGCCTGCCGGCACAGCACCAGGGTCCGGATGGGTACGAAGCGGTAGGGAGGGACATCCCCGGGCCTGCCCACTGCTGAGGACACAGGGTCAGGGCTACTGGGGACCGGTGGGGACCCAGGATAGCACCGGGGGCTCCGTGTTCCCCCCTCCCCGGCATCGACACCAGGAGCTTTGGCCTTCTCATGGGCTCTGTCGGGGCTGGGGGGCTCCGGTGGGGACCCTGATCCCTCCTCCTCCTCCTCCTCGCTGGGCTCCTCAGGGTCCCCCCGTGGGGTGCTGGCTCCCGGTGTCCGGGTCTCCTCTGTGCGAGAGAGATGGAGCATTGGGATGGAGGGGACCCCCTCGGTCCCCCGTCCCCCCCGTGGCCCCACAGCCCCTCACCCTCCTCCAGCAGGACGGTGTCGGACAAGGAGCTGTCATCGGAGGTGCTGGGCTCTGCGGGATGGGTGCCATGAGAGCGGTGCCGGTACCGGTGCCATCCCCCCCCCCCCCGGGGGCCTCCTCCGCTCCCCGGCTCCCACGGCCGCGTGTCCCGACACGCTCCGGGACGTGGCGGCACCGGCCCGGCCGGCTCTGCCGAGCCCCATGGGCAGCTCCCAGCCTGCCCGGCTGCGCAGGAGGAGCGGGGCCGGGCAGGGCCGGGGGCACCCCGAGGGAAGGAGGCGGCAGCCCCGTGGTCCTGGTGCTGGGGTGCAGGGATGGGGAAAGCACAGCAGGGAAAGGGGGGAACCCCACCCCGATGGCTGCCACTGGGATGGGGATGTCGGGGAGGGTGGATTGGGGGTAGCGATGGGGTGCAACGACCAAGGAGGGAGTTTTAGGGTTCATTCAGGGGGGATGCAATCGGCAGGGATGAAGTTTTGGGGTGCATTCAAGGGGGGGAAATCATGGGGGGATGGCGTATGGGGGGTGCAGGCAGTGGTAATGAACTGTTGGGATGCACTCGTAAGAGAACACGTTGGGGTGCATGCAGCATGGGTGGCATTTTGGGGGGTATCCGGAGGGGTGCATTCAGCAGGGATAAGGAACTGGGTTGTATTCCCCACGTTGGGGTGCTCTCTGGGGGGGTACATTCACTGGGGATAATGTACTGGGATGCACCCTGGAGGGGTGCATTCATCATGGGATGGGGAATTGGGGTGCACTCCCCAGGGATGGCATTCTGGGGGCATTTAGGAGGGTGGACATCCGTCTGTCCATCCATCCATCCATCCATCCATCCATCCATCCATCCATCCAATATCCAACCATCCAATATCTATCCATCCATCCATCCATCCATCCATCCATCCATCCATCCATCCATCCATTCATCCATCCATCCAATATCCAACCATCCAATATCCATCCATCCATCCATCCATCCATCCATCCATTCATCCATCCATCATCCAACCATCCAATATCCATCCATCCATCCATCCATCCATCCATCCATCCATCCATTCATCCATCCATCATCCAACCATCCAATATCCATCCATCCATCCATCCATCCATCCATCCATCCATCCTCCATCCATCCAATATCCATCCAGCAATGGGGAATTGGGGTGCATGCCCCAAGGACTGTTATATGGGGGTGACCCCATGGCCAGGACAGGGCCATGGAGGAGCTCACCCTGGGTACCAGCCCGGGCAGAGAGGAGGCGCCGCTGGTTGAGGACGCTCTGCAGGTCCCGCAGCTTCTGCTCCTCCAGCACGGCCGCGCTCTGCCGGCGCCGCCGCAGCCTCCTGCCGATGTTCTCCTCGCGGCAGAGGCGCCGCGCGGCGCGGGCGATCTGCAGCTGCAGCGCCAGGTCCCGCTCCAGCGCGCTCAGAGGGTCCTGGGGACGGGACGTGCTCGGAGCCAGCCCAAAGGCCCCCATGGGGGAGGCTTGGTGCAACACATCCCATCCTTCCCATCCTACCCCATGTCAGCCCACCCATCCCATCATACCCCATCCTTCCCATCCTACCCCATGTCATCCCACCCATCCCATCACACCCCATCCTTCCCATCCTACCCCATGTCAGCCCACCCTTCCCATCGCAACCCATCACACCCCATCCCAACACATCCCATCCTACCCCATGTCAGCCCACCCTTCCCATCTCACCCCATCCTTCCCATCCTACCCCATGTCAGCCCACCCTTCCCATCGCAACCCATCACACCCCATCCTTCCCATCCCATCCTTCCCATCCTACCCCATGTCAGCCCACCCTTCCCATCACAACCCATCACACCCCATCCTTCCCATCCTACCCCATGTCATCCCACCCTTCCCATCCCAACTCATCTCACCCCATCCTTCCCATCCCAACACATCCCATCCTTCCCATTCTACCCCATGTCATCCCACCCTTCCCATTACAATGCAACACATCCCATCCTTCTCATCCTACCCCATGTCATCCCAGCCTTCCCATCACAACCCATCACATCCCATCCTTCCCATCCTACCCCATGTCATCCCAGCCTTCCCATCACAACCCATCACATCCCATCCTTCCCATCCTACCCCATGTCATCCCAGCCTTCCCATCACAACCCATCACATCCCATCCTTCCCATCCTACCCCATGTCATCCCAGCCTTCCCATCACAACCCATCACATCCCATCCTTCCCAACCTACCCCATGTCAGCCCACCCTTCCCATCACAACCCATCACACCCCATCCTTCCCATCCCATTCAAATCCATCGTTCCCATCCCAATTCATCGCATCCATCCCATCCCATCCTTCCATCTTGCCCTGTGCTTCCTATCCCTCACCTTTCCAGCTCATCCCACACTATCCCATCTCATCATTCCTATTTCCCACCCCTGGCAGTGTTCAAGGCCAGGCTTTGGCGCAAGCTGCTCTAGTGGAAGGGGTCGCTGCCCGTGGCAGGGGTTGGAGCTGGACGAGCTTTACGGTCCCTTCCAACCCAAACCACCCCATAATTCCATGGATGACGACCTCCAGGATGGGATGGGGCCATGTCCCCTGCCCCACTGCACCCAGGCAGCCCCTCACCGCCCCACGCAGGACGAGGGTCTCATCCAGCTTGAAGGAAGCCCCGATCCTGCGCCGGACCTTGGGCGGCTTCTCCCCGGCTCTCAGCGGGTACTCACGGGGCAGCGTCCCCGTCAGCTCCTGGGGAAGCAGGGGGGACCCTGAGCCGCTGCTGTGCCCGGGGGGGGTCGGGCAGGGTTCCCCCGTCCCCACTCACCGCCTCGCGCAGGCAGAGCCGGCGCAGCTCCTGCACGCACCCGTCCAACCGCGCCTCCAGCGCCCGCTGCTGCCCGGCCCGCGGCCAGCCCGGGATACCGGGACCTGGGCATGGAGGAGGGAGGGATGGAGGAGGGAGGGATGGATGGATAGGTGATGGATGATGGATGGATGGATGAGGGATGGATGGATGGATGACGGACGGATGGATGATGAATGGAGGAATGGATGGATGGATGGATGACGGATGGATGGATGAATGGATGGATGATGGACGGAGAGATGGAGGGATGAGGGATGGATGGGTGAGGGATGGATGGATGGATGAGGGATGGATGGATGAGAGATGGATGGATGGAGGGATGATGGATGGAGGGATGATGGATGGATAATGGATGGATGGGTGGATGTATGGATGGATGGATGATGGATGGATGGATGGATGGGTAATGGATGGATGGATGGATGGATGGATGGGTGATGGATGGATGATGGATGGATGGATGGATGATGGATGAGTGATGGATGGATGATGGATGGATGGATGGATGGATGATGGATGGATGGATGGGTAATGGATGGATGGATGGATGGATGGATGGGTGATGGATGGATGATGGATGGATGGATGGATGATGGATGAGTGATGGATGGATGATGGATGGATGGATGGATGGATGATGGATGGATGGATGGGTAATGGATGGATGGGTGATGGATGGATGGGTGATGGATGGATGGGTGATGGATGGATGATGGATGAGTGATGGATGGATGATGGACAGCAGACACCTATTGAGATTCACCCACGCTCCCCCAGCCTTCAGTTTTCCCCAACCCCAGTGCCGACCAAACCATTCCTGACAACCCCCCCAGCAGCACCCATGGGTGCTTCAGCTCCCAGGGAACATTTCACCCTGACTCACCCATCCCCAGTGACTCAAACCCAGACCAGACAACCCCTCGCCATGCTTGCCCCCCCCCCAACCAGGGGAACCCCCATTTCTCCTCCCCCAAAGCAGCTTTGCTGTATCCCATGCACCCAATTGCCCCATCCTCAGCCCAGGGGCACCGTAAGAGGATGCATGTGGGATGGGGCACCCAAAAACCTTCCCCCCCCCCGACCCCCCCCCCAGCACTCACCCGGCTGCAGCAGGATCCCACTGTCCGCATCACTCGCCTCCCCCATGCCGGGCCGGGACCCTGCGGGTGACACCATGGAGACACCTTGTCCCCGCGGCACCCCGCGGGCAGCACCCATGGGTGCTCCCCCCCTCGTTTCCCTTCCTGCTCCCCCCCATCCCCTCCGCATCGCCCCCTCCTTCCCCATCGCCGTGGCTGCGGCCGCCTTCCTGTAGGTCCTACAATAAACAAAGGTGCGCGCACACGTGCGTGGGGGCACCCAGCCCAGGGCAAAGGTGGTCTGGGTGCGGCGGGGCGGGGGGGGGGGGGCTGGGGAACTGGTTTCACTGGGCTCCGCTCCCAGTTTCCAGTCCTTTTCCATCTGGGAATGGAGGGGGGAAGCTGCCGGCGTGGGAAAGCGGCTCCCCCCCGGCACCCCGACACCCCATTCCCTTGGGAACAGGGGGGGGAATGGTGGGAGCGGGGTTTTGGGGTGCTCAGCACTGGGTTCCCCCCACCACCACCTTTCCAGCGGGGCCTCAGTTTCCTGGACGGGGCTGGACGGGGGTCCCGGTGCGTGAGGATGGGGGGGTCCTTACCTGGGCGCTCGCCGCCGGCTCTGCTGCGCCCGGGCCACCGGGACGTGTTTGGGCTTGAGGCGCAGGGAGGGGAGGAGCGGGTGAGCAACACCTTCCGCAGCCTCGCCCCGCGCCGCCCCGCAACCGGGCACCAGCGGCGGAGCTGCCCCGGCTCCAGCAGCGCCTCAACGCAACCGGTCCTGTACGGGCTGGAGCAGCTCTGCTCGGGAGCCAGGCTGGGAGAGCTGGGCTGGGGCAGCCTGGAGAAGAGAAGGCTCCTGAAGGGGAGACCTGAGAGCAGCTCCAGTGCCTGAAGGGGCTGCAGGAAAGCTGGAGAGGGGCTTGGGACAAGGGATGTAGGGACAGGCCAAGGGGAATGGCTTGAACCTGCCAGAGGGGAGACTGAGCTGAGCTCTTAGGCAGAAGCTCTTCCCTGTGAGGGTGCTGAGGCGCTGGCACAGGGTGCCCAGAGAAGCTGTGGCTGCCCCATCCCTGGCAGTGTTCAAGGCCAGGTTGGACACAGGGGCTTGGAGCAAGCTGCTCCAGTGGAAGGGGTCCCTGCCCGTGGCAGGGGTTGGAGCTGGAGGAGCTTTGAGGTCTCTTCCAACCCAAATCAGGCTGGCATTCCATGACTCTTGGCATCTCCCAACAGTCCCCATGGTGTGAGCTCCATCAGCCACCCTCAAGAGCCGTAGGGCAATGAGGAGTGGCTGGAGCTGAAGCAGGTGGATGGATGGATGCATGGATACACGGATGGATGGATGATGGATGGATGATGGATGGATGATGGATGGATACACAAATGGGTGGATACATGGATGATGGATGATGGATGGATGGATGGATGGATGGATGGATGGATGGATGGATGGATGATGGATCATGGATGATGGATACATGGATACATGGGTGATGGATGATCGATGGATGGATGGATGGATGGATGGATGGATGGATGGATGGATGGATGGATGGATGGATGGATGGATGATGGATGCATGGATGGATGGATACATGGATACATGGATGGATGGATACATGGATACACGGATGGATGGATGGATACACGGATGGATGGATGATGGATGCATGGATGGATGGATACATGGATGCATGGATGGATGGATACATGGATGGATGATGGATGATGGATACACAGGTGATGGGCAGACGGATGCTGCCTGTTACTGCGTGACACAGGCGCTGTCCCTCGATAGGCGCTCGATTGATGCCGCCTGCTCCAGCAGCCCGGCCTCAAACCCCCCGCCTGGCGCTCGGGCTATCGACTGCCTCGGCACTCGGCTGCCCGCGCTGCGTGTTCCGGTGTCGCGTTGGCGGCGGGGGATGGCGCTCCGCGCATGCGCAGCGCTGCCGGGCCCGTAGCGGAGTTGGGGGTCCCGCGGCCGCCATGACTAACGGTGAGGGGCGGCCGGGGCTCTGGGGCTCTATGGGGGGCAGTGGGGCCCTATGGGGGGGTATGGGGGCCTGTGGAGGGCAGTGGGGACCCAAGGGGGGCAGTGGGGCCCTGTGGGGGGCAGTGGGGCCCTATGGGGGGCAAAGGGGCCCTATGGGGGGCAGTGGGGCCCTGTGGGGGGCGGTGGGTCCCTGTGGGGGGGCAATGGGGTCCTGTGGGGTGCAGTGGGTCTCTATAGGGGGCAGTGGATCTCTATGGGGTGCAGTGGGGCCCTGTGGGGGGGCAGTGGGTCTCTATGGGGTGCAGTGGGTCCCTGTGGGGTGCAGTGGGTCTCTATGGGGTGCAGTGGGTCTCTGGGGTGCAGTGGGTCCCTGTGGGGGTGCAGTGGGTCCCTATGGGGTGCAGTGGGTCTCTATGGGGTGCAGTGGGTCCCTGTGGGGTGCAGTGGGTCTCTATGGGGTGTGTGTCCCTATGGGGTCTATGTGTCCCTATGGGGTGTGTGTCCCTATGGGGTGTGTGTCCCTATGGGGTCTATGGGTCCCTATGGGGTGCCTGTCCCTATGGGGTCTATGGCTCCCTATGGGGTGTGTATCCCTATGGGGTCTATGGGTCCCTATGGGGTGTATGGATCCCTATGGGGTGCATGTCCCTATGGGGTCTATGGGTCCCTATGGGGTCTGTGTTCCTATGGGGTCTGTGGGTCCCTATGGGGTCTGTGTCCCTATGGGGTCTATGGGTCCCTATGGGGTCTGTGTCCCTATGGGGTCTATGGTCCCTATGGGGTCTATGGGTCCCTATGGGGTCTGTGTCGCTATGGGGTCTGTGTCCCTGTGGGGTCTATGGCTCCCTATGGGGTCTGTGTCCCTATGGGGTCTATGGTCCCTATGGGGTCTGTGTCCCTATGGGGTCTATGGTCCCTATGGGGTCTATGGCTCCCTATGGAGTCTGTGTCCCTATGGGGTCTGTGTCCCTATGGGGTCTATGGTCCCTATGGGGTGTGTGTCCTATGGGGTCTGGGTCCCTATGGGGTCTGGGTCCCTATGGGGTCTATGGCTCCCTATGGGGTGTGTGTCCTATGGGGTGTGTGTCCTATGGGGTGCGTGTCCCGCAGTGTACTCCCTGGACGGGCTGGTGGTGTTCGCGCTGCTGCTGGTGTGCACCTGCGCCCACCTGCGCCACGTGCCCCGCATCAAGGGCTGGCTCCTGAGCGAGAAGCGCGGCCTCTGGGGGGTCTTCTACAAGGGTCAGTGGGGCCGGGGGGGCAAGGGGATGGGACATGGGGATGGGGATGGGAACATGGGGATGGGAACATGGGATGGGGATGGGAACATGGGGATGGGAACATGGGGATGGGAACATAGGGTATGGGGATGGGAATGGGACATGGGGATGGGAACATGGGGATGGGGATGGGGACATGGGATAGGGACATGGGGTATGGGAATGGGAACATGGGGATGGGGATGGGAACATGGGGATGGGAACATGGGAACATGGGGATGGGGATGGGAACATGGGGATGGGAACATGGGAACATGGGGATGGGGATGGGGATGGGATATGGGGATGGGGACATGGGGATGGGGATGGGTACATGGGATATGGGGGTGGGACATGGGATGTGGGGTATGGGGATGGGAACATGGGATATGGGGATGGGACATGGGGTATGGGGATGGGATATGGGGATGGGGATGGAGACATGGGGATGTTGATGGGACATGGGATATGGGGATGGGAACATGGGATATGGGGATGGGAACATGGGGATGGGGACATGGGGATGAGGACAAGGGGATGGGGACATGGGGGATGGGGATGGGAACATGGGATAGGGGGATGGGGATGGGAAAATGGGGGATGGGGATGGGAACATGGGATATGGGGATGGGGACATGGGGGATGGGGATGGGGACACGGGATATAGGGATGGGGACATGGGATATAGGGATGACGACAAGGGATATGGGGATGGGGACATGAGATGGGGACGCAGGATATAGGGATGGGGATGGGACATGGGATACGGGGATGAGGACATGAGGATGAGGACAAGGGGATGGGGACATGGGATATGAGGATGGAGATGACAACATAGGGATTTGGACATGGGGATGGGACATGGGATACGGGGATGGGGACACGGGGATGAGGACATGGGGATGGGGACACGGGATATAGGATGTGAATGGGGACGTGGGGGTGGGACATGGCCTATGAGGTTGGAGATGAGGACATGGGGCTGGGGAGATGGGGCTGGGGAGATGGGATATAGGGATGGAGATATTGGGATGGGGACATGAGGACGGGGAGATGGGATATAGGGATGAGGATGAGGACATGGGGATGCAATGTGGACACAGGGGTCCAGGATGGGGCTGTTGAGGTTCGGGATGGGGACACGGGGGTCTGGGATGGAAGAGTTCGGTCTGGGATGAGGCTTTTGTGTTCCAGGGCAGGGGGGGTGGCTCTGGGATGGGGCCATGGGGGGGTCCCGTCCCGTCCCCCCCAAAACCTGACCCCACTCTGCCCCCCCACAGCCGCCGTCATCGGCACCCGCCTGCACGTGGCTGTGGCTGTGGCCTGCGTGCTCATGGCCTTCTACGTGCTGGTGGTGAAGTGACCCCCCCCTGCAGCGGTGACGGCCACAGAGAGCCCGGTACCACCCCCCGGCGCCCCACAGCCCACCCGGACCTATGGGGGGGTGCCATGGGCCAAAGCCCTCCTTAGACCCCCCCCCCCTTTGTGGGGCACCTCTGCACCCTTGGGGTGAACGATGGGACCAGGGGCAGACCCAGCTGTGCCCCATGGGCACCTTGTCCTGATGCTGAACCCAATGGCTCACAGGGGTGCAGCCTCCTGCCATGGGGACTTGTGGGGCTGGGCCCCCCCCCCCTCCGCCAGTGGGATGTCCATCCATGGGGGGGTCTGTCCCCTGTGCCCATGGGTTTGTCACTGCCCACGTTGGGAATGCTGGAGCACGGCCTGGAAATAAAGCTGGGGCTCCCCTATGGGCAGCAGTGGTTGTGTGGGGCAGGGGGGCTGCTATGGGGCTGGTTGTTGGGGGGTCCCATGGGGCTGGAGTCCTGGCGGGTGGAAGGCGGGTGTTGGCAGCTACTGGTCAAGGTGCTGCTGTGGGGCTGGCTGCCATGGGGCCAGGGGCTGCGGGGCTGGTCCCTGTTGGCAAAGGGGCTGCCATGGGGCTGGGGGTCCCATAGGGTGGGGGACTGGCAGCTGTGGGGTCCCATAGGGCAGGGGCCTGGCTGCTGTGGGGTCCTATAGGGCAGGGGGCTGGCTACTATGGGGTCCCATAGGGCAGGGGGCTGGCTGCTATGGCGTCCTATAGGGCAGGGGCTGCTATGGGGTCCCATATGGCATGGGGCTGGCTGCTATGGGGTGCTATAGGGCAGGGGCTGCTGTGGGGTCCCATAGGGCAGGGGCTGGCTACTATGGGGTCCCATAGGGCATGGGCTGGCTGCTGTGGGGTCCTATAGGGCAGGGGCCTGGCTACTGTGGGGTCCTATACGGCAGGGGCTGGCTGCTATGGGGTCCTATAGGGCAGGTGCTGGCTGCTATGAAGTCCTATAGGGCAGGGGGCTGGCTGCTATGGGGTCCTATAGGGCAGGGGCTGCTGTGGGGTGCCATAGAGCAGGGGCTGGCTGCTGTGGGGTCCTATAGGGCAGGGGCTGGCTGCTATGGGGTCCTATAGGGCAGGGGCTGCTATGGGGTCCCATAGGGCATGGGGCTGGCTGCTATGGGGTCCTATAGGGCAGGGTCTGGCTGCTATGGGGTCCCATAGGGCAGGGTCTGGCTGCTATGGGGTCCTATAGGGCAGGGTCTGGCTGCTATGGGGTGCCATAGAGCAGGGGCTGGCTGCTGTGGGATTCTATAGGGCAGGGGCTGCTATGGGGTCCCCAGTAGTTGTGGGGCGTGGCCTCCTCCGATGGGGGGGAGAGGGGGCTGGGGCTGTGATTGTGCGAGGGGGCGGAGGGGAGCGTGGGTCCTCCCAACCACCAGGGGGCGCAGTGGGGCGGGGGCGGGGCCGGGCCTTGCCACGCCCTTTCCCATCGTGCTCCAGGCGGGCGCGCCATAAACTGGCGGCGGGGGGCGAGCGGCGGGTGCGTGAGCGTGCGGGTGCGAGGAGAGCACGTGAGTGTGCAGGGGGAGCACGTGAGTGTGCAGGGGGTGCGTGTGCAAGGAGCGCACGTGAGTGTGCAGGAGGAGCACGTGAGTGTGCAGGGGGTGCGTGTGCAAGGAGAGCACGTGAGTGTGCAGGGGGAGCACGTGAGTGTGCAGGGGGTGCGTGTGCAAGGAGAGCACGTGAGTGTGCAGGGTTTGCGTGTGCAAGGAGAGCACGTGAGTGTGCAAGGGGGGCGTGTGCAAGGAGCGCACGTGAGTGTGCAGGGGGTGCGTGTGCAAGGAGAGCACGTGAGTGTGCAGGAGGAGCACGTGAGTGTGCAGGGGGTGCGTGTGCAAGGGGGGCACGTGAGTGTGCAAGGAGAGCACGTGAGTGTGCAAGGGGGGCGTGTGAGCTTGCGTGCGTGTGCAAGGGGAGCACGTGTGCGTGAGTGTGCAAGGGGTGTGTGTGCAAGGGGGGCGTGTGAGCTTGCGTGTGTGCAACGGGTGTGTGTGTGTGTGTGTGAGCGTGAACGTGCGTGTGCAAGGGGCGTGCAAGGCCGCGGTGCCCCCCCCTCCCCTTTCCTCCCGGCTCTACACGTTGATCTTATTCGATCGGCCCCGGCCGAGATGAGAAGAGCGGCGCCGCGAAGCCCCTTCCCCCGCCCCCGGGGCGCTGTGCGGCGGCGGCCCCGGCCCGGGCGGGATGAGTCGATCAGATAGGCGAGGCGCTGAGCCGCTGAGCTGCTGCCGAGTCTGACCCGCGGCCACCGCCACCGCCAACGCCGCGCCGGGAGCGCGCACACCGGGGGAGGACCACGGGGACACGCGGGATCCCCGTCCCTGCAGCGCCCCCGTGCGGGCGGCGGTGGAGCCGTGACCCTGATCCGTGCGCCCGGTACCCCGTGGGATCATGGAGCCAACCAGGCTGGGAAAGCGCTTTCAGCTCGTCCGGTCCAACCTCGGTACCGGCACTGCCAAGGCCACCACTGACCCATGGCACTGAGCGGGTGTGAGCACTTGCAGGGACGGTGCCTGCAGCCCTGCCCTGGGCAGCCTGTTCCAATGCCTGAGCACCCTCTGGGGCAGGAATTGTTCCTCAGCTCCATCTAAACCTGCCCTGGGGCAGCTTGAGGCCGTTTCCTCTTGTCCCATCCCTTGTTCCCTGGGAGCAGAGCCCAGCCCCTCCTGGCTCCATCCTCCTCTCAGGCACTTGTAGGCAGCCATCAGGTCCCCCCTGAGCCTTCTCTTCTCCAGCCTGAACCCCCCAGGTCCCTCAGCCCTTCCCCATCACACTTGTGCTCCAGGCCCTGCACCAGCTCCATTCCCTTCTCTGGCCCCACTCCAGCACCTCAATGTCTCTCTTGCAGTGAGGGGCCCAGAGCTGAACACAGGATTCGAGGTGCAGCCTCACCAGTGCCCAGCGCAGGGGCACAATCCCTGCCCTGGCCCTGCTGCCGCACTGGTGCTGATCCAGGCCAGGATGCTGGGGGCTTCCTGGCTGCCTGGGCACGAGCTGCTCGTGTTCAGCTCCATCACTCAGCATCCCCAGCTCCTTTCGCATGAGCAGTTTCCAGCCGCGCTTCCCCAAGCCTGGAGCGTTGCAGGGGGCTGTTGTGGCCCAAGTGCAGGACCTGGCACTTGGCCTTGTTGAACCTCATCCCACTGGCAAAGCCCATGGACCCAGAAGTGACACCGATCACCACTGCTTTGAGCTTGGCCACCCAGTGAAGGGTCCTCCTGAACAGGCCATGGGCAGCCGATGCCTGCAGGAGAGCACTGGGGACAGTGTCAACGCTTTACTGAAGTCCCTGTCCCCATCTCCCATCTCCCCCTGTCCCTGTGTGTCCCATATTCCTGTATACCATATATATATCTGTATACCATATTCCATATCCCCATGTCTCCATGTGTCTCCTGTCCCTATATCACATGTCCCCATATCCCATGTCCCTGTGTGCCCCATGTCCCTGCATCCCATGTTCCCATCTCCCTGCATCCCGTGTTCCCATGTGTGTCCCGTATCCCTATATCCAATGTCCCTATATCCCTACATCCCATGTTCCCATGTGTGTCCCATGTCCCTACATCCCGTATCCCCATCTCCCTACATCTCATGTTCCCATGTGTGTCCTATATCCCTATATCCCATCTCCCTACATCTCATGTTCCCATGTGTGTCCCATATCCCTATATCCCATCTCCCTGCATCCCGTGTTCCCATGTGTGCCCCATGTCCGTACATCCCATGTTCCCATGTGTGTCCCATATCCCTATATCCCATCTCCCTACACCCCATCTTCCCATGTGTGTCCCATTTCCCTATATCCCATGTTCCCATCTCCCTACACCCCATGTTCCCATGTGTGTCCCATATCCCTATCTCCCTACATCTCATGTTCCCATGTGTGTCCCATATCCCTATCTCCCTACACCCCATGTTCCCATGTGTGTCCCATATCCCTATATCCCATCTCCCTGCATCCCATGTTCCCATGTGTGCCCCATGTCCCTACATCCCATGTTCCCATCTCCCTACACCCCATGTTCCCATGTGTGTCCCATATCCCTATATCCCATCTCCCTGTATCCTGGTGCCCCTTGCCCTAAACATGAGCTGGGACCATTCCCGCGATGGGGTCTGTGTGTGAATTCACTCCCGGTACCAGGCAGGGATGGAGGGGGGGGGGGGTGGAGGGGGTGATTCCTGGTGCCATTCCCGGGATCACGCTCCCGGTGCCGGGCACCGCCGAGATAACGATGCTGGATGCTGCCGGGATAACGATGCTCGGCGCTGCCGGGATAACGATGCCGGATGCTGCCGGGATAACGATGCCGGATGCTGCCGGGATAACGATGCCGGGTGCTGCCGGGATAACGATGCCAGATGCTGCCGGGATAACGATGCCGGGTGCTGCCGGGATAACGATGCCGGGTGCTGCCGGGATAACGATGCTGGATGCTACCGAGATAACGATGCTCGGCGCTGCCGGGATAACGATGCTGGATGCTGCCGGGATAACGATGCTGGATGCTGCCGGGATAACGATGCTGGATGCTGCCGGGATAACAATGCTCGGCGCCGCTCCCTCTCCGGCGCTCCCACGATAACGGCGCCGTTCCCGTTGTTCCGTTCCCGCTGTTCCGTTCCCGTTGTTCCGTTCCCGCTGTTCCGTTCCCGCTGTTCCCGTTCCCGTTGTTCCGTTCCCGCTGTTCCGTTCCCGTTGTTCTGTTCCTGTTGGTCCCGTTCCCGTTGTTCCGTTCCCGCTGTTCCCGTTGTTCCCGTTCCCGTTCCCTCCGCTCGGCCGCGGGGCGGGGGCGGGCGCAGGTGCCCGCAGGTGCGCGCACGGGGCCGGGCCGTTGAGCGGGGTGGGGGGGGGGGGGCGGAGCCCGTGCCCGGTGCTCGGGGCCCACTCGGGGCCGAATCCTGCGCCATGGCCGGGGCCCGCTGGGCGCTGCTGGTGCTGAGCGTGGCGGCCGCCGCCGGGAGCGGCGATGCCGGGGAGCGGCTTCACGTCTGCAAGGAGGTACCGGAACGGGGGGGGTCTGTAGGGTGTGAGGGGTCCATATAGGGTGTGTGGGGTCCGTATAGGGTGCGGGGGGTCCTCTATAGGGTGTGAAGGGTCCATATAGGGTGAGGGGGGTCCATATAGGGTGCGGGGGGTCCTCTATAGGGTGCATGGGGTCCATATAGGGTGCGTGGGGTGCATATAGGGTGTGGAGGGTCCCTATAGGGCGTGTGGGATCCATATAGGGTGTGGGGGGTCCCTATAGGGTGCGAGGGGTCCCTATAGGGTGCGTGGGGTCCATATAGGGTGTGGGGTCCCTATAGGGTGCGTGGGGTCCATATAGGGTGTGGGGTCCCTATAGGGTGCGTGGGGTCCTCTATAGCGTGTGGGGGGGTGTCTCTGTAATGGGTGTGGGGTCCCCTATAGGGTGTGTGTGTGGGTCTCTATAATGAATGTTGGGTCCCCTATAGGGTGTGTGGGGTCCCTATAGGGTGCGTGGGGTCCATATAGGGTGGGGGGGGTCCTCTATAGGGTGCGTGGGGTCCTCTATAGCGTGTGTGGGGGTGTCTCTGTAATGGGTGTGGGGTCCCCTATAGGGTGTGTGTGGGTCTCTATAATGAATGTTGGGTCCCCTATAGGGTGTGTGGGGTCCCCTATAGGGTGTGTGTTTGGGTCTCTATAATGAATGTTGGGTCCCCTATAGGGTGTGTGGGGTCCCCTATAGGGTGTGTGGGGTCCCTATAGGGTGCGTGGGGTCCATATAGGGTGTGGGGTCCCTATAGGGTGCGTGGGGTCCATATAGGGTGTGGGGGGTCCTCTATAGGGTGCGTGGGGTCCTCTATAGCGTGTGGGGGGGTGTCTCTGTAATGGGTGTGGGGTCCCCTATAGGGTGTGTGTGGGTCTCTATAATGAATGTTGGGTCCCCTATAGGGTGTGTGGGGTCCTTATAGGGTGTGTGGGGTCTCTATAATAGGTGTGGGGTCTCCTATAGGGTGTGTGCGGTCCCTATAGGGTGTGTGGGGTCCATATAGGGTGTGGGGGGTCCCCTTTAGGGTGTGTGTGGTCCATATAGGGTGAGGGGGGGTCCCCTATAGTGTGTGTGGGGAGTCTATAATGGATGTGGGGTCCCCTATAGGGTGTGTGGGGTCCCCTATAGCGGGGGGGGGGGATGTCTCTATAATGGGTGTGGGGGTCCCTATATTATGGGGGGGTCTGTGTAGTGTGTGGGGTCCTTATAGCAGGGGGGGTCCTTACAGCATTGGGGGTTCCCTATAGTGTGGAGCATCCCTATAGCATGGAGGGGTCTCCTATAGTGTCTGTGTGGGTTCCTATAGCGGGGAGGGGGGGGTCCTCTATAGGTGTGGGGGGGTCCCTATAGTTGGGGTGGCTCCACCCTTGCCAAAAGGGGGTCCCATGGAGGGGCTGTCACCTATAGGGAATGTATGGGCTGGGCTGTGCTGCTTATAAGGGGGGGGGGGGGTGCTGCAAAGGGTCCCCTATAGCAATGGGATGGATAAGGGGGGGTGTCTGTGATGCTGCGAGTGATCCTGGGGGGGTCCATGAAGTCCCCACATCCCGGTTGGATTCTGACACTGGGGGGACATCGTGGTGTCCCCAAACCCCAATGGGGTGGAGGGGGGGGGTCACCCATGTCCCATGGGCTGGTCCCAGCCTGGCCCAGTGGGGACAAATTGTCCTGTGAGGGGAAAGGGGGGGAGGCTCTGCTCACCCCATGGGGTGTTCCCCATCCCGTCCCCCCCCCTGAGGCCCCACGGCTGCTTTCATCTGGGTTTGTGATCCGGTTTTCCACGTGTGTTTGTTCCAGAGCCGGGAACAATGGGATGGGGCTGGCTCCCGGCCCAAGGAAACACCCCCATGGGGGGGGATTGTGTCCCTTGTCCCCATCCCTCTCTGGGGACAGCCCCAAACACCCCCCCCCCAGGGTGAATTGGGTCAAAGGATTGGGATTTAAGGGAAAATTCAGTGCTTTTGTACAGGGGGGGAGGTTTGGGAAGAGGGGAACGAGCTCCTTCCTCCCATGGGAATCCCTCCGGAGCCAGGGCTGCTGCTGCACCCATGGGTGCTGGTGGCACCCAAGCTCTGTGTCCCCAGCCCAGGCTGGGGGCCCCTGAGATGCCAGAGCCAGCGGCATCGGCCTTCGCCGGGATTAATGGCTCCGGTTGGATGCGGCTCCTTGGTCTGGAGCCAGGCCCAGCCCGGAAGGTCGCAGTGCCCCGGCTCTGATCCTGCCGGCGGCACCGCCGGGGTGCTGCCACCAAAGGGGCCTTCCAAGGAAGGGTGCTCCCAAGGGATGGCTCTCCCAAAGGAGGGTGCTTCCCATGGAGGGTGCTCCTGATGAAGGGTGCTCCCAGCAAGGAATCCGTGCGATGGAGGGCGCTCAGGTGGATGGAATTCCCAACGGAGGGTGCTCCTGAGGGAAGGTTTTCTTGATGGGGGGTGCTCCCCATGGAGGGTGCTCCCCATGGGGGGTGCTCCCAGTGGAGGATGCTCCCGATGGATGGTGCTCCCACCAAAGGGTCCTTCCAATGGAGGGTGCTCCCAATGGAGGGTGCTCCAAATGGAGGGTGCTCACAACGGAGGGTGCTTACAACAGAGGGTGCTCCCAATAGAGGGTGCTCCCGATGGAGGGTGCTCCAAATGGAGGGTGCTCTCAATGGTGGGTGCTCCCAATGGAGGGTGCTCCCAATGGAGGGTGCTCTCAATGGTGGGTGCTCCCAACAGAGGGTGCTCTCAACGGAGGGTGCTCTCAACGGAGGGTGCTCCCAATGGAGGGTGCTTCCAATGGAAGATTCTCTCAACAGAGGGTGCTCTCAACAGAGGGTGCTCCCAATAGAGGGTGCTCTCAACGGAGGGTGCTCCCAATGGAGGGTGCTTCCAATGGAAGATTCTCTCAACAGAGGGTGCTCTCAACAGAGGGTGCTCCCAATAGAGGGTGCTCTCAACGGAGGGTGCTCCTAATGAAGGGTGCTCCCAATGAAAGATGCTTCCAATAGAGGGTGCTCCCAATAAGGGGTGCTCTCAATGGAGTGTCCTCCCAATGAAGGGTGCTCCCAATGAAGGATGTTCCCAATGGAGGGTGCTCCCAATAGAGGATGCTCCCAATGAAAGATGCTTCCAATAGAGGGTGCTCCCAATAAAGGGTGCTCTCAATGGAGGGTGTTCCCAATGAAGGGTTCTCCCAATAAAGGATGCTCCCAATAGAGGGTGCTCCCAATGAAGGATGTTCCCAATGGAGGGTGCTCCCAATGGAGGATGCTCTCAACGGAGGGTGCTCCCAATGGAGGGTGCTCCCAATGGAGGGTGCTCCCAATAAAGGGTGCTCCCAATGGAGGGTGCTCCCAATGAAGGGTGCTCCCAATGAAGATGCTCCCAATGAAGGATGCTCCCAATGGAGGATGTTCCCAATGGAGGATGCTCCCAATGGAGGATGTTCCCAATGGAGGGTGCTCCCAATGGAGGATGCTCCCAATGGAGGATGTTCCCAATGGAGGGTGCTCCCAATGGAGGATGCTCCCAATGGAGGATGTTCCCAATGGAGGGTGCTCCCAATGAAGGATGCTCCCAATGGAGGCTGCTCCCACCAAAGGGCTCCCCTTGGGGGGAAGGGGCATGCATTCCACCCCACCTCCCCCCCCCCAGCACCCCACAGCGCTCCGGGGCCGCAGCTCCCCGTGTGTCTCCTCTCCCGCAGTCCGAGTACCACTACGAGTACACGGCGTGTGACAGCGCGGGCTCGCGGTGGCGGGTGGCGGTGCCGCACACACCGGGGCTCTGCACCGGGCTGCCGGACCCCGTCAGGGGCACCGAGTGCTGTAAGGCCGGGATGGGTGGGAGGAGCAGTGGGGTGGGGTGTGGGTGCCACATTGGGGTGACCCCTGTGTTGTGTGTGTGTCCCCCATCCCGGTGCAGCGTTCTCCTGCAGGGCAGGCGAGTTCCTGGACATGAAGGCGCAGCGGTGCCGGCCCTGTGCCGAGGGCACCTACTCCTTGGGTACCGGCGTCCGCTTCGATGAGTGGGATGAGGTGCCCCACGGCTTCGCCAGCGTCGCCACCAGCCTGGACAGCGATGACGGCTTTGGGGACGCGGTGGAGAACTGCACGGGGTGAGGGCCGGAGCCAGCGGTGGGGCTGTGGATGGGTACGGCATCAGTGGGGCTGGAGGGGGGATGCAGCATCAATGGGGCTGGAGGAGGTCACAGCATCAATGGGGCTGGGAATGGTCACAGCAGCAGCAGGGCTGGAGTGGGTCACAGCATCAACAGAGCTGGAAGGGGGACACAGCATCAGTGGGGCTGGAGGGGGGACACAGCATCAATGGGCCTGGGAATGGTCACAGCATCAACAGAGCTGGAAGGGGGTCACAGCATCAATGGGGCTGGAGGATGTCACAGCATCAGTGGGGCTGGGAATGGTCACAGCATCAATGGGGCTGGGAATGGTCACAGCATCAGCAGGGCTGGAGAGGGGTCACAGCGTCAGCAGGGCTGGAAGGGGGTCACAGCATCAACAGGGCTGGAAGGGGGTCACAGCATCAATGGGGCTGGGAATGGTCACAGCATCAATGGGGCTGGAGGAGGTCACAGCATCAATGGGGCTGGGAATGGTCCCAGCATCAGCAGGGCTGGAGAGGGGTCACAGCATCAGCAGGGCTGGAGAGGGGTCACAGCATCAGCAGGGCTGGAAGGGGGTCACAGCATCAACAGGGCTGGAAGGGGGTCACAGCATCAATGGGGCTGGGAATGGTCACAGCAGCAGCAGGGCTGGAAGGGGGTGACCGCATCAGCAGGGCTGGAAGGGGGACACAGCATCAGTGGGGCTGGTAATGGTCACAGCATCAGTGGGGCTGGAAGGGGGACACAGCATCAGTGGGGCTGGGAATGGTCACAGCATCAGTGGGGCTAGAAGGGGGTCACGGTGTCAGTGGGGCTGGGAACGGCCACAGCATCAATGGGGCTGGAAAGGACTCTGGAGATCATCGGGTCCAGCTCCTCCAGAGGAGGAGTTTCCCCCCCACAGGGTGCTGCTGGGGGCTCATCTGCCCTGGCACAATGGTGACGGTGCAGCAGTGAGCAGGATGGGTGCTGTGACCCCTCTATGCGTGGGCAGCACCCCATTTCCTGCTCCCCCCCACTCCCTCCATCACTGTTCCCTGGGGGATGATGCTCACAGGGTGCTACCAGGACCCTATGGGTGGTGAGCCCCCCCCAGCCCCAAGGGACCCCCACACCCTCGCAGAGGGAGCACCCATGGGCATCCCCACAACCTTTATCTTCCACCATGGGGCACCCACAGCAACCAGCCCTCCTCGCAGAGGGAGCACCCATGGGAGTCCCCCGACCTTGAACCGGCACCGGGGCCCTTTGGTGCTGGCACCATCCAACCCTGCCGGTACCGGCGGCTCCGGTGCTGCCGCGGCTGCTGCAGCCTTTATGCAACTTGCAGATGTAACCTCCTTCCAGCAGCGCTCCCATTATTCATCCAGCAGCTCCGGTGCGGGATCCCTCCTCTTCCTCCTCCCCATTGCCTCTCACAGTGCCAATGTCCTCCAGGGACCACCGTGCAGTGACACATCCCCAAGCCCCCGTTCCCAGCACCACCTCCCTGCCCCTTTGGCACCATCCTCAGCACCCCATGGTCCATGCCGGTGATGGGGATGTCCCGTTCCCCCCCCAGGTCAACGTGGGTGCCGCTGGGGGACTACGTGGCCTCCAACACGGATGAGTGCACGGCCACGCTCATGTACGCCGTCAACCTCAAGCAGTCGGGGACCGTGTCCTTCGAGTACCTCTACCCCGACAGCAGCATCGTCTTTGAGTTCTTTGTAGGTGATGGGTGCAAAGGGGGTGTCCCTGGGGGCAATGGGGTGTCCCTGGGGTCAATGGGGTGTCCCTGGGGGCATTGGGGGTGTCCCTGGGGTCAATGGGGTGTCCATGGGGGCATCGGGGGTGTCCCTGGGGTCAATGGGGGTGTCCCTGGGGGCAATGGGGGTGTCCTTGGGGGCTATGGGGGTGTCCCTGGGGGCTATGGGGGTGTCCCTGGGGTCAATGGGGTGGCATTGGGGGCATTGGGGGTGTCCTTGGAGGCATTGGGGGTGTCCCTGGGGTCAATGGGGGTGTCCCTGGGGACAATGGGGGTGTCCTTGGGGGCAATGGGGTGTCCCTGGGGACAATGGGGGTGTCCCTGGGGTCAATGGGGTGTCCCTGGGGGCAATGGGGGTGTCCCTGGGGTCAATGGGGTGTCTCTGGGGACAATGGGGGTGTCCCTGGGGTCAATGGGGTGTCCCTGGGGACAATGGGGGTGTCCATGGGGGCATCGGGGGTGTCCCTGAGGTCAATGGGGGTGTCCTTGGGTGCATTGGGGGTGTCCCTGTGGTCAATGGGGGTGTCCCTGGGGTCAATGGGGTGTCCCTGGGTGCAAAGGGGGTGTCCCTGGGGTCAATGGGGTGTCCCTGGGGACAATGGGGGTGTCCTTGGGGGCAATGGGGTGTCCCTGGGGTCAATGGGGTGTCCCTGGGGACAATGGGGGTGTCCATGGGGGCATCGGGGGTGTCCCTGGGGTCAATGGAATGTCCCTGTGGTCAATGGGGTGTCCCTGGGGACAATGGGGGTGTCCATGGGGGCATCGGGGGTGTCCCTGAGGTCAATGGGGGTGTCCTTGGGTGCATTGGGGGTGTCCCTGGGGTCAATGGGGGTGTCCCTGTGGTCAATGGGGTGTCCCTGGGGTCAATGGGGTGTCCCTGTGGTCAATGGAATGTCCCTGTGGTCAATGGGGTGTCCCTGGGGTCAATGGGGTGTCCCTGTGGTCAATGGAATGTCCCTGTGGTCAATGGGGTGTCCCTGGGGGCATTGGGGGTGTCCCTGGGGTCAATGGAATGTCCCTGTGGTCAATGGGGTGTCCCTGGGGTCAATGGGGTGTCCCTGGGGGCATTGGGGGTGTCCCTGTGGTCAATGGGGTGTCCCTGGGGGCATTGGGGGTGTCCCTGTGGTCAATGGGGTGTCCCTGGGGTCAATGGGGTGTCCCTGGGGTCAATGGGGTGTCCCTGGGCACATGGGGATCCTCGCACCACTCCCGCAGGTGCAGAACGACCAGTGCCAGGCCACGGTGGAGGAGTCGCGCTGGATGCGGACGACGGAGAAGGGTTGGGAATTCCATAGCGTGAGTGAGGAGCATGGGGGGGACGTGACGTGGGGGGGGGGGGGTCCCTCATTGCACCCCCCAGGTCCTTTGTCCATCCCCTGTGAAGAAGATGCCCCATGAGGGTGGGTGCTGGCAAAGGGGGGGGGGGGGGTAAATCCTCACCCCCCCCCATCACCCCCCCACCCATGGGTGCTGACCCCCATCACCCCTCTCCATCCAGGTGGAGCTGAGCCGCGGGAACAACGTCCTCTTCTGGCGCACCACGGCCTTCTCCGTGTGGTCCAAGGTGCCCAAGCCGGTGCTGGTGAGGAACATCGGCATCACCGGTAGGTGCAGGGCGCAAGGATGGATGGTGGGGGTCCCCCCATCGCCCCCATCACTGAGCCCCGTCCCGTGCCAGGGGTGGCCTTCACCTCCGAGTGCTTCCCTTGCAAACCCGGCACCTTCGCGGCCGCCGCCGGCTCCTCCTCCTGCCAGCCCTGCCCCGCCGACACCTCCTCGGGCAAAGGGGCCACCTCCTGCCAGCCCTGCGAGCCCGGCAGCTACGCGGGTGAGCGGGGACACGGCCCCCCCAAGTCCCATCCCCACACCGTGCCCGTCTTCCCCCCTATGGAAGCGGAGGGGGACGGGACGGACACGACACGGGGGTGATGCGAGCATCCCCATCCCCACAGAGCCCGGCTCAGCCTCCTGCAAGCCGCGGCCGCCCTGCACGGACAAGGATTACTTCTACACTCACTCTGCGTGCGATGAGCACGGGGAGGTACGGGAAGGGGAAGCGGGGAGTTGGGGGGGGGGACGGGACCGTTCCTTGTGTGTGTCCCCCCCCCCGGTCGCGCTCAGCCCCCGGGCTCCGCTCCGCAGACGCAGTTGATGTTCAAATGGGCTGAACCCAAGGTGTGCAGCGAGGAGCTCCCGCAAGCGGCCAAGCTGCCGCCGTCGGGGGGCCGGACCCGGTGCCCCCCCTGCAATCCCGGCTTCGCCGCCGTCAACGGCTCCGCCTGCCAGCCCTGCCCGCTGGGTTCCTACTCCAACGGCTCCGGTACCGCTGTCGCCAACGGGGCACCCCCGGTTCTGTGCCGGGGCTGGGTCGTTGGGCTCCCAATGTCAGCTCCGTTGTAACCCCCCAAGGGGTGGCCTCAGGGTGTCGGGGGGTTGGCGGGTTCCATCCCGCTGCTGGGTTCTCCCCTCCTGTCCCTATGGCTGCAGAAAGGGCATCGCTGTCACCGGCCCCTGGGTGCCTTGTGCCCACCCCGGGGCTGGGCTGTCCCCTCCTGTCCCCACGGCTCTGTTGAGGACATCACTGTCATCACCTCATCCCCGGGGGGTGTTGGTGGGTTCCATCCCCGTGCTGCCTTCTTGGGGTCCCCTCAAGATGTCACCATCATTGTCCCCAATGGGTATCATGGGGGGGGGGGGGGAGCTGTTGGGTACCACCACGGCTCCGTGCTGTCCCCTCCGGTCCCCAGGCTGCCTGAGCTGCCCCGCGGGCACGGAGCCGGTGCTGGGGCTGGAGTACAAGTGGTGGAACGTGCTGCCCCCCAACATGGAGACCACGGTGCTGAGCGGCATCAACTTCGAGTACAAGGGGATCGCAGGTAGGAGCCGGCTGCCCCTAGCGCTGGGCCCTGCCCGGGGACCCCCTCGAGCCCCCACCGTGTCCCTGCAGGCTGGGAGGTGGCCGGGGACTACATCTACACGGCAGCCGGAGCCTCCGACAACGACTTCATGATCCTCACGTTGGTGGTGCCCGGCTTCAGGTGAGGTGGGGAGCGGGGGCACCAGCACCCACAGAGGGACCCAATGGGGTCCCAATGCTGCTGTCGTGTCCCCCCCCCCCCCCCGTGCTGTCCTCAGCCCCCCAAGCCCGGTGCTGGAGGATGCGGAGAGCAAGGAGGTGGCCAGGATCACCTTTGTCTTTGAGATGATCTGCAGCGTGAACTGCGAGCTCTACTTCATGGTGGTGAGCGGTGGGACCCGGCTATGGGGTGTGGGGGGGGACACACACACTTTGGGGGGTGTATGTGTGGGGTGGGGGGTCCCACCATTGCCGCACGCCCACCCAAGGGCATCAACTCCCACACCAACACCCCGGTGGAGACGTGGACGGGCCCGCGGGGGAAGCAGTCCTACACGTACGTGGTGGAGAAGAACGCGAGCATGAGCTTCACGTGGGCTTTCCAGCGCACCCCGTACCACGAGGAGGTGAGGAATGGGGTGTCCCCCATCCCCATCCCCATCCCCATCGGGTGCCATGGGTGACGGGTGCTGTCCCCGCCAGGGCCGGCGCTACACCAGCGACGTGGCCAAGCTCTACTCCATCAACGTCACCAACGTCCTCGGGGGGGTGGCTTCCTTCTGCCGGCGCTGCGGCCCCGAGGCCGCGGGGTCCTGCACCCCCTGCCCCCCCGGGCACGTCATGGAGCATGGGGCGGGCGCCTGCCGGCCCTGCCCCCCCGGCACCTACCTGCGGGGTCACCCCTCCGATGGGCTCCCCGCCTGCCAACCCTGCGGGCCCGGCACCTACAGCAACCAGGTGCCTGGGGAGGGGGGGGCATGGGGTCTGGGTCCATGGGATGGGGTCCATGGGGTCTGGGTTCATGGGATGGGGTCCATGGGGTCTGGGTCCATGGGATGGGGGTCCATGGGGTCTGGGTTCATGGGATGGGGGTCCATGGGGTTTGGGTCCATGGGGTGATGTCCATGGGGTTTGGGTTCATGGGATGGTGTCCATGGGGTTTGGGTTCATGGGATGGGGGTCCATGGGGTGATGTCCATGGGGTCTGGGTTCATGGGATGGGGTCCATGGGGTTTGGGTTCATGGGATGGTGTCCATGGGGTTTGGGTCCATGGGATGATGTCCATGGTGTCTGGGTTCATGGGATGGTGTCCATGGGGTTTGGGTTCATGGGATGGGGGTCCATGGGGTGATGTCCATGGGGTCTGGGTTCATGGGATGGTGTCCATGGGGTTTGGGTCCATGGGATGGGGGTCCATGGGGTGATGTCCATGGGGTGATGACCATGGGGTTTGGGTCAATGGGATGGTGTCCATGGGGTCTGGGTTCATGGGATCGGGGTCCATGGGATGGGGGTCCATGGGGTGATGTCCATGGGGTGATGACCATGGGGTTTGGGTCAATGGGATGGTGTCCATGGGGTCTGGGTTCATGGGATGGGGTCCATGGGGTTTGGGTTCATGGGATGATGTCCATGGGGTTTGGGTCCATGGGGTGATGTCCATGGTGTCTGGGTTCATGGGATGGTGTCCATGGGGTCTGGGTTCATGGGATGGGGGTCCATGGGGTGATGTCCATGGGGTTTGGGTCCATGGGATGGTGTCCATGGGGTTTGGGTCCATGGGATGGTGTCCATGGGGTCTGGGTTCATGGGATCGGGGTCCATGGGATGGGGGTCCATGGGGTGATGTCCACGGGGTTTGGGTCAATGGGATGGTGTCCATGGGGTTTGGGTTCATGGGATGGGGGTCCATGGGGTGATGTCCATGGGGTCTGGGTTCATGGGATGGTGTCCATGGGGTTTGGGTCCATGGGATGGTGTCCATGGGGTCTGGGTTCATGGGATGGGGGTCCATGGGATGGGGGTCCATGGGGTGATGTCCATGGGGTTTGGGTCCATGGGATGGTGTCCATGGGGTTTGGGTCCATGGGATGGTGTCCATGGGGTCTGGGTTCATGGGATCGGGGTCCATGGGATGGGGGTCCATGGGGTGATGTCCATGGGGTTTGGGTTCATGGGATGGGGGTCCATGGGATGGTGTCCATGGGGTTTGGGTTCATGGGATGGGGGTCCATGGGGTGATGTCCATGGGGTTTGGGTTCATGGGATGGGGGTCCATGGGGTGATGTCCATGGGGTCTGGGTTCATGGGATGGGGGTCCATGGGATGATGACCATGGGGTGTGGGTCCAAGGGGTTTGGGTCCATGGGGTTTGGGTCCATGGGGTTTGGGTCCATGGGGTCTGGGTCCATGGGGTGATGCCCACGGGTGATGACGCCCATGGGTTGGGTGCCTCCGGGTGGGTGCCGCTCTGCGCAGCTCCGCTCGCTCTGTTTCAACAACTGCTCGGCCGCGCTGCCGCTGCGGGGCCGCCTCCTCCGCTTCGAGTTCCCCAAGATGGCGGCGGCCGCGGGGCTCAGCACGGGCCCGGCCTTCACCCCCCGCGGGCGGAGGTACCGGCATCACTTCCGGGTCAGCCTCTGCGGGCCGCAGGTGCGGGGAGCACGGGGGAGGGAGGGAGGGATCACGTGGGGGGGGAGAGAGCACGTGGTGGGGGGAGAGATCACGTGGGGAGGGAGAGAGCACGTGGGGAGGGAGCACGTGGGAGGGAGAGAGAGCAGGTGGGGGGGAGAGAGCACGTGTTAGAGAACACGTGTGTGTGAGAACACGTGTGTGTGCGTGAGCATAACGTGTGTGAGAGAACGTGTGTGTGAGAGAGCGCATACATGTGTGGGTGAACATACGTGTGGGTGAACATGTGCGTCTGAACGTGTGTGCGCACACACATGTTCACACGTGTTCATACACACACGTTCACGCATGTTCACACGCACATGTTCACACACGTTCACACACAAGTTCACACACATGTTCACACGCACACACACGTATGTTCACACACATGCTCTCACACACATGTTCACACATGTTCACACACACACCTACCTATGTTCACACACATGTTCACACGCACACAGGTTCACACACACACGTATGTTCCCACATGTTCACACACACAAGCACACATGTTCACACACACATATGTTCACACACATGTATGTTCACACATGTTCACACGCACACACACGTATGTTCACACACATTCACACACATGTATGTTCACACATGTTCACACGCACACACGTATGTTCACACACGTTCACACACATGTATGTTCACACACACGTATGTTCACACACGTTCACACATATGTATGTTCACACACACGTATGTTCACACACGTTCACACACATGTATGTTCACACACACACGTATGTTCACACACGTTCACACACATGTATGTTCACACACACGTATGTTCCCGCCCCCACGGCCGTGCCCACACGTGTGCTGTGGCAGGGCCGGAAGGCGGCCGCCTGCAGTGACAACGTGACGGAGGCGCGGCGCCGCGTGGTCACGGGTTACGTGTGCCAGGCCACGCTCGTGCCCCCCGACCGCCCCCACCGCCAGGGCCCCATCTCCTCCCAGCCCATCAGCCTCGGGGACCGCATCCTGGGTGAGCGCCATGGACCCCATCCCCATGGACCCCATCCCTATGGACCCCATCCCCATGAACCCCATCCCCATGAACCCCCATCCCCATGGACCCCATCCCCATGGACCCCATCCCTATGGACCCCATCCCCATGAACCCCATCCCCATGGACCCCATCCCCATGGACCCCATCCCCATGAACCCCCATCCCCATGGACCCCATCCCCATGAACCCCATCCCCATGGACCCCATCCCCATGGAACCCATCCCCATGAACCCCCATCCCCATGGACCCCATCCCCATGGACCCCCATCCCCATGGACCCCATCCCCATGGACCCCATCCCTATGGACCCCATCCCCATGAACCCCATCCCCATGGACCCCATCCCTATGAACCCCATCCCCATGGACCCCATCCCCATGGACCCCATCCCCCGGGACCCCATCCCCATGGACCCCATCCCCATGAACCCCATCCCCATGGACCCCATCACCATGGACCCCATCCCCCGGGACCCCATCCCCATGGACCCCCATCCCCATGGACCCCCATCCCCATGGACCCCATCCCCATGGACCCCATTCCCATGAACCCCATCCCCATGAACCCCATCCCCATGGACCCCATCCCCCGGGACCCCATCCCCATGGACCCCCATCCCCAGGGACCCCCATCCCCCGGGACCCCATCCCCATGGACCCCCATCCCCAGGGACCCACATCCCTATGGACCCCATCCCTATGGACCCCCATCCCCATGAATCCCCATCCCCAAGGACCCCCCATCCCCAGGGACCCACATCCCTATGGACCCCATCCCTATGGACCCCATCCCTATGGACCCCCATCCCCATGAATCCCCATCCCCAAGGACCCCCAATCCCCAGGGTCCCCCCCATCCCCATGGACCCCATCTCCAGGGACCCCATCCCCAGGAGCCCCTGTTCCCCAGAGACCCCATCCCCAGGGTCTCCCCCATCCCCAGGGACCCCTCATTGCCATGGGGTCTCCCCCCATCCCTATGGGACCCCCATGTCCCCCAGGTGTCACCACCAGCTCCACCCTGGACGGCATCACATCCCCTGCGGAGCTCTTCCCCCCGGGACACCCCGACCTGCCCGACATCATCTTCTTCTACCGGTGGGTGCCCCCCCCCTCTGCCCCTAGGGACCCCTCCGTGCCCCCCATTGACCCCCATGTGTGTGTGTTCCCCCCCCCCCAGGTCCAATGATGTGACACAGCCGTGCGGCTCCGGCCGCGCCACCGCCATCCGCCTGCGCTGTGACCCACTGCGCCCTGGGCCCGGCACCCTGAGCGTGCCCAGGTGGGTGCTGGGGGGGGGGGGGGGGGGCTCTGGGGACCCCCAACCCCTGCCCACCCCATGCGGTGCCGCCTGGGTGCATCCCGTGGGTGCTTTGCCCTGGGGATGCCGCCTGTGCCGTGCCCCCCATCCCCGTGTTGGCACCTCCCCAAATGACCCCCCATGGTTTTATGTGTGTGTGTGTCCCACCAGCAAATGCCCCGAGGGCACTTGTGACGGCTGCACCTTCCACTTCCTGTGGGTGACGGGTGAAGGGTGCCCCCGCTGCTCCGCCAGCCACTATCGCCCCATTGTCAGCGCTTGCCTTGGTGGCGTCCAGGTATGACCACGACCAGGGTGTGACCATGACCATGGTATGACCATGACCATGGTGTAACCATGACCATAGTGTGAGCATGACCATAGTGTGACCATGACCATGGTGTAACCATGACCATAGTGTGAGCATGACCATAGTGTGACCATGACCATAGTGTGACCATAACCATGGTGTAACCACGACCATAGTGTGACCATGACCATGGTGTAACCATGACCATAGTGTGAGCATGACCATAGTGTGACCATGACCATAGTGTGACCATAACCATGGTGTAACCACGACCATAGTGTGACCATGACCATGGTGTAACCATGACCATAGTGTGAGCATGACCATAGTGTGACCATAACCATGGTGTAACCACGACCATAGTGTGACCATGACCATGGTGTGACCATAACCATGGTGTGACCACGACCATGGTGTGACCACGACCATGGTGTAACCACAACCATGGTGTGACCATGACCATGGTGTAACCATGACCATAGTGTGAGCATGACCATAGAGTAACCATGACCATAGTGTGACCACAACCATATGTAACCATGACCATGGTGTGACCACAACCATAGTGTAACCATGACCATAGTGTGAGCATGACCATGGTGTGACCACAACCATACGTAACCATGACCATAGTGTAACCATGACCATGGTGTAACCACAACCAGAGTGTAACCATGACCATGGAGTGACCTCAACCCTGGTGCAACCACAACCATGATGTGACCACGACCATGGTGTGACCATGACCGTGGTGTAACCACGACCATGATATAGCCACAACCATGGTGCGACCACCACCATCATGTGACCACAACCACGGCGTGACCAGAACCATGGTGTAACCACAACCATGGTGTAAGCACAACCATGGTGTGACCATAAGCATGGTGTAACCACAACCATGGCATAACCACTACCATGGTATGACCACCACCATCATGTGACCACAGCCACGGTGTGACCACAACCATGGCATAACCACGACCATGGTGTGACCATAACCATGGTGTAAGCACAACCATGGCATAACCACGACCACGGTGTAACCACGACCATGGCATGACCGCAACCGTGGTGTAACCACATCCAGCAGAGCCACCCCACTGCTGTCCCCAATGGCATCCCCCCATCCCATTGCTCCCCCTGCAGAGAACCACCTACGTGTGGCGGGAGCCGCGGCTGTGCCGGGGCGGTCGGGGCCTTCCGCTGCCGGTGACGCGGCCGTGCCGGAGCGCCGATTTCTGGCTGAAGGTGGGGATCTCAGCGGGCACCGGCGCCGCCGCGCTCTTGGCCGCCCTCGCCGCCTACTTCTGGAAGAAGAACCAAAAGTGAGCGGTGCCCATGGGATGGGATGGGATGGGATGGGATGGGATGGGATGGGATGGGATGGGATGGCATGGGATGGGATGGGATGGGACGGGAACGGGGACGTGGGGATGGGAACCACCATTAACCGGCGCGCGGTGCACCCATAGGTTGGAGTACAAGTACTCCAGGCTGGTGATGAGCGCGGCGGCCAAGGAGAGCGAGCTGCCGGCGCCGGACACTTGTGCCATCATGGAGGGGGAGGACGCGGAGGACGATGTGGTTTTTGCTACCAAAAAGTCCCTTTTTGGCAAAATCAAGTCCCTGACGTCGAAGGTAAAGGGGGGAAGGGGGGGGGGGGAACCGCGGCACGAGCCCGCCCCACACCGCGCTTCCCCGTCCCCACAGAGGCTGCCGGATGGCTTCGACTTGGTGCCGCTCAAGACATCATCCGGTGGCAGCGCCATGGAGCTGTGATGGGTGCGGGGGTCCCCATCCCCGTGTCCCGGCCCCCCCCCCCCCCCCCAAACCGTGGCCTTAGGGACCTGCTTCCAGGCGGTTCCTGTCCCCCCCCCCCCGCAAGCACCGAACCGTGCCAAATACAGGCGTGGGCTTTGTAGGGCGGCTCCGGGTGCTCCGTGGGGGACGGGAGCCGGGGCTGCGGGCGGTGGGGATGCGGCTGCACACAGGGACCCCCAGGGCTGCCCGGAGCCACCGGGACCCGGTCCAGGCAGCACCGGGGTGCTGGGGCTGTGAGGTGCTGGTGGGGGGGGGGGAATGGTGGGGTGGTATGGGGTGGTATGGTGGTGCTATGGGGTGCCAGGGGGTGCTATGGTGGTGCCGTGGGGTGCTATGGTGGTGCCAGGGGGTGCCAGGGGGTGCTATGGTGGTGCCGTGGGGTGCTATGGTGGTGTCATGGTGGTGCCGTGGGGTGCTATGGTGGTGCCGTGGGGTGCTATGGTGGTGCCGTGGGGTGCTATGGTGGTGCTATGGGGTGCCAGGGGGTGCTATGGTGGTGCCGTGGGGTGCTATGGTGGTGCCAGGGGGCGCCAGGGGGTGGTATGGTGGTGCTATGGGGTGCCAGGGGGTGGTATGGTGGTGCCGTGGGGTGCTATGGTGGTGCTATGGTGGTGCCGTGGGGTGCTATGGTGGTGCTATTGTGGTGCTATGGTGGTGTCATGGTGGTGCCATGGGGTGCTATGGTGGTGCCGTGGGGTGCTATGGTGGTGCCATGGGGTGCCATGGGGTGCTATGGTGGTGCCATGGGGTGGTATGGGGTGCCATGGGGTGGTATGGGGTGCCATGGGGCTCTATGGGGTGCTATGGTGGTGCCATGGGGTGCTATGGTGGTGCCATGGGGCTCTATAGGGTGCTATGGTGGTGCCATGGGGTGCTATGGTGGTGCTATGGTGGTGCCGTGGGTGCCATGGGGTGCTATGGTGGTGCTGTGGGGTGCTACTGTTGGTGCCACTGAGTGCTGTGGTGGTGCCATGGGGTGCTATGGTGGTGCTATGGGGTGGTGTGGTTTGTTATGGTGGTGCTATGGGTTGGCATTGTGTGCCATGGGGTGCCGTGAGGTTCCATGGGGCTCCATTGAGTGCAATCACTGCTATCACTGTAGGTGATGTAGGGCGACATAAGGATCTGTGCTTTGCTATGGGGCTCTATGGGGTGCTATGGGGCTCTATGGGGTGCTGTGGTGCTCTATGGGGGCTCTATGGGATTCTATGGGATGCTATAGGCTCTATGGGGTGCTATGGGGCTCTATGGGATGCTATGGTGCTCTATGGGGTGCTATGGTGCTCTATGGGGTGCTATGGGGCTCTATGGGATGCTGTGGGGCTCCATGTGATGCTATGGGGCTCTATGGGATGCTATAGGGCTCTATGGGATGCTATGGTGCTCTATGGGGTGCTATGGGGCCCTATGGGGTGCTGTGGTGCTCTATGGGGTGCTATGGTGCTCTATGGGGTGCTATGGGGCCCTATGGGGTGCTGTGGTGCTCTATGGGGTGCTATGGTGCTCCATGGGGTGCTATGGTGCTCCATGGGGTGCTATGGGGCCCTATGGGGTGCTATGGTGCTCCATGGGGTGCTATGGTGCTCTATGGGGTGCTATGGTGCTCCATGGGGTGCTATGGTTCCCTATCGTGCCCCCGCTCCCGCTCTGCGCTCCGCCGCTCCGCCAGGGGGCGCTCCGCGCCCCACCTCCCCTCGCTCCGCCCCCCTCTCGCTCCGCCCCCCCCAAGCCCCGCCTCCCGCCGTCAGCGCGCCGGTTGCGCAGGCGCAGTGCGGGGTGCGGGAGCCGCCATCATGGTGCTGGACCTGGACCTGTTCCGCGCGGACAAGGGCGGGGACCCGGGGCTCGTCCGGGACTCGCAGCGGAGCCGCTTCAAGGACCCCGCGCTCGTGGACGCGCTCCTGCGCGCGGACGGCGCCTGGCGGAGCTGTGCGTGGGGGAGGGGAGGGGAGGGGAGGGGGGAGGGGAGACACGACGGGACGCGGCCCCACTGAGACCCTGCCCCATTGAGACCCTGCCCCATTGAGATCCTGCCCCACTGAGACCCTGCCCCATTGAGACCCTGCCCCATTGAGATCCGGCCTCGTTGAGATCCGGCCCCATTGAGACCCTGCCCCATTGAGACCCTGCCCCATTGAGATCCTGCCCCATTGAGATCCGGCCTCGTTGAGATCCTGCCCCATTGAGATCCTGCCCCATTGAGACCCTGCCCCATTGAGATCCAGCCTCGTTGAGATGCTGCCCCATTGAGATCCTGCCCCATTGAGATCCTGCCCCATTGAGACCCTGCCCCATTGAGATCCTGCCCCATTGAGACCCTGCCCCATTGAGATCCAGCCTCGTTGAGATGCTGCCCCATTGAGATCCTGCCCCATTGAGATCCTGCCCCATTGAGACCCTGCCCCACTGAGACCCTGCCCCATTGAGACCCTGCCCCATTGAGACCCTGCCCCATTGAGATCCTGCCCCATTGAGACCCTGCCCCATTGAGATCCGGCCCCATTGAGATCCTGCCCCATTGAGACCCTGCCCCATTGAGATCCGGCCCCATTGAGACCCTGCCCCATTGAGACCCTGCCCCATTGAGATCCTGCCCCATTGAGACCCTGCCCCATTGAGACCCTGCCCCATTGAGATCCTGCCCCATTGAGATCCTGCCCCATTGAGACCCTGCCCCATTGAGATCCTGCCCCATTGAGACCCTGCCCCATTGAGATCCTGCCCCATTGAGATCCTGCCCCATTGAGATCCTGCCCCATTGAGACCCTGCCCCATTGAGACCCTGCCCCATTGAGATCCTGCCCCATTGAGATCCTGCCCCATTGAGACCCTGCCCCATTGAGATCCTGCCCCATTGAGACCCTGCCCCATTGAGATCCTGCCCCATTGAGACCCTGCCCCATTGAGACCCTGCCCCACTGAGATCCTGCCCCATTGAGATGGTGCCCCATTGAGATCCGGCCTCGTTGAGATCCTGCCCCATTGAGACCCTGCCCCACTGAGACCCTGCCCCATTGAGATCCTGCCCCATTGAGACCCTGCCCCATTGAGACCCTGCCCCACCGGGATCCTGCCCCACTGAGATCCGGCCCCATTGAGACCCTGCCCCATTGAGACCCTGCCCCATTGAGATCCGGCCCCATTGAGACCCTGCCCCATTGAGACCCTGCCCCATTGAGATCCTGCCCCATTGAGATCCTGCCCCATTGAGACCCTGCCCCATTGAGACCCTGCCCCATTGAGATCCGGCCCCATTGAGACCCTGCCCCATTGAGATCCTGCCCCATTGAGATCCTGCCCTATTGAGATGGTGCCCCATTGAGATGCTGCCCCATTGAGATCCGGCCTCGTTGAGATCCTGCCCCATTGAGATCCTGCCCCATTGAGACCCTGCCCCATTGAGACCCTGCCCCACTGAGACCCTGCCCCACTGAGACCCTGCCCCATTGAGATCCTGCCCCATTGAGACCCTGCCCCATTGAGACCCTGCCCCATTGAGATCCTGCCCCATTGAGACCCTGCCCCACTGAGATCCTGCCCCATTGAGACTCTGCCCCATTGAGATCCTGCCCCACTGAGATCCTGCCCCATTGAGACCCTGCCCCATTGAGACCCTGCCCCATTGAGACACTGCCCCATTGAGATCCGGCCCCATTGAGACCCTGCCCCATTGAGACCCTGCCCCACTGAGACCCTGCCCCATTGAGATCCTGCCCCACTGAGATCCGGCCCCATTGAGATCCGGCCCCATTGAGATCCTGCCCCATTGAGATCCTGCCCCATTGAGACCCTGCCCCATTGAGACCCTGCCCCACTGAGATCCTGCCCCATTGAGACCCTGCCCCACTGAGACCCTGCCCCACTGAGATCCTGCCCCATTGAGACCCTGCCCCACTGAGATCCTGCCCCATTGAGACTCTGCCCCATTGAGATCCTGCCCCATTGAGATCCTGCCCCATTGAGATGGTGCCCCATTGAGATCCTGCCCCATTGAGATCCTGCCCCATTGAGATCCTGCCCCATTGAGATCCGGCCCCATTGAGATCCTGCCCCACTGAGATCCTGCCCCACTGAGACCCTGCCCCACTGAGATCCTGCCCCATTGAGACTCTGCCCCATTGAGATCCTGCCCCATTGAGATCCTGCCCCATTGAGATCCTGCCCCATTGAGATCCTGCCCCACTGAGATCCGGCCCCATTGAGATTCAGCCTCGTTGAGATGCTGCCCCATTGAGATCCTGCCCCATTGAGATCCGGCCCCATTGAGATCCGGCCCCACCGGGATCCTGCCCCACTGAGATCCTGCCCCACTGAGATCCTGCCCCACTGAGATCCGGCCCCACCGGGATCCTGCCCCACCGGTGCCTCCAGCCCCACTGTCACCTGCAGGGATCCGCTCCCCCCCCTCCCCGGGTCCCCCGTCCCTGCCTGCCGCAGGGCGCTGTGGGGCTGCGGGACCCGGGCTCCGGCCCCTCTCGGGTGCCTGCGGGCGCTGGGAGCAAAGGGAGCAGAGCCCCAAACCCCGACCCCCACTTTGAGCCCTTTGGGTCCTGCCCTTGCTGCCCCCCCCCCCCCCCCGGCTGATGCAACCCCACTGCAGGATTGGATCGTGCCATGGGGGTGATGCTGGGGGGGGGTCTGGGGGTGAGCGGCTGCGGCTGCTGCACCTGCAGGCACAAAGGGGGACCCCCCTGGTCCCCTCCTCGAGCACCCAGACCCCATGGATGCACCCAGACCCCATGGGTGCACCCAGACACCGTGGGTGCACCCAGACCCCATGGATGTACCCAGACCCTATGGGTGCACCCAGACCCCATGGATGCACCCAGACCCCGTGGATGCACCCAGACCCCGTGGATGCACCCAGACCCCGTGGATGCACCCAGACCCCATGGATGCACCCAGACCCCATGGATGCACCCAGACCCCATGGATGCACCCAGACCCCATGGATGCACCCAGACCCCATGGATGCACCCAGACCCCATGGGTGCACCCAGACCCAATGGATGCACCCAGACCCAATGGATGCACCCAGACCCCATGGATGCACCCAGACCCAATGGATGCACCCAGACCCAATGGGTGCACCCAGACCCAATGGATGCACCCAGACCCCATGGATGCACCCAGACCCCATGGGTGCACCCAGACCCCGTGGATGCACCCAGACCCCATGGATGCACCCAGACCCCATGGATGCACCCAGACCCCATGGATGCACCCAGACCCAATGGATGCACCCAGACCCCATGGATGCACCCAGACCCCATGGATGCACCCAGACCCAATGGGTGCACCCAGACCCCATGGATGCACCCAGACCCCATGGATGCACCCAGACCCCGTGGATGCACCCAGACCCCGTGGCTCTGGATGTGCACGGTGGCCCCAGCCAGGTCGGGCCCCCTGGATCAGTGCTTCCAAACGGGACCCCTGTGCGGCAGCCGCTGCACCCCACAGCTCTGCCCCTCACAGCATCAACCCCTGGATCCCAGGGGGATCCCAGCCCCATTCCCACCCCCGTGGCTCCTTCCCCTTTGGTTTCCAGGCCGGTTCCGTGCCGATAACCTGAACAAGCTGAAGAACCTCTGCAGCAAAACCATCGGGGACAAGATGAAGGTGAGGCCCGAGGGGCTGCCCCTGCCTGCGGGCATCTCCTGGGGGATGCTCTCCCCCTGGGGCTGCATCCCCACCCTCCGCGGGTTCCTCTGCAGAGGAAGGAGCCGGTGGGGACGGATGAGTCCATCCCGGAGGGAGCACGGAACCTGGATGAGCTCACGGCCGAGGTGCTGGGGGTGAGTGTGAGCCCTGCCCCTTTGCATCACCCCATGGTGGCCAAAGCGAGGTGGGGGGGGGATGCATTGAGCCCCCCCCCCCCCGCCGGGAGCATCCCCTCTGCCCCGCGCCACCCCAGCAGGGACCGGCTCCGTGCCCTTCCTTAGAGCCTCCGGCGCTCCCTGCCCGCTGCGCTTCCCTCCCGCTCCTGCCCCACTGTCAGAGCCCCGCTTGGGTCCGTTCCGTGTCCCCTCCGCGTGGCCGTGGGGTTTGGAGCCGGGATGAGCCGGGATGGCCCCGCGCAGGCCCTGCAGGTCTCGCAGATCAAGCAGATCCGGCTCCTCATCCATGAAGCCATCCTCAAGTGCGATGCCGAGCGCGTGAGGCTGGAGGCAGAGCGCTTCGAGAGCCTCCGGGAGATCGGGAACCTCCTGCATCCCTCGGTGCCCATCAGCAACGATGAGGTGGGGACCGGAGCTGGGACTGGGACCGGAGCTGGGACTGGGACTGGGGCAGGGACAGGGACTGGAGCAGGGACAGGGACCGGAGCAGGGACAGGGACTGGAGCAGGGACTGGGACTGGAGCAGGGACTGGGACTGGAGCAGGGACAGGGACCGGAGCAGGGACAGGGACCGGAGCAGGGACAGGGACTGGAGCAGGGACTGGGACTGGAGCAGGGACAGGGACTGGAGCTGGGACTGGGACTGGGGCAGGGACAGGGACTGGAGCAGGGACAGGGACCGGAGCAGGGACAGGGACTGGAGCAGGGACTGGGACTGGAGCAGGGACTGGGACTGGAGCAGGGACAGGGACCGGAGCAGGGACAGGGACCGGAGCAGGGACAGGGACCGGAGCAGGGACTGGGACTGGAGCAGGGACTGGGACTGGAGCAGGGACTGGGACTGGAGCAGGGACAGGGACCGGAGCAGGGACAGGGACCGGAGCAGGGACAGGGACCGGAGCAGGGACAGGGACTGGAGCAGGGACTGGGACTGGAGCAGGGACAGGGACTGGAGCTGGGACTGGGACTGGGGCAGGGACAGGGACTGGAGCTGGGACAGGGACTGGAGCTGGGACAGGGACTGGAGCAGGGACAAGAGCTGGGGCAGGGACAGGGACTGGGGCTGGGACTGGGACTGGAGCAGGGACAGGGACTGGAGCTGGGACTGGGACTGGGGCAGGGACAGGGACCGGAGCAGGGACAGGGACAGGAGCTGAGGCAGGGACTGGGACCGGAGCAGGGACTGGGGCAGGGACAGGGACTGGAGCAGGGACAGGAGCTGGGACAAGAGGAGGGACAGGAACAAGGAGCAGGGACAAGGAGCTGGGACAAGGAGCAGGAACAAGGAGCAGGGACGAGCAGGGACAAGGAGCAGGAGCAGGAACAAGGAGCAGGGACAAGGAGCAGGAACAAGGAGCAGGGACAAGGAGCTGGGACAAGGAGCAGGAACAAGGAGCAGGGACGAGCAGGGACAAGGAGCAGGAGCAGGAACAAGGAGCAGGGACAAGGAGCAGGAACAAGGAGCTGGGACAAGGAGCTGAGACAGGAGCAGGAACAAGGAGCTGGGACAAGGAGCTGAGACAGGAGCAGGAACAAGGAGCAGGAACAAGGAGCAGGAACAAGGAGCAGGGACGAGCAGGGACAAGGAGCAGGAGCAGGAACAAGGAGCAGGGACAAGGAGCAGGAACAAGGAGCAGGGACAAGGAGCAGGAGCAGGAACAAGGAGCTGGGACAAGGAGCTGAGACAGGAGCAGGAACAAGGAGCAGGAACAAGGAGCAGGGACAGGAACAAGGAGCAGGAGCAGGAGCAGGAACAAGGAGCTGGGACAAGGAGCAGGAACAAGGAGCAGGAACAAGGAGCAGGGACAGGAACAAGGAGCAGGGACAAGGAGCAGGAACAAGGAGCTGGGACAAGGAGCAGGAACAAGGAGCAGGAACAAGGAGCAGGAACAAGGAGCAGGAACAAGGAGCAGGAACAAGGAGCAGGAACAAGGAGCAGGAACAAGGAGCAGGAACAGGAGCAGGAACAAGGAGCAGGAACAAGGAGCAGGGACAGGAGCAGGAACAAGGAGCTGGCTGTGCCGGTTCATCAGCGCCCGCCAGGCGCTGGCAGGCAGTCCCCGTCTGTGGGGAGGGTGAATGGGACGTGCATGCCAAGGCAGCGTTATCCCGCCGGGAGCACACAAAGAGCAGCTCAGGCAGCGCTGGACACGGCCATTGTTGGGGGGATCCATGGGAAACGGGGGGGCTGGGATCTCCCTGCGCCGCCTCCATTCATCCCCAGGGAATATTGTGCTGGGGGCTCACAAGTGGGCCAGGGCCGGCTGCCAAGGGGCTGCACAGTGAGCGAGCGGCCGGGATGAGAGCTGGCATTCCAGGCTCTGGGGTCTGGGATCCCAAAGCGGGCCCCGAGGTGATGGGGCTCCCCCCCCCCCCCCTTTCCTCCCTTCTCCCATCTCCATGCAGGATGCGGACAACAAAGTGGAGCGGGTCTGGGGCGACTGCAGCTGCAGGAAGAAGTATTCCCACGTGGATCTGGTGGTGATGGTGGACGGTTACGAGGGCGAGAAGGGCGCTGTCGTGGCCGGCAGCCGGGGCTACTTCCTTAAGGTGGGAGCCCAAATACCCCCCATGGAACAGGGGTGAGAGACAAGGAATTGGGGGGAGCAGGCTCTGAGCAGTGCTGGAGCCCCTGCATCCACAGCAGCATCTGCTGAGCGGGGAGGGCTGTCTCGGTGCAGGGCTCCCCTATTTGTCCCCCTATTGAGGTGCCTTCCCTTCGTCCCCAGGGTCCCCTGGTGTTCCTGGAGCAGGCGCTCATCCAGTACGCGCTGCAGAGCCTGCGTGCCAAGGGCTACACGCCGGTGTACACCCCCTTCTTCATGCGCAAGGAGGTCATGCAGGAGGTGGCCCAGCTCAGCCAGTTCGACGAGGAGCTCTACAAGGTGAGGCCTTGGGCGCCCGACGGCGCTCCGGGGCTTCCCGACGGAGCCACGCTGCTTCCAGACGCCTGGAATCTCGCTGCCCGGCAGCGCCCTGTACAGCCCTAATGCCCAGGGTCCATCTTTACCCGGGAACCCCAATCTTCAGGGTTCATCTTCCCTGGATCTCACATCAGGGGGAGCGTCTCCACCTGGGCTCCCAGTCCCTGGGGTCCTTCTTTCCCTGGATCCTCTATACCCAGGGTCCATCTTCCTTTGGCATCCCTATTTCTGGGCTCCCTCTTTCTCTGCACCCCATATCCCCAGGGTCCACCTTCCCTGGATCCCATATTTTAGGGGAGCATCTCCACTTGGGCTCCCAATCCCTGGGGGTCCCTCTTTCCCTGGACCCTCTATAGCCAGGGTCCATCTTTAGCCACTGTATCCCTGGGGTCCATCTTCCTTTGGCATCCCTATTTGTGGGGTCCCTCTTTCTCTGCGCCCCATATCTCCAGGGTCCATCATCCCTGCATCCCATATCGGGGGGGAGCATCTCCACCTGGGCTCCCAGTCCCTGGGGTCCCTCTTTCCCTGGACCCTCTATACCCAGGGTCCATCTTCCTTTGGACACTATCCCTGGGGTCCATCTTCCTTTGGAATCCCTATTCCTGGGGTCCCTCTTTCTCTGCACCCCGTATCTCTAGGGTCCATCTTCCCTGGAATCCCCTGTCTGCTGACCCCTTCATATTTACGGTGTCACCCCATATGTATGGTGTCACCTTCATGGTCTCACCCCGTATTTTGGGGTCCATCTTCCCCTGGACCCCCTGTCCTTAGGCCCCCCCACCCCAGCGTGATGCCAAGGAGCCGCACAGGGCTCTGCAGACCCCTACCTCCATCCCCACCCCGCAGCATCCCTGCATCCCAACCTGCGTGCAGGCAGCACAAGGAGGGGAACGGAGCCTCTTCGGTGTGTCCCCCCCACCCCGCAGGTGATCGGCAAAGGCAGCGAGAGGGCCGAGGACAGCTCCATCGACGAGAAGTACCTGATCGCCACGTCGGAGCAGCCCATTGCCGCGCTGCACCGCGACGAGTGGCTGCGGCCCGAGGAGCTGCCGCTCAAGTACGCGGGGCTCTCGACGTGCTTCCGGCAGGAGGTGGGCTCCCACGGCCGCGACACCCGCGGCATCTTCCGCGTGCACCAGTTCGAGAAGGTGAGCCCACCAAAACAGCGTTCCTGGAGGTGGTGGTGGTGGTGGTGGTGGTGGGGGGGGGGGGATTGAAACGGGGCTGCTCCCGGTGCCGACACCGGGCCCCGGGCCCTGCCGTTATCCCGGCTTAGATCGAGCAGTTCGTCTACGCCTCCCCCCGTGACAACAAGTCCTGGGAGCTCTTTGAGGAGATGATGGCCACGGCGGAGGAGTTCTACCAGTCCCTGGGCATCCCTTACCACGTCGTCAACATCGTCTCGGGTATGGGACGCCGGCGTCATAGGGTGGCCTCAAGCCGTCTCCTTGCTTTCCCAGCTCCGGCTCTTTGCTTGTGCCCCATGGCAATGGGGAGGCCCCAGAGGGGAGGAGGGAGATGTTTGCCCTGGCTCCGCTTCCCAAGGGATGTGCTGAGTGGAAGCTGTGCCGGGACACTGATCCCGTTTGAACGCTCCCTCCCTGGAGCATCACGTCCCTGTGCCGCACCGGGGGACACGGCGCCCTCCATCCCCAGGGCTGGGTGTGCTTGGAGTTGGGTTTGGGGAGGTGGGGATGAGGAGCAGCAGGACCCCCCCCCCCCTTCATCCCTATCTCCTCCCAGGCTCCCTCAACCACGCTGCCAGCAAGAAGCTGGACCTGGAAGCCTGGTTCCCGGGATCCGGAGCCTTCCGGGAGCTCGTGTCCTGCTCCAACTGCACCGATTACCAGGCGCGGCGCCTGCGCATCCGCTACGGGCAGACCAAGAAGATGATGGACAAGGTGAGCCCGACCTGGGGGGGGGGGAATTGGTCCTGCTCCTCTTCCTCGGTTCCCCCCCCCTCTCCTCGGCTGTCACCGTGGCCCTGCCGTAGGTGGAGTTCGTGCACATGCTCAACGCCACCATGTGTGCCACCACCCGCACCATCTGCGCCATCCTGGAGAACCACCAGACCCAGGAGGGCATCCGCATCCCGGAGAAGCTCCGGGACTTCATGCCCCCAGGTACCCCCCACACACTTCCCCACAGCACCCTGCCTGCTCCCCAGTGCTGCCCCCATACACACACAAATCCCCCCCCCTCTCTCTGTCCCCCCAGACCTACGGGAGCTGATCCCCTTCGTGAGGCCGGCGCCCATCGAGCAGGAGCAATCCAAGAAGCAGAAGAAGCAGCAGGAGGGGGGCAAGAAGCGCTCCGGGGGGGGGATGGACCCCGTGCTGGAGGAGCAGATGCAGAACATGGGGGTCAACAGTGCCTGAAGGGGGTCCCCCAAACCCCTGGGACCTTCAGGACACCCCCCCCCCAGCCCAGGACCTTCAGGGCCACCTGAATCCCTTCATCACGAGCCTGGGACTGATGCTGCTGGGGCTCCATGTGTGTGTCCCCCCCCGCCGCGCGGGGCTGGGGACCCCCCCCCCCCCCAACCATGTGCTCCCCCCATCCTGGGGCTACCACTGGCTTCTCCATGCGTGCAATAAAGCTGGGAATTGCTGAGCTGTTGTGTTGGGGCCAAGAGGAGGGATTGGGGGGGGGGGTCCCCATCTCACCCCTCTATGGGGGGGCTGCTGGCTCTTGGCACCCCATTGTGCCCCCCCTCTGCACCCATGGGTGCTGGGGAGGGACTCAAAGCGTGTTCCCCCCCCCGCTTGCGGCACCCCAGGAGCCGGTTGGGCCCCGGCAGGCGCCGGCGCTGGGAGAGGCTCCGCTGCGTCACCGGGTGCCGGGGGGGGGTCCCTGAACCCCAACACCCGTCAGACCCGTTCCGCAGCCCCAACCCACGCGCTCTGCAGCCGCAGCACCCCGGGGTGCCCGGCGCCTCCCGGTGCAATGGGGCTGGATGGGGACTGGTGGGGGGGGGGGGGGGGGCTGGTTATGGGGTGTCACCGTCTGCAGTAAGGACGGGGGTGTTGTGTGTGTGCGCACCATGTGCATGGTCCACGCGTGTTCTCTGCGTGCAGAGCGAGTGCCCCCCGTGTGCGCAGTCCATGCGTGTGCTGTGGGCCATGCGTGTGCTCTGTATGCACAGCGTGTGCCTCCTGTGCGTGTGGTTCACATGTGTGTGCATGCGTGCACCTTGTATGTGCATAGCGTGTGCCTCCTGTGCGTGTGGTTCACGTGTGTGTGCATGCGTGCACCTTGTGTGTGCATAGCGTGTGCCTCCCATGCATGTGGTTCACATGTGTGTGCATGCGTGCACCTTGTATGTGCATAGCGTGTGCCTCCTGTGCGTGTGGTTCACGTGTGTGTGCATGCGTGCACCTTGTGTGTGCATAGCGTGTGCCTCCTGTGCGTGTGGTTCACGTGTGTGTGCATGCGTGCTCCTTGTGTGTGCATAGCGTGTGCCTCCCGTGCGTGTGGTTCACGTGTGTGTGCATGCGTGCTGCTTGTATGTGCATAGCGTGTGCCTCCTGTGCGTGTGGTTCACATGTGTGTGCATGCGTGCTCCTTGTATGTGCATAGCGTGTGCCTCCTGTGTGTGTGGTTGTGTGTGCATGCGTGCACCTTGTATGTGCATAGCGTGTGCCTCCTGTGCGTGTGGTTCACATGTGTGTGCATGCATGCACCTTGTGTGTGCATTGTGTGTGCCTCCCGTGCATGTGGTTCACATGTGTGTGCATGCATGCACCTTGTGTGTGCATAGCGTGTGCCTCCCATGCGTGTGGTTCACGTGTGTGCATGCGTGCTCCTTGTGTGTACATAGCGTGTGCCTCCTGTGCGTGTGGTTCAAGTGTGTGCATGCGTGCTCCTTGTATGTGCATAGCATGTGCCTCCCGTGCGTGTGGTTCACGTGTGTGTGCATGCGTGCTCCCTGTATGTGCATAGCGTGTGCCCCCCGTGCGTGTGGTTCACAGGTATGTGCAAAGTGCATGCACGCATGTTCTTTGTATGGGCATAGCGTGTGCCTCCTGTGTGTGTGGTTCACATGTGTGTGCATGCGTGCACCTTGTGTGTGCATAGTGTGTGCCTCCCATTCGTGTGGTTCACATGTATGTGCATGCGTGCACCTTGTTTGTGTGTGCACAGTGTGTGCCTCCCCTGTGTGTGGTTCATGTGTGTGTAGTTCACATGTATGTGCGGTTCACATGTATGTGCAAAGTGCGCGCGTGCCTCTCATGTGCGCACCCCCTGTGTGTGGTCGCATGTTCCCCCCCATGTGTGCAGCCCATCCGTGCTCTGTGTGCTTTGCATGTGCCCCCATGGACACGCTCCACACGTGTGTGCTCTGTGTGTGCAGGATGCGCACGACCCACACGTGCTCCCTGCCTGTGCCTATGTGCAAGGTGACTGTGTGCGCTGTACACGTGTGTGCTCCTCGTGTACTTCACGTGTGTCCCTGTGTGCTCCCCGTGTGCTCCCTGTGTGCTCCGTGTGTGCATCGTGTGTGCTCCCCGTGTGCTCTGTGTGTGCCCCGTGTGCTCTGCGTGTGCTCCGTGTGTGCTCCCTGTGTGCTCCCCGTGTGCTCCCTGTGTGCTCCGTGTGTGCCCTGTGTGTGCTCCGTGTGTGCTCCCCGTGTGCTCCGTGTGTGCTCCGTGTGTGCCCAGTGTGTGCTCCGTGTGTGCTCCCCGTGTGCTCCGTGTGTGCCCAGTGTGTGCTCCCTGTGTGCTCCCTGTGTGCTCCCTGTGTGCTCCGTGTGTGCCCTGTGTGTGCTCCGTGTGTGCTCCCCGTGTGCTCCCTGTGTGCTCCGTGTGTGCCCAGTGTGTGCTCCCTGTGTGCTCCGTGTGTGCTCCCTGTGTGCTCTGTGTGTGCTCCGTGTGTGCTCCGCGTGTGCTCCGTGTGTGCTCCCTGTGTGCTCCGTGTGTGCTCCGTGTGTGCTCCGTGTGTGCTCCCTGTGTGCTCCCCGTGTGCTCCGTGTGTGCTCCGTGTGTGCTCCGTGTGTGCTCCCTGTGTGCTCCCTGTGTGCTCCCCGTGTGCTCCGTGTGTGCTCCGTGTGTGCTCCCTGTGTGCTCCCCGTGTGCTCCGTGTGTGCTCCGTGTGTGCTCCGTGTGTGCTCTGTGTGTGCTCCCTGTGTGCTCTGTGTGTGCTCCCCGTGTGTGTCCCGTGTGTGCCCAGTGTGTGCTCCCTGTGTGCTCCGTGTGTGCTCCGTGTGTGCTCCCTGTGTGCTCCGTGTGTGCTCCGCGTGTGCTCCGTGTGTGCTTCGTGTGTGCTCCGTGTGTGCTTCGTGTGTGCTCCGTGTGTGCTCCGTGTGTGCTCCCTGTGTGCTCCGTGTGTGCTCCGTGTGTGCTCCGTGTGTGCTCCCTGTGTGCTCCGTGTGTGCTCCCTGTGTGCTCCGTGTGTGCTCCCTGTGTGCTCTGTGTGTGCTCCCCGTGTGTGCTCCGTGTGTGCCCAGTGTGTGCTCCGTGTGTGCTCCCTGTGTGCTCCGCGTGTGCTCCGTGTGTGCTTCGTGTGTGCTCCCTGTGTGCTCCGTGTGTGCTCCGTGTGTGCTTCGTGTGTGCTCCCTGTGTGCTCCGTGTGTGCTCCGCGTGTGCTCCGTGTGTGCTTCGTGTGTGCTCCCTGTGTGCTCCGTGTGTGCTCCGTGTGTGCTCCCTGTGTGCTCCGTGTGTGCTCCGTGTGTGCTTCGTGTGTGCTCCCTGTGTGCTCCGTGTGTGCCCAGTGTGTGCTCCGTGTGTGCTCCGTGTGTGCTCCCTGTGTGCTCCCCGTGTGCTCCGTGTGTGCTCCGTGTGTGCTCCGTGTGTGCTCCGTGTGTGCTCCCCGTGTGCTCCCCGTGTGCTCCCTGTGCCCCCCCTCCCCTCTCCCCCTCCCGCCGGTGCCCGGGGCGGGGGCGGTGTCGGCGTCGGTTCCTTTAAGCGCTGCGCGGTCCCGGTGCATTCTCGGGCCCCGCCCCGGCGGGCGCGCGCGGGGCTCGGCGGGCACCGGCGGCAGCAACCGGCCATGGGCGCCGCGCGCCTCCCGGTGCTCCCGGTGCTGCTGCTGCTGCTGCTGCCCGCGCCGGGACCCGGCACCGCCACCGCCCCCTGCGCGCCCGCAGCGCCCCTGCCGCTCCTGCGGCCCCGCGCCGGCACCGGGGACAGCGGCAGCTCCGCCGGCGGCACCGGGGACAGCGGCGGCGCCACCGCGCTCAGCACCGGCTGCGGCGGCGCTACCGGAGGGGAGCGAGGCGTCGGCAGCGCCGGAGCCGGGCAAGGCCGCGCAGGCAGCGGGGGCGCTGGAAGCACCGGAGGCACCGGAGGCCCCGGGAGCACCGGAGACGCTGTGGATGCCGGAGGCACCGGGAGCACCGGTGGCGCTGGGAGGACTCAAGTCCTCCAGGACCCCGCTGGCACCGGGAATACTGGGCCTAATGGGGACACCGGGAACGCCGACACCCCCGTGGGCACCGGGGGTGTGATGGACGCCTGGGATATTGGGGGCACTGTGGATACTGGGAGCGCTCCAGTCCCCAGGGACCCCGGGAAGACCGCAGGCACCGGGGCCATGGGGGACCCCAACCCCACGGGGCCCCGCCGGCGCCGCAGCCCCAACACGGCGCCGCAGTTCCAGCCCTCCAGCTACCAGGCATCGGTGGAGGAGAACCGGCCGTCGGGAACGCCGGTGCTGCGGGTGTCGGCGCTGGACCCGGACCCGGGTGATGCGGGTCGGCTGCGCTACGCCATGGCCGCCCTGTTCGACAGCCGCTCCGACGGGCTCTTCGCCATGGACCCCGTCACCGGCGCCATCGCCACGGCCGCGCCGCTGGACCGCGAGAGCAAGAGCACGCACGTGTTCCGAGTGACGGCCACGGACCACGGCGCGCCGCGGCGCAGCGCCATGGCCACGGTGACGGTGACGGTGACCGACACCAACGACCACGACCCGGCCTTCGAGCAGGCCGAGTACCGGGAGAGCGTGCGGGAGAACCTGGAGGTGGGCTACGAGGTGCTGACGGTGCGCGCCACCGACGGCGACACCGGCCCCAACGCCAACATCCTTTACCGGCTCCTCAACGGCGCCGGCGTCAACGAGGTCTTTGAGATCGACCCCCGCTCCGGTGTCATCCGCACCCGCGGCCCCGTGGACCGCGAGGCTGTGGAAGCCTTCGAGCTGCTGGTGGAGGCGGCGGATCAGGGCCAGGAGCCGGGGCCCCGCAGCGCCACGGCCACGGTGCGCATCGCGGTGGAGGACGACAACGACAACGCGCCGCAGTTCAGCGAGAAGCGCTACGTGGCGCAGGTCCCCGAGGACACGGCGCCCACGGCGGCCGTGCTGCGGGTGACGGCCACCGACCGCGACAAGGGCAGCAACGCGCTGGTGACCTACAGCATCGTCAGCGGCAACACCCGCGGCCACTTCTACATCGACGCGCAGACGGGGGCCCTGGACGTGGTGACCCCCCTGGACTACGAGGCCAGCAAGGAGTTCACCCTGCGCATCCGGGCGCAGGACGGCGGCCGCCCGCCCCTCTCCAACATCAGCGGCTTGGTCACGGTGCAGGTGCTGGACGTCAATGACAACGCCCCCATCTTCGTCAGCACCCCGTTCCAGGCCACCGTGCTGGAGAACGTGCCCCTGGGCTACTCCGTCCTCCACGTCCAAGCCATCGACGCCGATTCGGGGGACAACGGCCGCTTGGTTTACACCCTCCTGGAGACCGGCGCCGGCTTCCCCTTCGCCATCAACAACGGCACCGGGTGGATCGTGGTGGCCTCCGAGCTGGACCGGGAGGCCGTGGACTTCTACAGCTTCGGGGTGGAGGCGCAGGACCAGGGGAACCCCCCCATGGCGTCCTCGGCCAGCGTCACCGTCACCGTGCTGGACGTCAACGACAACAGCCCCGAGTTCACGCAGCGGGAGTACGGCGCCCGCCTGAACGAGGACGCGGCCGTGGGCAGCAGCGTCCTCACCGTGTCGGCCGTGGACCGCGACGCCAACAGCGTCATCACCTACCAGATCGCCAGCGGCAACACCCGCAACCGCTTCTCCATCACCAGCCAGAGCGGCGGCGGGCTCATCTCGCTCGCCCTGCCCCTGGACTACAAGCTGGAGCGGCAGTACCTGCTGACCATCGCCGCCTCGGACGGCACGCGCCACGACACGGCGCACGTGGTCGTCAACGTCACCGACGCCAACACGCACCGGCCCGTCTTCCAGAGCTCCCACTACACCGTCAACGTCAACGAGGACCGGCCGGTGGGCACCACGGTGGTGGTGATCAGCGCCACGGATGAGGACACGGGGGAGAACGCCCGCATCACCTACCTGATGGAAGACAGCATCCCCCAGTTCCGCATCGCCGCCGACACGGGCGCCGTCACCACCCAGATGGAGCTGGACTACGAGGACCAGGTCTCCTACACCTTGGCCATCACGGCGCGGGACAACGGCATCCCGCAGAAGTCCGACACCACGTACCTGGAGATCCTGGTGAGCGACGTCAACGACAACGCGCCCCGGTTCCTGCGCGACTCCTACCAGGGCTCCGTCTACGAGGACGTCCCCGCCTTCACCAGCGTCCTCCAGGTCTCGGCCACCGACCGCGACTCGGGCCTCAACGGCCGCGTCTTCTACACCTTCCAAGGTGGGGACGACGGCGACGGCGACTTCATCATCGAGTCCACCTCGGGCATCGTGCGCACCTTGCGCCGCTTGGACCGCGAGAACGTGCCGCTGTACGCGCTGCGGGCCTTCGCCGTCGACAAGGGGGTGCCGGCGCGGCGGACGCCGGTCGCCATCCAGGTGACGGTGCTGGACGTCAACGACAACCCGCCCGTCTTCGAGCGCGACGAGTTCGACGTCTTCGTGGACGAGAACAGCCCCATCGGGCTGGTGGTGGCGCGCATCACGGCCAGCGACCCCGACGAGGGCTCCAACGCGCAGATCATGTACCAGATCGTGGAGGGCAACATCCCCGAGGTCTTCCAGCTGGATATCTTCTCCGGGGAGCTCACCGCCTTGGCCGACCTGGACTACGAGACCAAAGCCGAGTACGTGATGGTGGTGCAGGCCACGTCGGCGCCGCTGGTCAGCAGGGCCACGGTCCACGTGCGCCTCCGCGACGCCAACGACAACAGCCCCCAGCTGAAGAACTTCGAGATCCTCTTCAATAACTACATCACCAACCGCTCCGGGAGCTTCCCCGGGGGGGTCATCGGCCGCATCCCCGCCCACGACCCCGACGTCTCCGACAGCCTCACCTACGCCTTCGAGCAGGGCAATGAGCTCAACCTCGTGCTGCTGGACCCGCGCACCGGGGACCTGCGCCTCAGCCCGGCCCTGGACAGCAACCGCCCCCTCGAGGCCGTCATGAGGGTCTCTGTCTCGGGTAAGACCCACACACACCCGCTCCCCCCCCCAAGCTCCATGGGGTGGGATGGGGATGGGGAAGCCCCCCCCCCCACCCCGTTGGGCATGGAGAGAGGTGTTTTGGGGTCCCACCGTCCCCATCTGGATGGGTTCGGGTGATGGGGATGCTCCCCCACCACCACCCCAGACATCCCATTGAAGGCAGGGTTGGGGATGCTCCACCACCACCACCCCAGACATCCCATTGAAGGCAGGGTTGGGGATGCTCCCCCACCACCACCCCAAACATCCCATTGAAGGCAGGGTTGGGGATGCTCCCCCACCACCACCCCAAACATCCCATTGAAGGCAGGGTTGGGGATGCTCCCCCACCACCACCCCAGACATCCCATTGAAGGCATGGTTGGGGATGCTCCCCCACCACCACCCCGGACATCCCATTGAAGGCAGGGTTGGGGATGCTCCCCCACCACCACCCCGGACATCCCATTGAAGGCAGGGTTGGGGATGCTCCCCCACCACCACCCCGGACATCCCATTGAAGGCAGGGTTGGGGATGCTCCCCCACCACCACCCCGGACATCCCATTGAAGGCAGGGTTGGGGATGCTCCCCCACCACCACCCCAAACATCCCATTGAAGGCAGTTGGGGTCCCCAGCAGCCCCATGTCCCGGCCTCAGGCCTGGGGTGTGTAGGGGGTATGAGCCCCACTGTGTGTTTCGGGTCTGGATGGTTCAGGACCCTGTAGCAGGGGGTTGGAGGGCAGGACCCTCTGTGTGTGTTGGGGGGGTCCTGGCACCTCGTTGTGTGCGTTTGGGGTGGGGAGGGCAAGACTCACTGCAAGTGTCTGGGGGGGTGCAGAGCCTGGACCTGGTTTTGGGGGGGCTGAGCCTGCTGTGTGCATGGGGGGGGGGGTCCCAGTGCCCTTACGTCCATGTTATGGGGGGGTTGATGGGTGAATATGGGGGGACTCAGGGTCCAGTGCAGGATGGGGGGGGGGGAAGTCGTGGCACCCCCCTCTCTCCGTGGTGGGGTCCCCATTGCAGCTGCACACAGAGGGGGGGCACAGGGCACAAAGGGACCCCCATGGCCAGGCTGGACCCCCCCCCCCCTCCCTCCCATAGCGTGGGGCCCCAGGGAGGGGAACAAAGGCCCCGGCCATAGCCAGGACCCCGCGGCCGCAGCCATGGCAACGTCATCCCCATCCCCATCCCCCCCCCCCCCAACCGGCACCAGCCACCGGCAGAGCCCCGGCCCCACCGCCCCTCGGTGCCTCCCCCTTCCCCACCGCTTCCCCATCTGTCCCTGTCCCAGGGAGGTCACCACGAGGGGTCCTGTCCCTTTTCCCAGGGGCCCTGTTCCCTTTCCCATCGCACAGGATGGACACCCCATAACCAGCACCATCCCACTGCCCCCATCCCATGGTGGTCACACTGCTGGCATGCACCATGGGCACCAAAGTCCCCATCTCCCCATCCCCATCCCATGGTGGCCACATGGGTTGGACACCCCATCACCGCCAACATCCCCCTCACCACACCATCCCCATCACTGCCACCATCCCCATCACCGCCACCATCCCCCTCACCACACCATCCCCATCACTGCCACCATCCCCATCACCGCCACCATCCCCCTCACCACACCATCCCCATCACCGCTACCATCCCCATCACCACCACCATCCCCATCACTGCCACCATCCCCATCACCCCACCATCTCCATCACCCCACCAACCCCATCACCACATCATCCCCATCACCACCACCAACCCCATCACCACATCATCACCATCACCACCACCATCCCCATCACTGCCACCATCCCCATCGCCACCACCATCCCCATCACTGCCACCATCCCCATCACCCCACCATCCCCATCACCCCACCATCCCCATCACCACCACCATCCCCATCACCACCACAATCCCCATCACCGCCACCATCCCCATCACCGCCATCATCCCCATCTCGTGGTGGCCACATGGGATGGACACCCCATCACTGCCATTATCCTCACCCCATGATGGCTGCATGGGATGGACACCCCATCACCACCATCATCCCTATTCCATAGTGGCCATGTGGGATGGTTGCCCCATAACCACCACCATGCCCATCCTGCGGTGGCCATATGGGATGGGTGCCCATCACCACCACCATACCAATCCCATGGTGGCCACATGAGATGGGTGCCTGTCACCCCCACCATCCCCATCACCACCACCATCCCCATCCCATGGTGGCCAGATGGGATGGGTGCCCACCACCATCACCACCACCATCCCCATCCCATGGTGGCCAGATGGGATGGGTGCCCATCACCACCACCATTCCCATCACCACCACCACCACCCCATCCCATGGTGGCCATATGGGATGAGTGCCCATCACCACTACCATTCCCATCCCTGTCCCATGTTGACCACATGGGATGAATGCCCATCACCACCACCATCCCGATCACCATCACCACCGCCATCCCTGTCCCATATTGACCACATGGGATGAATGCCCATCACCACCAACATCCCGATCACCATCACCACCACCATCCCCATCCCTGTCCCATGTTGACCACATGGGATGAGTGCTCATCACCACCAACATCCCAATCACCATCACCACCACCATCCCCATCCCATGTTGACCACATGGGATGAGTGCCTATCACCACCAGCATCCCCATCGCCACCACCATTCCCATAATCATCCCCCCCCCCCTCCCCCATCCCATGGTGGCCAGATGGTATGGGTGCCCCTCACCACCACCATTCCCATCACCACCACCATCCCCATCCCATGGTGGTCAGATAGGATGGGTGCCCACCACCATCACCGCCACCACCCCATCCCATGGTGGCCATATGGGATGAGTGCCCATCACCCCCACCATTCCCATCCCCATCACCCCCCCCCCACCATCCCTGTCCCATGTTGACCGCATGGGATGAGTGCCCATCACCACCAACATCCCCATCACCACCCCCCCACCACCCCATCCCATGGTGTTCTGATGGGATGGGTGCCCACCGCCACCCCCATCCCACATTGACCCCATCAGATGAGTGCCCACCCCCCTCCATCCCCATCCTGCGGTACCCAATGCTGACCCCTCCATCACCCCCCCCTTCCATCCCCTTCCACCCGCAGACGGCATCCACAGCGCCGCGGCGCAGTGCACGCTGCGGGTGACGGTGATCACGGACGAGATGCTCAGCAACAGCATCACCCTGCGCCTGGCCGACATGTCCCAGGAGCGCTTCCTCTCGCCGCTGCTCAGCCGCTTCCTGGACGGCGTGGCGGCCGTGCTGGCCACCCCGCGCCACCGCGTCGTCCTCTTCAACATCCAGGCCGACACCGACGTGGGCAGCGCCCGCATCCTCAACGTCAGCCTCTCGGTGCTGCTGCCGCCGGCCCCGCCGCCCGCCGCCCGCTTCTTCTCCTCGGAGGAGCTGCAGGAGCGGCTCTACCTCAACCGCTCGCTGCTGGCCTCCCTCTCGGCGCAGCGCGTCCTGCCCTTCGACGACAACATCTGCCTGCGCGAGCCCTGCGAGAACTACATGCGCTGCGTGTCCGTGCTGCAGTTCGACAGCTCCGCGCCCTTCCTGGCCTCCGACACCATCCTCTTCCGCCCCATCCACCCCGTGACGGGGCTGCGCTGCCGCTGCCCGCCCGGCTTCACCGGCGACTACTGCGAGACCGAGATCGACCTCTGCTACTCCAGCCCCTGCGGCGGGCACGGGCGCTGCCGCAGCCGCGAGGGCGGCTTCACCTGCGAGTGCCACGAGGACTTCACCGGTGAGAGGGCCTGGCCCCTTGCATCCTCTTCCTCGTCCCCTTCCTGGGTGTCCCCGTAGCATCCCTTCATCCATCCCTGCATCCAGCCTTCCTCTTGTGGCCGTGCTCAGCATCCCTTCAGTCTGCTCCTCTTCCTCATCCCCTTGGTGTCCTGGCTGCATCCCTTCATCCATCCCTGCGTCCTGCCTTCCTCCTGTGGCCGTGCTCGGCATCCCTTCAGCCTGCTCCTCTTCCTCATCCCCTTCCTGGGTGTCCCTGTAGCATCCCTTCATCCATCCCTGCATCCAGCCTTCCTCTTGTGGCCGTGCTCGGCATCCCTTCAGCCTGCTCCTCTTCCTCATCCCCTTGGTGTCTCGGCTGCATCCCTTCATCCATCCCTGCGTCCTGCCTTCCTCTTGTGGCTGTGCTCGGCATCCCTTCACCCTGTTCCTCTTCCTCATCCCCTTCTTGGGTGCCCCGGCTGCATCCCTTCATCCATCCCTGCATCCAGCCTTCCTCTTGTGGCTGTGCTCAGCATCCCTTCAGTCTGCTCCTCTTCCTCATCCCCTTGGTGTCTCGGCTGCATCCCTTCATCCACACCCTGCATCCAGCCTTCCTCTTGTGGCCGTGCTCGGCATCTCTTCAGCCTGCTCCTCTTCCTCATCTCCTTCCTGGGTGTCCCCATAGCGTCCCTTCCTCCATCCCTGCATCCAGCCTTCCTCTTGTGGCCGTGCTCAGCATCCCTTCAGCCTGCTCCCTTCCATCATCCCTCCATGCATCTCTTCCTCTTGGTGTCCATCCCCATCATCCCATCAGTTTCCTTCCTCTTCCCCTTTTTGGATGTCCCTCATCCAGCTCCTCTGCACACCTCTGTCCTCCACCCATAGCTTCCTCTTGGTGTCCGTCCTTGTCATCCCTTCATCCAGCTCACCTTCATATTCCCCTTATCAGATCTCCTTTTATTGTTCCCTTATACAGCTCCTCTGTAGCTCTCTTGGCATCCGTCTTCATCATCCTTTCATCCAGCTTCATCTTCCCTTTCTTGGATGTCCCTCCATCATCCCTTCATCCAGATCCTTCATAGCCTTCCATCCATCCTTCCTCTTGGTGTCCATCCCTTCAGCCAGCTCCTGCTCATCTTCCCCTTATCAGACATCCCTCCTTCACCCAGCTCTGCATCCCTCCTTCATCCAGCTCTGCATCCCTCCTTCACCCAGCTCTGCATCCCTCCTTCATCCAGCTCTGCATCCCTCCTTCACCCAGCTCTGCATCCCTCCTTCATCCAGCTCTGCATCCCTCCTTCACCCAGCTCTGCATCCCTCCTTCATCCAGCTCTGCATCCCTCCTTCACCCAGCTCTGCATCCCTCCATTCTCCATCCAGACCTTCCTCTTGGTGTCCATCCTCATCATCCCTTCCTCACATGTCTCCTCATCAGCATCCCCATTGTCCCTGTTTCTTCCTTCCCTCCAGCTCTCCATCCCCCTCCATCATCCATCACCCTTGCACCCCACGCCCCTCAGCCCTCCATCCTCTGACCCCATCACCCCACCTTCGTCCGTCCCTTTTAGTCTCCCTCCACCATCCATCCCCATCAGCCTTCATCCCAGTCCTCACCTCATCCATCCCTTCTGCTGACCCTCCGCCACGCATGGGGGTCATGCCTTCATCCTGCCCCCTTCAGCCTTTCATCAATCACCCTTTCCTTCCTCAACTGTCCATCCCTCCTCCATCCTTCCTCCTTCCATCCCTCCTCCGTCCTTTATTCTTCATCCCTTTATCCATCCCTCCTCCATCCCTCATCTCTCCTCCCTCCTCCATCCTTTCTTCCTCCCTCCCTCCCTCCTCCCCTTTGTCTCCAGCACCTTGATCTTCCTCCTCCTCCTCCATCATCCGCTTCCTCTCCCCATCATCCACTGCCCTCTCCCCATTCCCCCTCCCCTCTCCCCCCCATCCCCTCCATATCCCCCCCATTCCCCTTGTCCCCCCACCCCAGTGAGGTCCCTGCAGGATGCCCATGGGGACATCACTGGGGCAGAGCATGGGGACACCCAGTGCCCACAGCAGTGGCCTGAGGGGGGTGACCCCCACCCCATGGGTGGCACTGGGGACACCCCCAAAGCCCACGGGAGGTGGGGGGCAGCAGGCGGGGGGGGGGGGAAGCCTGGGTTGCCATGGCAACGGGAGGCGGTTGCCAGGGTGATGGGGCTGGGGCTGGAGCTGCTCTGATGGGGAGGGGGGGGGGTGTGTTGGGATTCCCCCCCCTGCACCCCCCAATTGGGGGTCGGGGGTGCCGGTGCCATCGGGGGCTCGTGCAGGGGAGCGCTGTGAGCTCTCGGCCCGGGGGGGCCGCTGCACGCCGGGGGTCTGCCGCAACGGGGGCACCTGCCTCAACCTGCTGCTGGGGGGGTTCCGCTGCCAGTGCCCCCCCGGGCACTACGAGAAGCCCTTTTGCACCATGAGCACCCGCAGCTTCCCCCCCCGCTCCTTCCTCACCTTCCGTGGCCTGCGCCAGCGCTTCCACTTCACCCTCGCCCTCACGTGAGCACCGGGAGGGGGGGACACATCGGGTGGGGGTCCCATGGGCATCCGATGGGGTGTGGGGTGATGGGTGCCCCGTAGGCAATGGGATACGGGGATGGGATGTGGGTGACGGCGTCGCGTGGGCTGGTGGGGATCCCATGAGCACCGTGTGGGGTGGGGAGCGATGGGTGCTCCGTCGGCAATGGGGGACAGGGGGATGGGTGCCACGGTGGCGCCACGCGAGGTGGGGGCAATAGGGGTGGGGTGGCATGGGGGCAGTGGGGTGATGGGTGCTGCGGTGCCCCGGGGCAATGGGGCGCTGCGGGGGGGGCCGGGCAGAGCCTGGCACTTGTCCCTGCGCCAGGTTCGCCACGAGGGAGCGGGACGGGCTCCTGCTCTACAACGGGCGCTTCAATGAGAAGCACGACTTCGTGGCGCTGGAGATCGTGAGCGAGCAGCTGCAGTTCACCTTCTCGGCAGGTACCGGCACTGCACGGCACTGCACAGCACTGCAGAGCACTGCAGAGCACCGCAGGACAATGCCTGGCGCTGCATGGCACTGCATAGCACCGCAGGGCACTGCAGAACACTGCATGGCACTGCACAGCACCGCACGGCACTGCAGGACAATGCCTGACGCTGCATGGCACTGCATAGCACTGCATGGCACTGCACAGCACCGTATGGCACTGCATAGCACTGCATGTTAGTGCAGGGCACTGCACAGCACTGCAGGGCACTGCAGGACGCTGCTGGGCGCTGCATAGCACTGCAGGACACTGCACAGCACCACATGGGCACTGCAGAGCACCGCAGGACAATGCCTGGCGCTGCATGGCACTGCATAGCACTGCAGGACAATGCCTGGCACTGCATAGCACCGCAGGGCACTGCAGAACACTGCATGGCACTGCACAGCATCGCAGGGCACTGCAGAACACTGCATGGCATTGCACAGCACTGCAGGGCACTGCACAGCACTGCCTGGCATTGCACAGCACTGAATAGCCTGTGCACTGCATCCCATGCATCCCACCCCGGCACTGCGTCCCTGGGTCGCGTACCCCTGGCGCTGCACCCCCTGTGTTATGTCCCTGGCTCTGCACCCGGGCACTGCCGGGCACTGGATCCCGGGCACTGCATCCCCTGCATGCCCCCTGCCGCAGCTGCTGCTCCCGCAGGTGAAGCCACCACCACCGTGTCCCCATTCGTGCCGGGAGGCGTCAGCGATGGGCAGTGGCACCGCGTCCAGCTCCACTACTACAACAAGGTGGGGGGGGCACGGGGGGAGCGGGCAGGGGGTGAAGGGATGGAGGGAGGAGGGATGGACGGGAGAGGGGTGAGGGCTTGAGGGGGACAAAGGGGCAGGGGGAGCAGAGAAGAGGTTGGGGGGCAGAGTTGCAGGGAGGGGGTTTGGGGGATGGAGGGAGGGAGGGATGGAGGATGGATGGATGATGGATGGATGATGGATGGATGGATGGATGGATGATGGATGGATGGATGGATGGATGGATGGATGATGGATGGATGGATGGATGGATGGATGGAGGGATGGATGGATGGATGATGGATGGATGATGGATGGATGATGGATGGATGGATGGATGGATGGATGGATGATGGATGGATGATGGATGGATGATGGATGGATGGATGGATGGATGATGGATGGATGATGGATGGATGATGGATGGATGATGGATGGATGGATGATGGATGGATGGATGGATGGATGGAGGGATGGATGGATGGATGATGGATGGATGATGGATGGATGATGGATGGATGGATGGATGGATGATGGATGGATGATGGATGGATGATGGATGGATGATGGATGGATGGATGATGGATGGATGATGGATGGATGGATGGAGGGATGGATGGATGGATGATGGATGGATGATGGATGGATGATGGATGGATGGATGGATGGATGATGGATGGATGATGGATGGATGATGGATGGATGATGGATGGATGGATGATGGATGGATGGATGGATGGATGGATGGATGATGGATGGATGATGGATGGATGATGGATGGATGATGGATGGATGGATGGATGATGGATGGATGGATGGATGGATGATGGATGGATGGATGGATGATGGATGGATGATGGATGGATGATGGATGGATGGATGGATGGATGGATGGATGGATGGATGGATGATGGATGGATGATGGATGGATGGATGGATGGATGATGGATGGATGATGGATGGATGGATGGATGATGGATGGATGATGGATGGATGATGGATGGATGATGGATGGATGATGGATGGATGGATGGATGATGGATGGATGATGGATGGATGATGGATGATGGATGGATGATGGATGGATGGATGGATGATGGATGGATGATGGATGATGGATGGATGGATGGATGATGGATGGATGATGGATGGATGATGGATGATGGATGGATGATGGATGGATGATGGATGGATGGATGATGGATGGATGGATGGATGGATGGATGGATGGATGATGGATGGATGGATGGATGGATGATGGATGGATGGATGGATGATGGATGGATGATGGATGGATGATGGATGGATGATGGATGGATGATGGATGGATGATGGATGGATGGATGGATGGATGGATGGAGAGAGGGAGGGAGGGAGGGATGGCATGGGCAGGGGGAAGGAGGAGGCTGAGGAGGCAGTGAAGGCTGTTGGTCCATGGGGCTGTGGGACCACGGGGCCGCCCCTTCCCCCCCAACACTGACGGTGCCCGCAGCCGGTGCTGGGCCGCTCGGGGCTGCCGCAGGGCCCCTCGGAGCAGAAGGTGGCCGTGGTGACCGTGGATGAGTGCGACACGGGGCTGGCGCTGCGCTTCGGAGCCCGGCTCGGCAACTACAGCTGCGCCGCGCAGGGCACCCAGAACGGCACCAAGAAGTGCGGGGGGGTCCCCATGGACATTGGGCGCTGGGGGGGGGGCGGGGGGTCCCTTGAGGGTCACTGAGGGTTCCCATTGTGGGGGTGTCCCTTGGGGTCCCCATGGGTGAGGGAGTCTCTCAGGGTCCCCATAGGTGGAGGGGGGGTCCCTTAGGGGTATGGAGGATGCTTTGGGGGTCCCCATGGGTGGAGGGGTTCCTTCGGGTTTCTATGCACTGGGAGGGGTTGAGGGGTCCTTTGGGGGTCCCTCAGGGTCCCCGTAGGTGAAGACATCCCTTGGGAGGGCCCCTTGGTGCTCCCATGGGTGAGGGGGTCCCTGGGGGTCCCCATGGGTGAAGGGGGTTCCTTAGGGTTTCTATGCACTGGGAGGGGGGTGAGGGGTCCTTTGGGGGTCCCCATGGATCCCCATGGGTAAAGACATCCCTTGGGGGTTTTCCCTTGGGGTTCCCATGGGTAAAGACATCCCTTGGGGGGGGAGGTCCCTTGGGGTCCCCATGGGTGAGGGGGTCCCTTAGGGTTTCTATGCACTGGAAGGGGAGTGAGGGATCCTTTGGGGGTCCCTCAGGGTCAGCATGGGTGAGGGTGTCCCTTGGGGTCCCCATGGGTGAAGACATCCCTTGGGGGGGGTTCCCTTGGGGTCCTCATGGGTGAGGGGTTCCCTTGGGGTCCTCCTGCACCAGAAGGGGATGGGGGGGGTCCCTCACGGTGCCGGTGGGTGCCGCAGGTCGCTGGACCTGACGGGGCCGCTGCTGCTGGGGGGGGTGCCCACCCTGCCCGAGAGCTTCCCCATCCGCAGCCGCCACTTCGTGGGGTGCATGCGGCACCTGCACATCGACCAGCGCCCCGTGGACATGGCGGCCTTCATCGCCAACAACGGCACCCTGCCCGGTGCGGGGGGCACCCATTGGCCATGGGGGGGCACCCATTGGGCGTGGGGCGGGGCAAACATTGGAAATGGGGGTGGCACCTATTGGGTGTGGGGGGGGCAAACATCGGAAATGGGGGGGCACCCAATGAAATAGGGGGGAAACCCATTGGGCGTGGGGGGGTGCACGCATTGGGCATGGGGGGGCACCCATTGGGCGTGGGGTGGGGGGCAGACATCGGAAATGGGGGGGCACCCACTGTGCATGGGGGGGAAGCCATTGGGCATGGGGGGGGCACCCATTGGGCATGGGGGGGCACCCATTGGGTATGGTGGAGGCAAACATTGGAAATGGGGGGGGGCACCCATTGGAAATGGGGGGGTGCATGCATTGGGCGTGTGGGGGGGGAAACATCGGAAATGGGGGGGCACCCACTGTGCATGGGGGAGCACCCATTGGGCATGGGGGGGGCAAACATTGGAAATGGGGGGGACCCATTGGGCATGGGGGGGCACCCATTGGGCATGGGGGTGGCACCCATTGGGCGGGGGTGGTCACCCATTGGGTATGGGGGGGGCAAACATCGGAAATGGGGGGGCACCCATTGGGCATGGGGGGGGCGCCCATTGGGCATGGGGTGGGGGGTGTGGGGATGGGGCTGTCACCGTGATTGGCCTTGAGCACTTGAGGACCTGACAGGGTCCTAGTGCCCCCCGCTGGCACCATGGGGGGATGGGGAGGGGGTACAAGCATCCATCCCCAAACGCTCCCATGTGTGCCCCCCCCACCCAAGGGTGCCCAGCCAAGAGGCCGCTGTGTGACAGCGACACCTGCCACAACGGGGGCACCTGCGAGCAGGACTGGGACAGCTTCAGGTGCCGCTGCCCCGCGGGCTTCGGGGGCAGGACCTGCCAGGAAGGTATCAGGGGCTATGGGGCGGTTCATGGGGGCCATGGGGGTCTATGGGTGTCCATGGGTGTCAATGGGTGCTCCATGGGTGTCAATGGGTGCTCCATGGGTGTCCATGGGTGTCAATGGGTGCTCCATGGGTGTCCATGGGTGTCCATGGGGGTCTATGGGTGTCAGTGGGTGTCAATGGGTGTCCATGGTTGCTCCATCGGTGTCAATGGGTGTAAATGGGTGTCCATGGATGTCCATGGGTGTCAGTGGCTGTCCATGGGTGTCAGTGGCTGTCCATGGGTGTCCATGGGTGTCCATCGGTGTCAATGGGTGTCTATGGGTGTCAATGTGTGCTCCATGGGTGTCCATGGTTGCTCCATGGGTGTCCATGGGTGTCCATGGGTGTCAATGGCTGTCCATGGGTGTCAGTGGGTGTCCATGGGTGTCAATGGCTGTCCATGGGTGTCAATGGCTGTCCATGGGTGTCCATGGGCGTCAATGGGTGTCCATGGGTGTCCATGGGTGTCAATGGGTGCTCCATGGGTGTCCATGGCTGTCCATGGGTGTCCATGGGGGTCTATGGGTGTCAGTGGGTGTCCATGGGTATCAGTGGGTGCTCCATGGTTGTCCATGGGTGTCCATGGGGGTCTATGGGTGTCAGTGGGTGTCAATGGGTGTCCATGGTTGCTCCATCGGTGTCAATGGGTGTAAATGGGTGTCCATGGATGTCCATGGGTGTCAATGCCTGTCCATGGGTGTCCATGGGTGTCCATCGGTGTCAATGGGTGTCAATGTGTGCTCCATGGGTGTCCATGGGTGTCCATGGTTGCTCCATGGGTGTCCATGGGTGTCCATGGGTGTCTATGGGTGTCCATGGGTGCCAATGGGTGTCAATGGGCGTCAGTGGGTGTCCATGGGTGTCCATGGGTGTCAATGGGCGCCAATGGGTGTCAATGGGCGTCAGTGGGTGTCCATGGGTGTCAATGGGTGTCAATGGGTGCAATGGGTGTCAATGGGCGTCAATGGGTGCTCCATGGGTATCAATGGCTGTCCATGGGTGTCAATGGGTGTCCATGGGTGTCCATGGGTGTCCATGGGTGTCCATGGGTGTCAATGGCTGTCAGTGGGTGTCAATGGATGTCCATGGGTGTCAATGGCTGTCCATGGGTGTCCATGGGTGTCAATGGGTGTCCATGGGTGTCCATGGGTGTCAATGGGTGTCCATGGGCGTCCATGGGTGTCAATGGGTGTCTATGGGTGTTAATGTGTGCTCCATGGGTGTCCATGGTTGCTCCATGGGTGTCCATGGGTGTCCATGGGTGTCAATGGGTGTCCATGGGTGTCTATGGGTGTCTATGGGTGTCAATGTGTGCTCCATGGGTGTCCGTGGTTGCTCCATGGGTGTCCATGGGTGTCAATGGCTGTCCATGGGTGTCAATGGGTGTCCATGGGTGTCAATGGGTGTCCATGGGTGTCAATGGCTGTCCATGGGTGTCAATGGGTGTCCATGGGTGTCAATGGGTGTCTATGGGTGTCAATGGGCGTCAGTGGGTGTCCATGGGTGTCAATGGGTGTCCATGGGTGTCAATGGGTGTCTATGGGTGTCAATGTGTGCTCCATGGGTGTCCATGGTTGCTCCATGGGTGTCCATGGGTGTCCATGGGTGTCAATGGCTGTCCATGGGTGTCAATGGATGTCCATGGGTGTCAATGGGTGCCAACGGGTGCTCGCCCCTGCCCCGCAGCCGTGGGCGCCCCGCAGCGCTTCGAGGGCCGCAGCCACGTGTCCTGGGCGGGGCTGGCGCTGCCCCTGGCCCTGCCCTGGCGCATGCGCGTCCAGCTCCGCACCCGGCACCCGCGCGGGCTCCTCCTGCGGGCGGCGGCGCCGCCGCTCAGCGTCAGCGTGGAGGTGAGGGGGGCGTGGCCATGAGGGGGGCGTAACCATGGAGGGGGCGTGGCCATGGGGAGGTTCATAGCCATGGGGGGGCATGGCCATTGGAGGGGGTAATGGCCATGGGGGGGGCATGGCCATACGGGGGGGTCATTGCTATGGGGGAGTATGGTCATGGGGGGGGGGGCATGGCCATGGGGGGGGGGGGGGGGGCGCATGGCTATTGGGGGGTATGGTCATGGATGGGGGCATGGTCATGGGGGGGACATGGCCAAGGGGGGAGCCATGGCCATGGGGGGCTCATGGTCAGGGGTGGGGGTGTGGCCATAGGGGGGGCATGGTCATGGGGGGGGGTCGTGGCCATGGGGGGAGTCATGGCCATTGGGGGGTCGTGGCCATAGGGGTGGCATGGTCATGGGGGGGTCGTGGCCATGGGGGGAGTCATGGCCATTGGGGGGTCGTGGCCATAGGGGTGGCATGGTCATGGGGGGGTCGTGGCCATGGGGGGAGTCATGGCCATTGGGGGGTCGTGGCCATAGGGGTGGCATGGTCATGGGGGGGTCGTGGCCATGGGGGGAGTCATGGCCATTTGGGGGTCGTGGCCATAGGGGGTGCATGGCCATGGTGGGGCATGGCCATGGGGGAGTGTTTGCTTTGGGGGGGTATTGCCAAGGGGGTCCTGGCCTTGGGGCTTTGGTGTCCTTGGTGGGGCTGTCACCCCCTGGGGTGCCCTGGCGGAGGTTCTTACGGGTGTTGCCATAGGGGAGGTGTTGCCATGGGGGGGTCATTGCTATGGGGAGGTGTTGCCATGGGGGGGTCATTGCTATGGGGGGTTGTTGCCATGGGGGGGGGTCATTGCTATGGGGGGTTGTTGCCATGGGGGGGGGTCATTGCTATGGGGGGTTGTTGCCATGGGGGGGGGTCATTGCTATGGGGGGTTGTTGCCATGGGGGGGGGTCATTGCTATGGGGGGTTGTTGCCATGGGGGGGGTTATTGCTATGGGGAGGTGTTGCCATGGGGGGGGTCATTGCTATGGGGGGTTGTTGCCATGGGGGGGGGGCATTGCTATGGGGGGTTGTTGCCATGGGGGGGTGTCATTGCTATGGGGAGGTGTTGCCATGGGGGGGGTCATTGCTATGGGGGGTTGTTGCCATAGGGGGGGTCATTGCTATGGGGAGGTGTTGCCATGGGGGGGGTCATTGCTATGGGGAGGTGTTGCCATGGGGGGGGTCATTGCTATGGGGAGGTGTTGCCATGGGGGGGGTCATTGCTATGGGGAGGTGTTGCCATGGGGGGGGGTCATTGCTATGGGGAGGTGTTGCCATGGGGGGGGGTCATTGCTATGGGGAGGTGTTGCCATGGGGGGGGTCATTGCTATGGGGAGGTGTTGCCATGGGGGGGGTCATTGCGATGGGGAGGTGTTGCCATGGGGGGGGTCATTGCGATGGGGGGTTGTTGCCATGGGGGGGTCATTGCTATGGGGAGGTGTTGCCATGGGGGGGGTCATTGCTATGGGGAGGTGTTGCCATGGGGGGGGTCATTGCTATGGGGGTTGTTGCCATGGGGGGGTCATTGCCCTGCCCCTGCTCCCCCCCAGCTGGCCGAGGGCCGGCCCGAGGCCGGGCTGTGGCAGGGGGGGGCCCCCCTGGCCCGGCTGCGGCTGCCGCAGGCGTGGGTCAGCGATGGGCACTGGCACGAGGTGGAGCTGGGGCTGGAGCCAGGGGGGGCCCCGGGGCCCCCCCGCCTGCGCCTGGGCTGCGACTACGGCCGGTACCAGGTGAGCCCCCCCCCCCGCTCCCTATGGGCACCTGTGGGTGTCCCTGTGCCCCTCTGCTCCCTATGGGTGACCCTGTGCCCCTCTGCTCCCTATGGGTGTCCCTGTGTCCTTCTGCTCCCTATGGGTGTCCCTGTGCCCCTCTGCTCCCTATGGGTGTCCCTGTGTCCCTCTGCTCCCTATGGGTGTCCCTGTGCCCCTCTGCTCCCTATGGGTGTCCCTGTGTCCTTCTGCTCCCTATGGGTGTCCCTGTGTCCTTCTGCTCCCTATGGGTGTCCCTGTGCCCCTCTGCTCCCTATGGGTGTCCCTGTGCCCCTCTGCTCCCTATGGGTGTCCCTGTGCCCCTCTGCTCCCTATGGGTGTCCCTGTGTCCCTCTGCTCCCTATGGGTGTCCCTGTGTCCTTCTGCTCCCTATGGGTGTCCCTGTGTCCCTCTGCTCCCTATGGGTGTCCCTGTGTCCCTCTGCTCCCTATGGGTGTCCCTGTGCCCCTCTGCTCCCTATGGGTGTCCCTGTGTCCCTCTGCTCCCTATGGGTGTCTCCGTGCCCCTCTGCTCCCTATGGGTGTCCCTGTGTCCTTCTGCTCCCTATGGGTGTCCCTGTGCCCCTCTGCTCCCTATGGGTGTCTCCGTGCCCCTCTGCTCCCTACGGGTGTCCCTGTGTGCCTCTGCTCCCTATGGGCACCTGTGGGTGTCCCTGTGTCCTTCTGCTCCCTATGGGTGTCCCTGTGCCCCTCTGCTCCCTATGGGTGTCCCTGTGCCCCTCTGCTCCCTATGGGTATCCCTGTGTCCTTCTGCTCCCTATGGGTGTCCCTGTGTCCTTCTGTGCCCTATGGGCACCTATGGGTGTCCCTGTGTCCCTCTACTCCCTATGGACACCTATGGGTGTCTCCGTGCCCCTCTGCTCCCTATGGGTGTCCCTGTGTCCCTCTGCTCCCTATGGACACCTATGGGTGTCTCCATGCCCCTCTGCTCCCTATGGGTGTCCCTGTGCCCCCCTGCTCCCCGTGGTGCCACCAGGGCTGTCCCTGTCCCGCAGGCTGTGACCAACGTGTCCCTGGAGCTGGGGGAGCTGCAGCTGCAGACCCTGAGCATGGGGGGGCTGCCGGGTGATGGGGGCACCGTGGAGCAGGGCTTCCGCGGCTGCATGCAGGTAATGCACCGGGACGGGGCCAGCGGGGCCGTGGGCACAGCGTGGGGCAGGACGTGGGGGCATCGGATGGGGCATGGGGTGGGTGACTGTGCCCTGGTGTGGGGACAAGAGATGGGGGTGCGAGCATGGGAATGGGGCCGTTGGGTATGTGTGGGGGCACAGGGATGTGAGCAAGGGGTCTGGGCATGGGAATGGGGACAGGGTGGAACTCCTGGCGGGGGTTATGGGGAGACACAGGGGGTGCTGGGCTCTGGGGAGGAAACTGGGGCCCAGTGGTGGTGGTGGTGACACTGTGTTGGTGCCACTGATGGTGCCACTGATGGTGACACTGTGCTGGTGACACTGATGGTGACACTGTGCTGGTGACACTGTGCTGGTGACACTGATGGTGACACTGTGCTGGTGACACTGTGTTGGTGACACTGTTGGTGACACCGTGCCGGTGACACTGTGCTGGTGACACCGTGTTGGTGACACTGATGGTGACACTGTTGGTGACACTGTGCCGGTGACACTGTGCTGGTGACACTGTGTTGGTGACACTGATGGTGACACTGTTGGTGGCACTGTGCCGGTGACACTGTGTTGGTGACACTGATGGTGACACTGTTGGTGGCACTGTGCCGGTGACACTGTGTTGGTGACACTGATGGTGACACTGTTGGTGGCATTGTCGATGCCAGGGCCTGCATCTGGGCGAGGCGGGTGCTGGGGCACTGCACGTGGCCGCGGTGTCGCGGGTGGCTGTGACTGCGGGCTGTGACCTCCCGGACCCCTGCGCCGGGGGGCCCTGTCCCCCCCACAGCGACTGCGCCGGCCATGGGGACACCGTCACCTGCCGCTGCCACCCGGGTGAGCGAGGACATGGCCCCGGGCGCTGACACCCCCTCATTGCTGTCCCCATGGCTCTGACACCCCCTTATTGCTGTGCCCCCCATCACTGTCCCCATGGCTCTGACACCCCCTCATTGCTGTCCCCATGGCTCTGACACCCTCTCATTGCTGTCCCCCCCATCCCTGTCCCCACGGCACTGCCCCCCCCAGTGACACCCGCTCCCCCCTGTCACCCCAGGGCACTTTGGGGACAGCTGTGTCAGTGCCTGTGCCCTCAACCCCTGCCACCCCCCGGCCACCTGCGCCCCCCAGCCCGGCTCCGTGCACGGCTACGCCTGCCTCTGCCCCCAGGGCCGCTTCGGGCCCTACTGCGAGCACAGGTCAGTGCCCCCCGGCATGTGGTGGTGCGAGGGGTGCCTGGCACACACGTGTGTGCATGTGTGCGTGTGCGTGTGTGTATGCAAGTGTGCGTGCGTGTGTGTGTATGCATGTGTGTGTGTGTGGGAGGTGTGTGTGTGCGCGCGCGTGTGTGTATGCGTGTTCGTGTGTGTGCACGTGTGTGCGCGTGTGCGCATGTGTGCGCACATGTGTGTGCGTGTGTGTGCGCATGTGTGCGCATGTTTGCGCGTATGTGTGCACCTGTGCGCGCGTGCGCATGTGTGCACATTTGTGTGCGCGTGTGTGTGCATGTGCACTTGTGTGTGTGTGTGCGTGTGTGCGTGTGCACGTGTGTGTGCACTTGTGTGTGGATTGTGTGTCTGCGTGTGTGTGCACGTGTGTGTGTGTGCACGTGTGTGTGCATTATGTGTGTGCATTGTGTGTGTGCATGTGTGTGTGCATTGTGTGTGTGCGCATGTGTGTGCATTGTGTGTGTACATGTGTGTGTGCCTGTGCACGTTTGTGTGTGCATGTGTGTGTGTGCATGTGTGTGTGCGCGTGTGCACTTGTGTGTGTGTGCGCGTGTGCGCATGTGTGCGCACATGTGTGTGCGTGTGTGTGCATGTGTGCGCGTATGTGTGCACGTGTGCGCGCATGCACATGTGTGCACATGTGTGTGTGCACATGTGTGTGTGCGCGTGTGTGTGCGTGTGCACTTGTGTGTGTGCACTTGTGTATGGATTGTGTGTCTGCGTGTGTGCGCACGTGTGTGTGTGTGCACGTGTGTGTGCATTGTGTGTGTGCATGTGTGTGCATTGTGTGTGTGTGCATTGTGTGTGTGTGCATTGTGTGTGTGTGCATTGTGTGTGTGCATGTGTGTGCATTGTGTGTGTGTGCATGTGTGTGCATTGTGTGTGTACATGTGTGTGCGCGTGTGCACTTGTGTGTGCACGTGTGTGTGCGCATGTGTGTGTGTGCGCGTGTGCACTTGTGTGTGCATGTGTGCGCACTTGTGTGTGTGGTGTGTGCACGCATGTGTGCACGTGTGTGCGCGTTTGTGTGCACGTCTGTGTATGCATATGTGTACACGTGTGTGTGCATGTGTGTGTGCATGTGTGTCTGTACATGTGTGTGTGCACGTGTGTTTGTGTGCATGCCTGTACATGCATGTGGATGTGTGTACGCGTGTGTGTTCACGTGTGTGTGTTCACGTGTGTGCACGTGTGTTTGTGTGCACGCCTGTGCATGCATGTGGATGTGTACACGTGTGTGTGCACGTGTTTCTGTACACGTGTACGTCCGTTCACACGTGCGTGTGCTCTCCCGTCCAAGGGGCTCGGTGCTGCCCCCTCGCGGTGCCCCCCCCCCCGTTCACGCCCTGTCCCCCGGTGCCGCAGGGAGGCTCCGCCGTGCCCTCGGGGCTGGTGGGGGCACCCCACGTGCGGGCCCTGCAACTGCGACAGCGCCAAAGGCTTCGACCCCGACTGCAACAAGACCACGGGCGAGTGCCGCTGCAAGGTGGGACCTGCCCTGCGCCCGCCCCCCGACGGCGCCCACCACCCCCCAGCACCGTGACCCCCGTTGTTCCCCCCCATAGGAGAACCACTACCGCCCGGCGGGCAGCGGCTCCTGCCTGCTCTGCGACTGTTACCCCACCGGCTCCCTGTCGCGACGCTGCGATAGCGCCACGGGGCAGTGCCCCTGCAAGGCCGGGGTCATCGGGCGCCATTGCGACCGCTGCGACAACCCCTTCGCCGAGGTGACGGCCGGCGGCTGCGAAGGTGCGGGACAGCGCCCCCCGGCGGCCGCCCCCCGCCATGGCCGCGGCTGGCGGCGGCTGCCCCCCGGCGGTGACCGCGCTCTGCTCTCCCCCCCCCCCCCCCCCCAGTGAACTACGACAGCTGCCCCCGGGCCATCGAGAGCAGCATCTGGTGGCCACGGACCCGCTTTGGGTTGCCCGCGGCTGCCCCCTGCCCCAGGGGGGCTGTGGGTAGGTGGGGGCACCACAGGGATGGGGCGCGGGGGGGTAATTGGGGAGAGGGGGGGGGTGGGAACCGGTGGGGTGCGGGTGGTGGCGTGGATGGGGTGGGGGTGAGAAGGGGGTGATGGGGGGGTGGTGGTGATGGGGGGGGTGGGATGGGGTGGGGTGGGGTGGGGTGGGGTGGGGTTGGGTTAAGATGGGATGGGGTGGGATGGGGTGGGGCTGGGTTGAGATGGGATGGGGTGGGGTGGGATGGGATGGACTGGGATGGGATGGGGATGAGAAGGGGGTGACATGGTGGTGGCAATGATGGTATGGGATGGGATGGGATGGGGTGGAATGGGATGGGATGGGGTGGGGTGGGGTGGGGTTGGGTTGAGATGGGATGGGGTGGGGTGGGGATGAGAAGGGGCTGACGTGGTGGCAATGATGGGATGGGATGAGATGGGGTGGGGTGGGGTGGGGTTGGGTTGAGATGGGATGGGGTGGGGTGGGATGGGATGGGGGTGAGAAGAGGGTGACTTGGTGGTGGCGGTGATGGGATGGGATATGATGGGATGGGATGAGATGGGGCGGGATGGGATGGGATGGCTTGAGGTGGGATGGGATGGATTGGGATGGGATGGGGATGTGAAGGGGGTGACGTGGTGGCAGTGATGGGTGGGATGGGGTAGGGTAGGACGGGTTGGGATGGGGTTGGGTTGGGTTGAGATGGGATGGAATGGGGTGGGACGTGTTGGGATGGGATGGGGTGGACTGGGATGGGATGGGATGGGGATGTGAAGGGGGTGACAATGATGGTGGGATGTGGCAATGATGGGTGGGATGGGGTGGGCTGGGATGGGCTGGGGTGGGGTGGGACAGGTTGGTATGGGGTTGGGTTGGGATGGGATGGGATGGGATGGGATGGGATGTGTTGGGGTGGGATGGGGTGGGATGGGATGGGTTGGGATGGGAGTGAGAAGGGGGTGACATGGTGGCAGAGATGATGGGTGGTGTGGGATGGGGTGGGGTGGGATGGATTGGGATGGGGTGGGTTGGGATGGGATGGGGTGGGGTGGGGTGGGATGGATTGGGATGGGATGGGGTGGGATGGGGTGGGGGTGAGAAGGGGGTGACATGGTGGAGGCAATGATGGGATGGGATGGGGGAGGTGACAACCACCATGGCACCACTGGGACTGGGGCTGGGAGAAGACATGTTGGTGGCAGTGATGTAATAGGATGGGGTGGGATGGGATGGGAGAGGGGTGGGGATGGGATGGGAGAGGGGTGGGGGTGGGATGGGATGGATTGGGTTGGGATGGGATGGGGGAGGTGACAACCACCTGGGATTGGGGATGGGGGGTGACATTGTGGTGGCACCATTGGGACATGGTGAGGCAATGGTGGCACTGCTGGGACAGAGCTGAGGGTGACAGTGAGGTGGCATTGCTGGGATGGGGTATGGGGGGGGCGGCCACCATGGTGGCACCACTGTGATGGGGAAGGGTGGGACACGGTGGTGGCATCACTGGGATACGATGCAGGGAGGTGAGCCCATGGTGGCATCAGTAGGGATGGGGCTGAGATGGGAGTGATGCTGTGGTGGAGATGGGGCTGACGTGGTGGTGGCGGAGCTGGGATGGGGCACATGGGGGACACCACGGTGGCGGCGCTGGTGGGATGGGGCTGTGCTGGGTGGCCGGGGCGGTGACAGGCTGGGGCCACGCAGGGACGGCGCTGCGGCACTGCGACGAGCACAGGGGGTGGCTGCCCCCCAACCTCTTCAACTGCAGCTCCCTCGCCTTCGCCCCCCTGCGCGCATGGGTGAGTGCCAGGGCTGGGGACATGGGGGGGGGGGAACGGGACAGCGGTGACGGTGACACCAGAGGGGACAGTGAGCCTGGGAGGGCACAGCAGTGATGGTGTCACCAGGAGGGGACAGCAGTGGCCGTGTCACAGCGAGGGTTGCTGTTGTCCCCAGTGCCATGTCCCACAGACACACATGGTGCTGATGTCCCATACGGGCACGCAGTGCACCCTGTGTCACTGTGTGGTCACCAGTTCCATGTCCCTGGTTCCATGTCCCCACTGTCACCGGTTCCATGTCCCCACTGTCACCGGTTCCATGTCCTGCTGTCACTGGTTCCATGTCCCCGCAGTCACCGGTTCCATGTCCCCAGTTCCATGTCCCCTGTTCCATGTCCCCACTGTCACTGGTTCCATGTCTCCACAGTCCCCGGTTCCATGTCCCTTTGGTCCCCAGTTCCATGTCCCTACTGTCCCCAGTTCCATGTGCCCAGTTCCATGTCCCCAAAGTCACTGGTTCCATGTCCCCACTGTCCCCAGTTCCATGTCCCCCGTTCCATGTCCCTGTGGTCCCCAGTTCAATGTCCCTGCTGTCACCAGTTCCATGTCCCCAGCTCCATGTCCCTGGTGTCCCCAGTTCCATGTCCCCAGTTCCATGTCCCCAGTTCCATGTCCCCACAGTCACCAGTTCCATGTCCCCACGGTCACTGGTTCCATGTCCCCAGTTCCATGTCCTTGTGGTCCCCAGTTCCATGTCCCCACTGTCACCAGTTCCATGTCCCCGCAGTCACCGGTTCCATGTCCCCACTGTCACCAATTCCATGTCCCTGCTGTCACTGGTTCCGTGTCCCCAGTGTCACCAGTTCCATGTCCCCGCGGTCACCGGTTCCATGTCCCCAGTTCCATGTCCCTGTGGTCCCTGGTTCCATGTCCCCAGTTCCATGTCCCCAGTTCCATGTCCCCAGTTCCATGTCCCCACTGTCCCCAGTTCCATGTCCCCAGTTCCATGTCCCCAGTTCCATGTCCCCACTGTCCCCAGTTCCATGTCCCCAGTTCCATGTCCCCGGTTCCATGTCCCCAGTTCCATGTCCCTGTGGTCACTGGTTCCATGTCCCCAGTTCCATGTCCCTGTGGTCACTGGTTCCATGTCCCCAGTTCCATGTCCTTGTGGTCCCCAGTTCCATGTCCCCGGTTCCATGTCCCCAGTTCCATGTCCCCAGTTCCATGTCCCTGTGGTCCCCAGTTCCATGTCCCCAGTTCCATGTCCCCAGTTCCATGTCCCCGGTTCCATGTCCCCACTGTCCCCAGTTCCATGTCCCCAGTTCCATGTCCTTGTGGTCCCCAGTTCCATGTCCCCAGTTCCATGTCCCCAGTTCCATGTCCCCAGTTCCATGTCCTTGTGGTCACTGGTTCCATGTCCCCAGTTCCATGTCCCCGGTTCCATGTCCCCACTGTCCCCAGTTCCATGTCCCCGGTTCCATGTCCCCAGTTCCATGTCCCCAGTTCCATGTCCTTGTGGTCCCCAGTTCCATGTCCCCAGTTCCATGTCCTCGTGGTCCCCAGTTCCATGTCCCCAGTTCCATGTCCTTGTGGTCCCCAATTCCATGTCCCCGGTTCCATGTCCCCAGTTCCATGTCCCCAGTTCCATGTCCCCGGTTCCATGTCCCCAGTTCCATGTCCCCGGTTCCATGTCCTTGTGGTCCCCAGTTCCATGTCCCCAGTTCCATGTTCTTGTGGTCACTGGTTCCATGTCCCCAGTTCCATGTCCCTGTGGTCACTGGTTCCATGTCCCCGGTTCCATGTCCCTGTGGTCACTGGTTCCATGTCCCCAGTTCCATGTTCTTGTGGTCACCAGTTCCATGTCCCCAGTTCCATGTCCCCAGTTCCATGTCACCAGTTCCATGTCACCAGTTCCATGTCCCCGGTTCCATGTCCCCGGTTCCATGTCCCCAGTTCCATGTCCCCGGTTCCATGTCCCCAGTTCCATGTCCCCGGTTCCATGTTCCCAGTTCCATGTCCCCAGTTCCATGTCCCCAGTTCCATGTCCCCGGTTCCATGTCCCCGGTTCCATGTCCCTGTGGTCACTGGTTCCATGTCCCCAGTTCCATGTCCCTGTGGTCACTGGTTCCATGTCCCCAGTTCCATGTCCCTGTGGTCACTGGTTCCATGTCCCCGGTTCCATGTCCCTGTGGTCACTGGTTCCATGTCCCCAGTTCCATGTCCTTGTGGTCCCCAGTTCCATGTCCCCAGTTCCATGTTCTTGTGGTCACTGGTTCCATGTCCCCGGTTCCATGTCCCTGTGGTCACTGGTTCCATGTCCCCGGTTCCATGTCCCTGTGGTCACTGGTTCCATGTCCCCAGTTCCATGTTCTTGTGGTCACCAGTTCCATGTCCCCAGTTCCATGTCCCCGGTTCCATGTCCCCGGTTCCATGTCCCTGTGGTCACTGGTTCCATGTCCCCAGTTCCATGTTCTTGTGGTCACCAGTTCCATGTCCCCAGTTCCATGTCCCCGGTTCCATGTCCCCGGTTCCATGTCCCTGTGGTCACTGGTTCCATGTCCCCAGTTCCATGTTCTTGTGGTCACCAGTTCCATGTCCCCAGTTCCATGTCCCCGGTTCCATGTCCCTGTGGTCACTGGTTCCATGTCCCCAGTTCCATGTTCTTGTGGTCACCAGTTCCATGTCCCCAGTTCCATGTCCCCGGTTCCATGTCCCCGGTTCCATGTCCCTGTGGTCACTGGTTCCATGTCCCCAGTTCCATGTTCTTGTGGTCACCAGTTCCATGTCCCCGGTTCCATGTCCCCGGTTCCATGTCCCTGTTGTCACCGGTTCCGTGTCCCCCCCAGGCTCAGCGCTTGGCCCTGAACGGCTCCCGCCTGGACCCGGCGCAGTCCCGGCGCGTTGCGCGGCAGCTGCACGAGGCCACGCGCGGCTCCGGGCTCGGCTTCCCCAGCGACCTGCGCCTGGTCTACGGCCTGGCCACGCGGCTGCTGCGCCACGAGAGCGCCCAGCGCGGCTTCCGCCTGGCGGCCACGCAGGACGTGCACTTCACCGAGGTACCGCGGGAGGAGGGGGTCACCTGCGATGGGAGAATGGGGTGGACACCAGGGTGATGGGCACCAGGGTGATGGGCACCTGCAATGGGAGAGGGGATGGACACCAGGGTGATGGGCACCTGCAGTGGGAATGGGAATGGGGCAGCAGGATGGATGCCAGGGAGATGGACACATCAGTGGGAGGATGGGATGGACACCAGGGTGATGAACACATCAGTGGGAGAATGGGATGGGCACCAGGGTGATGGGCACCTGCAATGGGAGAATGGGATGGACATGAGGGTGATGAACACATCAGTGGGAGAATGGGATGGACACCAAGGTGATGGGCACCTGCAATGGGAGTGGGAATGGGGCAGGAGGATGAATGCCAGGGTGATGGACACATCAGTGGGAGAATGGGATGGACACCAGGGTGATGGACACATCAGTGAGAGGATGGGATGGACACCAGGGTGATGGACACATCAGTGGGAGGATGGGATGGACACCAGGGTGATGGGCACCAGGGTGATGGGCACCTGCAATGGGAGAATGGGATGGACACCAGGGTGATGGGCACCTGCAATGGGACTGGGAATGGGTCAGGAGGATGGATGCCAGGGTGATGGACACATCAGTGGGAGGATGGGATGGACGAGGGTGATGGGCACCTGCAGTGGGAGAGGGGGATGGACACCAGGGTGATGGGCACCTGCAATGGGAGAGGGAGTGCTGGTGAAGAAGACCCAGTGGTGAATGATGGGAATCTTCACGGAGGATGGGGATGTTTGTGGAGGAGGCCGAAGCAATGGGAAGGGGTTGGGGCAGGATGGACACCGGGGTGATGGGCACCTTCACTGGGAGAGGGGCTGGAGCGGGGCGATGGCTGCTGGGGCGATGGGCACCTGTTGGGGGGGGGTTCTGGGGCACAGCACGGGGAGGGGGTGATGGTACCCACACGGGCAAGGGACGCCCGGGTGACGGTGCCGGTGTCGGGGGCGCAGAACCTGCTGCGGGTGGGCAGCGCGCTGCTGGACAGCAGCACCAAGCGGCACTGGGAGCTGATCCAGCAGACGGAGGGCGGCACGGCCTGGCTGCTCAAGCACTTCGAGGACTACGCCAGCGCCCTGGCGCAGAACATGCCCCAGACCTACCTGAGCCCCTTCACCATCGTCACCCCCAACATCGGTCAGCGCCAGGGGTGCCCGGGGGGGACGCGGGCACGGTGGTGCTCAGGGGACGTGGATGCGCGCAGGGAGGCGCGTGCTGGGGACAGGGATGGGTGCGCAGGGGATGGGTATGCCTGGGAATGTGTGTGCTCAGGGGGTGTGGTGTATATGGGTCCGTGGGTACCAGTGCCAGTGGTGCCGGTGCCAGAGATGCTGGTGTCAGTGGGTACCGGTGCCAGCAGTGCGGTGCCAGTGGGTACTGGTGTCAGTGGGTACCAGTGCCATTGGCACCAGTGTCAGTGGGCACCAGTGACAGTGGTGCCAGTGACAGTGGATGCCAGTGTCAGTGGGTACCGGTGTAAGTGGGTACTGGTGCCGGTGGTGCCACTGTCAGTGGGAACTGGTGTGTGTGGGTACCGGTGCCAGCAGTGCTGGTATCAGTGGGTACTGGTGTCAGTGGGTACCGGTGCCAGCAGTGCTGGTATCAGTGGGTACCGGTGTCAGTGGATACTGGTATCAGTGGGTACTGGTATCAGTGGGTACTGGTGTCAGCGGGTACCGGTGCCAGCAGTGCTGGTATCAGTGGGTACCGGTGCCATTGGTGCCGGTGCCGCAGTGGTGTCCGTGGTGCGGTTGGACAAAGGCAGCTCCGCGGGCGCTCGGCTGCCGCGCTACGAGGCGCTGCGGGGGGAGAAGCCACCGGACCTGGAGACCAGCGTCATCCTGCCCGAGAGCGTGTTCCGGGCCCCCCGCGGCCGGCGTGAGTCCTGGGGGGCACAGCCAGGGGTTGGGGTCAGTGCTGTGCCTATGGGGCTGGCAGGGCTGGGGTCAGCACTATACCCATGGGGCTGGGGTCACTGCTGTACCTATGGGGCTGGCAGGGCTGGGGTCACTGCTGTACCTATGGGGCTGGCAGGGCTGGGGTCACTGCTGTACCTATGGGGCTGGCAGGGCTGGGGTCAGCGCTATACCCATGGAGCTGGGGTCACCGCTGTGCCTATGAGGCTGGGGTCACCACTGTGCCTATGGGGCTGGGGTCACCGCTGTGCCTATGGGGCTGGGGTCACCGCTGTGCCTATGAGGCTGGGGTCACCACTGTGCCTATGGGGCTGGCAGGGCTGGGGTCACTGCTGTACCCATGGGGCTGGCAGGGCTGGGGTCACCACTGTGCCTATGGGGCTGGGGTCACCACTGTGCCTATGAGGCTGGGGTCACCACTGTGCCTATGGGGCTGGCAGGGCTGGGGTCACCGCTGTGCCTATGGGGCTGGGGTCACCGCTGTACCTATGAGGCTGGGGTCACCACTGTGCCTATGGGGCTGGCAGGGCTGGGGTCACCACTGTGCCTATGAGGCTGGCAGGGCTTGGGTCAGCGCCGTACCCATGGGGCTGGCAGGGCTGGGGTCACCACTGTGCCTATGGGGCTGGGGTCACCACTGTGCCTATGGGGCTGGCAGGGCTGGGGTCACCGCTGTACCCATGGGGCTGGGGTCACCACTGTACCCATGGGGCTGGCAGGGCTCACCCATCCCCTCCCTCACACCCCAGAGCCCTCGGCTGGGCAGGAGCGGGCACCGCAGGGCACGGGCGGGCGGCAGCAGCAGCAGCAGCAGCAGGAGGGGGATGAAGAGGATGAGGATGGAGACGATGATGACGAGGATGAGGAGGGTGAGGAGGAAAAGGCTCCCCTGGTGACCCGGCGCAAGCGGCACCCGGCCCCGGGCGAGGGTCAGGCCATCGCCAGCGTCATCATCTACCGCACACTGGCGGGGCTGCTGCCCGAGCAGTACGACACCGACAAGCGCAGCCTCAGGTGGGTGCCTTGGCCTGGGGGGGGAACCGGTGTGGGGCTGGGATGATGGGGACAGGAGGGGTCCCCAGGGTAACCGCCGGGAATGGGGTGTCAGGGTGTGAGGGTGTTGGGGTGTCAGGAACGGGGTGTTGGGGGTGTCAGGTTGTTGAGGTGTCAGGGTGTTGGAGGGTAAGGGTGTCAGGGTAGCTGGGTTTTGGGGTGTCAGGGTATCATGGTGTCAGGAATGGGGTGTTGGCATGTCGGGGTGTTGGAGGGTAAGGGTGTCAGGGTAGCTGGGTTTTGGGGTGTCAGGGTATCATGGTGTCAGGAATGGGGTGTTGGCATGTCGGGGTGTTGGAGGGTAAGGGTGTCAGGGTATCTGGGTTTTGGGGTGTCAGGATATTGGGGTGTCATGGTATCATGGTGTCAGGAATGGGGTGTTGGCATGTTGGGGTGTTGGAGGGTAAGGGTGTCGGGGTATCGGTGTCAGGAATGGGGTGTTGAGGTGTTGAGGTGTCCGGTTGTTGAGGTGTCAGGGTGTTGGAGGGTAAGGGTGTCAGGGTATCGGGGTTTTGGGGTGTCAGGGTATCAGTGTCAGGAATGGGGTGTTGAGGTGTCACGGTGTTGGAGGGTAAGGGTGTCAGGGTATCTGGGTTTTGGGGTGTCAGAGTATCGGTGTCAGGAATGGGGTGTTGAGGTGTTGAGGTGTCAGGTTGTTGAGGTGTCAGGGTGTTGGAGGGTAAGGGTGTCATGGTATCTGGGATTTGGGGTATTAGGGTATCATGGAGTCAGGAACGGGGTGTTGGGGTGTCAGGTTGTTAGGGTGTCAGTGTATGTGGATTTTGGGGTGTCAGGAATGGGGTGTTGGGGTGTCCGGGTGCACCCCCTGACGGCCGTCGCTCACCCCGCAGGGTGCCGAAGCGCCCGGTGATCAACACGCCGGTGGTGAGCATCAGCGTGCACGCGGGGGGCGCGCGGGCGCCGCGGGCGCTGGAGGAGCCCATCACCCTGCAGTTCCGGCTGCTCGAGACCCAGGAGCGCTCCAAACCCATCTGCGTGTTCTGGAACCATTCCCTGCTGTGAGCCGGGGACAGGGACACTGGGGGGCGGGGGGGGGGGGGGGGGGTTGTCCCCCATGCAGCGGCTGTGGGTGCCGGTGGGTGTCCCCAGTGGGTGCCCAGTGATGGGCGCTGATGGGTGTCCTCCATGGGTGGTGATGGATGGTGTTGGTGGGTGACCCTAATGGGTGTCTATGGTTGGTGGCCCCAGGCGGTGGTTGAGGGTGGCTCCGGGGGGTCCCTGGGTTGATGTCCCCAGTGGGGTGGATGTTGTCCCCATAGTGTGGGTGTCCGCAGTGGGTGTCCCCATTGTGTGGGTGTCCCATAATGCAGGTGTCCCCAGTGGGTGTCCCCATAGTGTGGGTGTCCCCGTTGGGCTGGTGTCCTCATTGTACTGGTGTGCCCATAGTGTGGGTGTCCCCAGTGGGTGTCCCCATAGTGTGGGTGTCCCTGGCAGGTGTCCCCATTGTGCAGGTGTCCCTGTTGTGCTGGTGTCCCCATAGTGTGGGTGTCCCCATTGTGTGTCCCCATTGTGTGGGTGTCCCCGTTGTGCTGGTGTCCCCATAGTGTGGGTGTCCCCAGTGGGTTTCCCCATAGTGTGGGTGTCCCATAGTGCAGGTGTCCCCATTGTGCAAGTGTCCCATAGTGCTGGTGTTCCTGGTGGGTTTCCCCATTGTGAGGGTGTCACCGTAGTGTGGGTGTCCTCAGTGGGTGTCCCATAGTGTGGGTGTCCCCAGCGGGGTGTCCCGTTTGTGTGGGTGTCCCCATTATGCGGGTGTCCCCAGTGGGGTCTCCCCATTGTGAGTGTGTCCCCATAGTGCAGGTGTCCCCAGTGGGGTGTCCCCATAGTGTGGGTGTCCCCGGTGGGTGTCCCATTGTTGGGGTGTCCCTGTTGTGCTGGTGTCACCGTAGTGTGGGTGTCCCCAGTGGGTGTCCCATAGTGTGGGTGTCCCCAGCGGGGTGTCCCCTTTGTGTGGGTGTCCCCATTATGCGGGTGTCCCCAGTGGGGGTCCCATAGTGTGGGTGTCCCCAGCGGGGTGTCCCCTTTGTGTGGGTGTCCCCATTATGCGGGTGTCCCCAGTGGGGTCTCCGCATTGTGAGTGTGTCCCCATAGTGCAGGTGTCCCCAGTGGGGTGTCCCCATAGTGTGGGTGTCCCCGGTGGGTGTCCCATTGTTGGGGTGTCCCTGTTGGGTGTCCCGTTGTTGGGGTGTCCCCGTTGGGTGTCCCATTATTGGGGTGTCCCCGTTGGATGTCCCGTTGTTGGGGTGTCCCTGTTGGGTGTCCCATTGTTGGGGTGTCCCTGTTGGGTGTCCCGTTGTTGGGGTGTCCCCGTTGCGTGTCCCGTTGTTAGGGTGTCCCCGTTGGGTGTCCCATTGTTGGGGTGTCCCTGTTGGGTGTCCCGTTGTTGGGGTGTCCCTGTTGGGTGTCCCATTGTTAGGGTGTCCCCGTTGGGTGTCCCGTTGTTGGGGTGTCCCCGTTGGGTGTCCCGTTGTTGGGGTGTCCCCGTTGGGTGTCCCATTGTTAGGGTGTCCCCGTTGGGTGTCCCGTTGTTGGGGTGTCCCCGTTGGGTGTCCCGTTGTTAGGGTGTCCCCGTTGGGTGTCCCATTGTTGGGGTGTCCCTGTTGGGTGTCCCATTGTTAGGGTGTCCCCCTTGGGTGTCCCGTTGTTGGGGTGTCCCCGTTGGGTGTCCCGTTGTTGGGGTGTCCCCGTTGGGTGTCCCATTGTTAGGGTGTCCCCGTTGGGTGTCCCATTGTTGGGGTGTCCCTGTTGGGTGTCCCATTGTTGGGGTGTCCCTGTTGGGTGTCCCATTGTTGGGGTGTCCCCGTTGGGTGTCCCGTTGTTGGGGTGTCCCCGTTGGGTGTCCCGTTGTTGGGGTGTCCCTGTTGGGTGTCCCGTTGTTGGGGTGTCCCTGTTGGGTGTCCCATTGTTGGGGTGTCCCTGTTGGGTGTCCCGTTGTTGGGGTGTCCCCGTTGGGTGTCCCGTTGTTGGGGTGTCCCTGTTGGGTGTCCCGTTGTTGGGGTGTCCCTGTTGGGTGTCCCGTTGTTGGGGTGTCCCGCTGTGTGTGTGACGGTGCTGGCGCAGGGCGGGTGCCGCGGGCGGTTGGTCGGCGCGGGGCTGTGAGGTCGTGTTCCGCAACCGGAGCCACGTGAGCTGCCAGTGCCATCACCTGACCAGCTTCGCCGTGCTCATGGACATCTCCCGCCGCGAGGTGCCGCACCGGGACACGTGGAGGGGGGGGCACGGGGTGGGGAGGTGTGAAGCCAAAGGGCGGGGCTTGCGCTGAGGGGGCGGAGCAATGGGAAGTGCTCGGTAGAAGGGGAGGGTCCATGGGGGGGTGTTCTGAAGGGGCGGGGCTTGGCTGAACAGGGTGGGCGGGGCGTGAATGGGAGGAGCTTTTTAAGGGGGCGTGACTTAAAGGGTCGGGCGTGGTTCTCAGTGGGCGGGGCTACGTGAAGTGGGCGGAGCTCCCACGGCAGCGCAATCGGGGTCATGGGAGGCGGGGGGGGGGGCCGTGCGTAGTTAACCTCAGGGCCAAGCCTCCCCATTGGGTGGTGTCATTGTGGGCGGAGCTTCGCCGTGTCTCCTTATAAGGAGAAGGGGGCGTGGCCTCAGCCTCGCACCCCGCGCCCGACGCGTGCTCTATGGGTGCCGCAGAACGGGGAGATCCTGCCGCTGTCGGCGCTGACCTACGGCTCGCTGGCCGTGGGGCTGGCGGGGCTGCTGCTGGCGGTGCTGGCGCTGGGCGGGCCGCGGGCGCCGCGCTCCAACCGGCACAGCATCCGCCGGCACGCGGCCGCCGCGCTGCTGCTGGCCCAGCTCGTCTTCCTGCTCGGCATCAACCAGGCCGACAGCCCGGTGCGGGGCATGGGGAGGCTATCGGGGGGGGGGGGACGGACACACACTTTTGGGGTGCGGCCTCTTTAAAGGGGGCGGGGCTTCCTAGGGGATGGGGGGGCTCAAAGGGGAGGGGCTTCTTAAAAGGGGGTGGGACTTCTCAAAGGGGGTGTGGCTTTAATAGCGGGTGCTTCTAAAGGGCCTCTTAAATGGGGGGGGTTTCAAAGGGATGGGGGGGTTCAAAGGGGAGGGGCTTCTTAAAAGGGGGTGGGACTTCTCAAAGGGGTGTGGTTTTAATAGTGGGTGCTTCTAAAGGGCCTCTTAAAAGGGGGGGGGCTCTTAAATGGGGGGGGGCTCTTAAATGGGTGGGGGGGTCTGAAAGGGGAGGGGCCTCTTAAAGGGGGTGTGGCTTTAATAGTGGGTGCATCTCCTAAAGGGTCTCTTACAAGCGGGGGGGGGGGTAAAAGGGATGGGGGGGGTCTCAAAGGGGAGGGGCTTCTTAAAGGGGGTGGGACCTCTCAAAGGGGGTGTGGCTTTAATAGTGGGTGCTTCTCCTAAAGGGGGTGCAGCTTCTCATAGGGGTTATGGCCTCTCATAGGACTGGGGCTTCTTAAAGGGGTTGGGAAGTTTCTTCTCTGGCCCAGGACCTATAAAAGGCTATGGGGCATCTTAAAGGGGGTGTGGGTCCCAATCGGTTGGGGTGCTGGTGTGCGCAGGGCTAACGCATAGGGCTTGGTCTCCATGCATCCTCCCCGCAGCTGGCGTGCACGGTGGTCGCCATCCTGCTGCAGTTCCTGTACCTGAGCGCCGTGGGGTGGGCGCTGCTCGAGGGGCTGCACCTCTACCGGCGCCGCAGCGAGCCCCGGCACGTCGACCGCGGGCCCATGCGCTTCTACCACGTGCTGGGCTGGGGGCTGCCCGCCTTCATCACCGGTCAGGATACGGCCCCGGGGGCTCTTAACCCCACCCCTTGCTCCTAGCCCCGCCCCTAGGCTGCTGGCCACGCCCCCTGTCCCTAACCCCATCCTCACCCCCCTGCCTATTATGGTATGGCCCCGCCCCTTAGATCGTAGCCCCGCCCTCAAATAGGTGACCACGCCCCGACAACCCTGTCTCCACCCTCATTAGCATAACTCCTCCCCCAACGTGGCAAACCCGCCCCCCCCCAGATTTAAACCCCTTGCCCAGCTCATAGCACCGCCCCACCCTTAGCTCCGCCCCCTTGCTCCCTGGCCACGCCCCCTTTCCCTAACCCCATCCCCTCTAGAAAGCCACACAGCCCTGCCCATTATGGTATAACCCCGCCCCCACGATCTTAGCCACGCCCCCAAACACATGGCCATGCCCCCACAACCCCATGTCCGATTTAGCTCCGCCCTCATTAGCATAAGCCCGCCCCTCCCCAAGGTTTAAATTCCTTGCCCAGGTCATAGCACCACCCCACCCCTAGCTCCGCCCCCTTGCTCCCTGGCCCCGCCCCCCCCCCCCGGCTGGCCCCGCCCCTGAGCCGTGCCGCTGCCCCCCAGGGCTGGCCGTGGGGCTGGACCCCCAGGGCTACGGGAACCCCGACTTCTGCTGGCTCTCCATCCACGACAGCCTGGTCTGGAGCCTGGCCGGGCCCATCGCCTGCGCCGTGGCCGTGAGTGGGGGCTGAGGGCAGCCGGGGGGGCCCAGCGCACCCATGGGTGCTCCCACCTCGGCGCTGCTCACCCGGCTGCCCCCCCCCCCCCCCCCCCAGGTCAGCATCTTCTTCCTCGTGTTGGCAGCCAGGGCCACTTGTGCCACCCCACAGGGCTTTGAGAAGAAGGGCACCGCGTGAGTGAGCTGGGCACCCATGGGTGGGGGGGCACCGGGTGGGGGGATACCCATGGCAGGGGGACGACACAACATTGGGTGCCGGCGCAACCAGGGGTGGCAGGGAGGTGATGGGTGCCCCTGGCTGGTAGGGGGGTACAGGGCAGGGTGTTGGGTACAGGCAGGGTGCTGGGTGCAGGCAGGGTGCTGGGTATAGGGTGCTGGGTGCAGGCAGGGTGCTGGGTGCAGGCAGGGTGCTGGGTGTAGGGTGCTGGGTGCAGACAGGGTGCTGGGTGCAGGCAGGGTGCTGGGTATAGGGTGCTGGGCGCAGGCAGGGTGCTGGGTGCTGTGTGTCACAGGCAGGGTGTTGGGAACCGGCAGGGTGTTGGGAGCAGGTAGGGTGCTGGGTGCAGGCAGGGTGCTGGGTATAGGGTGCTGGGTGCAGGCAGGGTGCTGGGTGCAGGCAGGGTGCTGGGTGTAGGGTGCTGGGTGCAGACAGGGTGCTGGGTGCAGGCAGGGTGCTGGGTATAGGGTGCTGGGCACAGGCAGGGTGCTGGGTGCAGGCAGGGTGCTTGGTGCAGTGTGTCACAGACAGGGTGTTGGGAGCAGGCAGGTTGCTGGATGCAGGAAGGGCACAGGTAGGGTGCTGGGTGCAGTGTGTCACAGGCAGGGTGCTGGGTGCAGGCAGGGTGCTGGGTGCCGTGTGTCACAGGCAGGGTGCTGGGTGCAGGCAGGGTGCTGGGTGCAGGCAGGGTGCTGGGTGCCGTGTGTCACAGGCAGGGTGCTGGGTGCAGGCAGGGTGCTGGGTGCAGGCAGGGTGCTGGGTGCCGTGTGTCACAGGCAGGGTGCTGGGTGCAGGCAGGGTGCTGGGTGCCGTGCATCACGGGCAGCGCTGTCCCCAGCTCCGCGCTCCGCACGGCCGTGGTGCTGCTGGCCCTGCCCAGCCTCGCCTGGCTCCTGGCGCTGCTCTCGGTGAACAGCGATGCGCTGCTCTTCCATTACCTGTTCGCCATCAACAACTGCCTCCAGGTGACACCGCACCCCCAGAGCCCCCGGCCGCTCCCATACCCCCGTGTGCCCCCATAGCCCCCCATCACTCCTGTGTCCCCGATACCCCTGGGTCCCCCATGCCCCTGTAGTCCCTGGGCCCCCATGTAACTCCTGGGCCCCTCATCCTGCCTGGACCTCGATGTACCCCATGATCCCCCCTTACCACTTGGGCCCCTCATCACCCCATAGCCTCTGTGCCCCCCCATACCCCCTGTGCTCCATTACTCTCCCGTACCCCATAGCACCCCCATACCCCATGGCCCCCCCATGCCTTCTGTGCTCCATTATTCCCCTATACCCCATAGCACCCCCATACCCCATGGCCCCTCCATGCCCTCTGTGCCCCATTACTCCCCTATGCCCCATAGCACTCCCATACCCCATGCCCCCCCCCATGCCCTCTGTGCTCCATTATTCCCCTATACCCCATAGCACTCTCATACCCCATGGGCCCCCCCATGCCCTCTGTGCTCCATTATTCCCCTATACCCCATAGCACTCCCATACCCCATGCCCCCCCCCATGCCCTCTGTGCTCCATTATTCCCCCTATACCCCATAGCACTCCCATACCCCATGCCCCCCCCCATGCCCTCTGTGCTCCATTATTCCCCCTATACCCCATAGCACTCCCATACCCCATGGCCCCTCCATGCCCTCTGTGCCCCATTACTCCCCTATGCCCCACAGCACTCACATACCCCATGCCCCCCCCCATGCCCTCTGTGCTCCATTACTCCCCTATGCCCCATAGCACTCACATACCCCATGCCCCCCCCATGCCCTCTGTGCCCCATTACTCCCCTATGCCCCATAGCACTCCCATACCCCATGGGCCCCCCCATGCCCTCTGTGCTCCATTACTCCCCTATACCCCATAGCACTCCCATACCCCATGGGCCCCCCCATGCCCTCTGTGCTCCATTATTCCCCTATACCCCATAGCACTCTCATACCCCATGGGCCCCCCCATGCCCTCTGTGCTCCATTACTCCCCTATACCCCATAGCACTCTCATACCCCATGGGCCCCCCCATGCCCTCTGTGCTCCATTATTCCCCTATACCCCATAGCACTCTCATACCTCATGGCCCCCCCATGCCCTTGTGGCCCCCATAACCCTTGTGCCCACCCCATACCCTGCGCATAGCCCCCCTACACCCCCTGTTCCACACCATAGATTCCCATTCCCCCTGTGCCCCTCATTCCCCCTACAGCCCCTCCACATAGCCCTATACCCCCCATAAACCCTGTGCCCCCCCCACGGATCCCTCACCCCATTTCAGGTGCCAATGTGGGCGCACAATGGGTACGGGGGGGTGCTCCCCCCCCCCCCCCATGCCCATGCCCCCCCATCCCCACCCCAGGGGCCCCCTCGTGTTCCTATTCTGCGTGGTGCTGAGCAAGGAGGTGCGGAGGAGCCTGCGCCTGAGCTGCTCCCGCCGGCGCAGCCCCGACCCGGCGCTGGCCACCAAATCCACCCTCACCGCGGTGGGTGCCGGGGGAAGGGGGGGGTCCCCAGGGTGCAGCCCCCAGGCCTGGCGCTGATGGCCCCGTCCCCATGGCAGGCCTATGGCGGGGACAGCACCTACGTGGCCGGGCGGCTCTACCCCGGTGCCCGGCGGCGGCTCCAGCGGGTCCCTGCACAGCACCGCGAAGAGCCAGCACAGCTACATCCCTTCGTGTGCCGGTACCGGGGAGGGGGCACGGCACGGTGCTGGGGTGATGGGGAAATGGGGTGGCGATGGCACGGTGATGGGGTGATGGGGTGGCAATGGCATGGTGTTGGGGTGATGGGGAAATGGGGTGGCGATGGCACGGTGATGGGGTGATGGGGAAATGGGGTGGCGATGGCACGGTGATGGGGTGATGGGGAAATGGGGTGGCGATGGCACGGTGTTGGGGTGATGGGGAAATGGGGTGGCGATGGCACGGTGATGGGGTGATGGGGAAATGGGGTGGCGATGGCACGGTGATGGGGTGATGGGGAAATGGGGTGGCGATGGCACGGTGATGGGGTGATGGGGTGGCGATGGCACGGTGATGGGGTGATGGGGAAATGGGGTGGCGATGGCACGGTGATGGGGTGATGGGGAAATGGGGTGGCGATGGCATGGTGATGGGGTGATGGGGTGGCAATGGCATGGTGTTGGGGTGATGGGGAAATGGGGTGGCGATGGCACGGTGATGGGGTGATGGGGTGGCAATGGCACGGTGATGGGGTGATGGGGTGGCAATGGCATGGTGTTGGGGTGATGGGGAAATGGGGTGGCGATGGCACGGTGATGGGGTGATGGGGTGGCAATGGCACGGTGTCGGGGCGATGGAGGGGCAATGGCACGGTGTTGGGGTGATGGGGGGGCAATGGCACGGCATTGGGGTGTCATTGTGATGGGGGCAATGGCAGGGTGTCGGGGTGATGGGTGGCAATGGCACGGCATTGGGGTGTCATTGTGATGGGGGCAATGGCAGGGTGTTGGGGTGATGGGGTGGCAATGGCACGGCATTGGGGTGTCATTGTGATGGGGGGCAATGGCATGGTGTTGGGGTGATGGGGGGGCAATGGCATGGTGTTGGGGTGTCATTGTGATGGGGTGCAATGGCACGGCATTGGGGTGTCATTGTGATGGGGGGCAATGGCAGGGTGTTGGGGTGATGGGGTGGCAATGGCACGGCATTGGGGTGTCATTGTGATGGGGTGGCAATGGCACGGCATTGGGGTGTCATTGTGATGGGGTGGCAATGGCACGGCATTGGGGTGTCATTGTGATGGGGTGGCAATGGCACGGCATTGGGGTGTCATTGTGATGGGGGGGCAATGACACGGTATTGGGGTGTCATTGTGATGGGGTGGCAATGGCACGGTATTGGGGTGTCATTGTGATGGGGGGCAATGGCAGGGTGTTGGGGTGATGGGGTGGCAATGGCACGGCATTGGGGTGTCATTGTGATGGGGTGGCAATGGCACGGTATTGGGGTGTCATTGTGATGGGTGGCAATGGCAGGGTGTTGGGGTGATGGGGTGGCAATGGCACGGCATTGGGGTGTCATTGTGATGGGGGGCAATGACACGGTGTCGGGGTGATGGGGTGGCAATGGCACGGCATTGGGGTGTCATTGTGATGGGGTGGCAATGGCACGGCATTGGGGTGTCATTGTGATGGGGTGGCAATGGCACGGCGTTGGGGTGTCATTGTGATGGGGTGGCAATGGCACGGCGTTGGGGTGTCATTGTGATGGGGGGCAATGGCAGGGTTTTGGGGTGATGGGGTGGCAATGGCACGGCATTGGGGTGTCATTGTGATGGGGGGGCAATGACACGGTATTGGGGTGTCATTGTGATGGGGTGGCAATGGCACGGTATTGGGGTGTCATTGTGATGGGGGGCAATGGCAGGGTGTTGGGGTGATGGGGTGGCAATGGCACGGCATTGGGGTGTCATTGTGATGGGGTGGCAATGGCACGGTATTGGGGTGTCATTGTGATGGGTGGCAATGGCACGGTGTCGGGGTGATGGGGGGGCAATGGCATGGTGTTGGTTTGATGGGGGGGCAATGGCACGGTATTGGGGTGTCATTGTGATGGGGTGGCAAA